GAATAGAGAGTTGACAACTAAATAAATCATGGATCATTTTGCTGTCTTCCAGCAGAAGGGCATGTCACAATACTCAACTTATCACATGTTCCCCCCACCAGTGATTCCTTTGGCTGCACAATCAAATACAGAACATGGAACTTAGAAATGGAAGTTAATAGAGCACACCTCTTCTGCCATACCTACTGATCCAGTTTATTTGAATTATAAATGTACAAATTATGTCCATCAGAAGATATTCCTGTGTGTTACAGATATGATTTTTCATTTACCATATCTATGGGGAGACCTTCCCTGCTCACTTTCCAGTCAAGTACCATTTATTCCCTCTGTTTGATGAGGATGTCTCCTATTGTTCCATGTTTTGAAATATGCTATGTTCGATTCGGGTTCTGGTGTATTTTGTTTTTTTATCTGATTGTGCTAAATGTTGCTTTAACAGAAATTATTGACTTTTATGTACTTTTTCTAGTTTGAGGAAATATATTCTGTTGGAAAATCACTAGTCTTAATGGAGATTCTGTGAATTGTCCCATGCACAAAACGCATGCCATAATTTTATTGACTCGGGCTTTTTAGTAAAATTTTTTTTGGCTTGAGTGACTTTGCCTATACAAGAAAAAATGGATCCTGTTGTCCTCCAATGCCTTCACCTCACCTAACTGCTACATCAAAAGAAAGGAATGCTAATATTTGGCGAAGGCTAAGAATGAGTGCTCTGTTGTTTGGGAATGTTAGCTCCAAGTGGTGTTTGAAACTGATAAATTTTGATAAGGTCTTTTTCCGCTTTATCCTCATCATTCCCAAGGCCTGTAAAAGACATTGGATTTGGCAAGTAGACATGGTAGTCAGGTCTGAAGAGGATATTAAACATCAATTATGGCGCTTCAAAACTTAGTACAGCAAGCAAGGAAAGGTCGGGTGTCCACATCTACGTCCATCAGCTTGGTTTCCCGGCGACGCGTCATATTCTCTGTAAAAACCCAATACTGTTTGACCAAGATCCTAACGGCAAACCGACAGATCTCGAGCGCGTTTTCGGTTTTACAGGGATTCTTGAGATTCTTGGACAAGTGCAGTACCTCTTCCAGATCTTGCCGCACCTTCTCATCCCTCGAGTTGTGCGAGTTATCCTACAGATGCAAAATACTGCCTTTTATAGGATCTCGTGTCGAAAAACTGCTGGATAATTTATCATAATGTACACTATGGTATGGTTTGGCTCAGGCAGAGAAATTCGGCGAAAGTTCTTTGCGCTCTTGAAGGTTTCCCCAAAAGTTTCATTTAATATCATTTATTAATAGTATTATTTGAGATCGGTTTATAATTTCAATCATGGCAATAGAATGGGTCACCCGGTTAGATTCCATTCCTCTTATCTGAACGAGTAAACTAATGAGCACAAACCTCAATCTATGATCAACCCGCCTATAACGCCCATATTGGTTATCGCAGACGCTATTTTTAAAAAAGATTGCACTATATTGACCAAAGCTATTTTAAGCTTAAGGGGAGTTACCTCTTTTTGAATTCTTGATCCTTACGTGACCCGAAGCATCGTGAGCAGCCGATACGATTGAGTCACTCGGCGCTTCATTTCCCTCCCTCGTCGGCGTTCAACTGAGTGTGCCACGTACTCTGAGAAAATATATAATAATTCTTGAGAAAATAAGTATTTAATCGACCCCAGCTGGTACTTATATTACTGCACGGATTCTGGTTCCGTCTTCGAGAGCCGTTCTTGTCGGCCACTTGGTGCTTTACAGTGATGAAGGCTTTCGCTGTGGAAGTGCATTTGGTGGAACCGTTTCGGAGCAGCTTCGCGAGTCTCCAATGAATGAAATCAGACGCTGCTCCCCGACTTGGATTCCCGGTAGAGCCAGCACGACGAGACCGGGGAAGCGCAGAACGTCCCCACCGATCCCCGTTACGGTTCACCGAGTTCTCGTCACTTCTACGCAGAGGAGATATGCGTAGGAGAGGCCGGTAGAAGTACGGGACGTCCATTATTAATTTGAGTACAAGTGGTAAATTGATCTCTCGAAAAGTGCAGTTCGAGAAGCTCCTATTAACTCTAAGGAAAAGAGCGGGACAAATATCTGACACCCTACAGTACAGTGGCACGACAGCAAAAAACAGTTGCAATCTGCAAAGAGGGGCTTCTTCAAACTTATTTTAAAGTACAACTTTATCCCGGATTGATGATATCACCAGAACGCCCGACGGGATTGACCACACTGTCGATTTAAATGTTAAAGGTCGTTGGATCGTTCAGTTTCGATGTCATAGAGTTGGTAACAATGGTTCTAAGAAAAAGAACAGGGAATCTTCGAATAGCCTCCATAAATTCCATCTACCCCTGTATATTCTTTGTAAGTCGGAATTTACAGCTAAAAAAAAGTATCCTAGCATAACATGATAATGGAAAGTAATGTGAGGGGAAGAGGGAGAGGGAACCTTCGAAACCAGGTTCCCCCCCCCCCCCCCCGATTTGTATATCGCAGGAGGCCCCTCTTTTTAATGCACCTGGCACCTCCCCCCCTTCCAAGGGAGAACGGTCAATCCCTAGCGTCCAAAACGACGTCGAAACCAGAGGCATTCCCAGTTTCTGTAGTAAAACTGAGGGTGGCATCCATTATAGCTTCATTCATTCTGGCACGTTTTGGCGCCCCTGGTGAATTGCGCCCTGTGCGGGGGCACATGTGTCACATGCCTAAAGCCGGACCTGTTTTCCGCTTCCGTTTCCTTCACTCTCTGGAAGAAGAGAATGTGGCAGGGTCGTCGGGAGATGGGAGGACAGTGCGACGTGTGACACTGCTAGATATGGAATTCCACGATTTATGAGCTAGCAACCCGTAAGTGGGACAGAGACGCAGATAGCATCTGGCCTAAAATAGGAAAAATGGAGACACTGTGTTTGGTGGTGAGTGTAGAGGCATGCAAGAAGTACAAAGATGTACTTAGAAATTACTACATCTATTCGTGTTCGTGGATTCGAAACATTCATGCTCTAAACTTTTTTCTATTGCTCAATCTCGAGGTGTTCTCCAGGGTGACTCTCTGAGTCCACTTCTATTCGTCCTTTTCTACGCAGATCTTCCGCAGTTAATGAAAGAACACTCCACAAACATTGGGGTAATTATGTACGCAGATGACGTTGTCATTTAGTCCTCTTCAAGAGACGCTCTCCAAACAGCGGTGAGCACATTTGCACACATTGGTCTAGACGGTGCAGGAAATTAGATTTTTTTCTTGGGGGAATGGCTTGAGGGGGAAGGGAAAAGATTGGCCCATCTTAATAATGCCCGAGTCAATAAAATTATGGCATGCGTTTTGTGCATGGGACAATTCAAAGAATCTTTTTATGCCCCCCCCCCCCCCCCCCCCCCCGAATAAATAATATAGAGCCATAGTTAGCCTACCTTTGTGGACGTTGCTCCATCGGGAATATGTCGTTTCGTGAACAAATTTTTTTTCCATAGTAGCAAATTAATACTAATGTCTAAACCTGACTACGAGTATATTCCCAGCAAATAAGGCTACGTTGGACAAACGTAAAAACGTTCCGAACATTTATTCAATGCCGATTCAACGTTATGTGTTTCAAATTGTTTGCTGGGTTGCGTCATTCCTCGTATTTACTTTGGCTGAAATCTGCAGTCTAGTCTACGGCAACAAAAATTCTGACCGGAACTCCCAATCATCAATATGGACTGCTTATAAGCGGCCAATCGAATCAGAAGTGGGCGAAATCCTAATATGGCTGTCAAAGAGCAGATCAACAGTTTTTTCATATTGACCCCCCACCCGATAGGAACGCTTCCAACGATAGCAGGTAGGTACACTTCCCACAAGGGTGGTTTTATTGTATCACCTGATGAAAAGATTCTCTGAAAGTAATTCTCCGTTTTTCATTTCCTGGGGGCACAGTGGGCGGTGCGGGGGGGAAGAGTCAGGCAATAATAGGGTAGCGCAGGAAGAAATCTTCAATCAAGTTGTCTCCGCACAGCGCCTTTCAAGGAAGTATACGATGTTTCACTGATGTGAACCCCAAATCTTAGCAAAGTCAATCTCGCAACTCCACAGATTTACTCTTTCCTGCAGCCAAGTAGATCTCATGCGCTACTTTGTTCGTCATGCCAGAAGTTTATGAAACACGAAAATCTCTTGTCATTCGTGTTGCTACAACTTGCCGAAAATAAACTCCCCATGGTTTTATTCCTAATACAAGTACCAACTTCTGAGAAGAAGCAGAATAGTGCCATCTAATGCCAAAAGAGATACAGCCCTGTAAAGTCAGAAAAGTGCGAAATTTTCAGTCATCCCTGGAATTACCCCCATGTGGCTTACAGGGGAGGAGACTACCAGCTGCATATGATGCATCATTTTTGCTAGGACATTACCTCACTCAGCGGTATAAGCTGAATCGAGATTAACGCAGTTTTTCATGGTTCGCCATTTTCCAAAAATCGATCAGATTTTTTACAATATTGAGGAAATTTTCAATGTTGTCAATTTGACAGTATCAATATGGTAATTTTGTTCGCCCCATCTAAAATATATTATTAAATTTCCATGAGTCTGGGTTCCTATGTTTGTAGAAAAAAATTTGCAACAAGTCTGAGATACTGGATTTTTAAAACCTATTATTGCTTGCTAACCCACTGTGGGGGGGGCTACGAATTCAATCCGAGAATTGTGTGTACATGAATATGCCTTCTCAATGGCAATTCTCCTCATTCACGCGAAAATTCCCTCGCCGCTCAATTCGATTCCAATTTGATATCATCCCAGATGAATCCTTCATGTCATCATTACCCTTTGGAAAATCCTTCCTGACATAAATCCGTAAAAACCTCTGCCCCGGGAAAAGAAGCCAAGAGAAGACGAGAACCAATTATTTCCTAGGGATTCGTAGAAGGAGGCTGCCTTCAACTAAAGGATTCAGATTGTATAAAAACTTGACTGGAAACATTTATCACCTCACGTCATGCATAGGCATGCGTAGGCAACATCCATCCGCGGCCCTTTGGGCAAAGCAATGAGAGCTTAGCGGCCAAACAGGATAATTTTACAATTATTCAATTGACTAATTTCGTTTCCTTTCTATTACCTGAAAAACTGGCTGTTTTAACAATTTCCCATATTCATGTCCCACTAGGTGCAATGCAATAAATACTTTTAGAAAATGTTTCATGTGGATAAAACTAGAAACTAGACTGAACCACACGCAACCCGACGGCAACACTTCTTCACAAATGTCTGCCCCCACCACCGGTCAGCTGATGACGTAGCAAGGTTTATCAGCAATTTCCTATAACCCCGGTCAAGTCAAGCCAAGTCAGAATTTGATTGTTACTGTTGAGCCAAGGACATACTCTACTTTCTGCCAAGGCTCACTCGCGATGGATCTGTCAGTGTTTTCGTCAGAAGGGTTCACTGCCAAAGATTGGATCAGGGATGTGTTCCGTAACATGGAAGCGAATGCAGACAAGGAGTCATATGCAACTTCTCTCGTGATGAAGCTTCAGCTCTGCATTCAGGAGGTGAATCAGTCTATCGAAGAGACGAGTCATCAGGTGAGTCCAGCTATCAATCAAGGTCTCCTGCATTTCATGGAGAAAGCCGTTCGTGCGTGGTGGGGGGAGCAAAACATAGGCCTCACACTGCTGTTTGTCAATATGGCAAGTGGACATCGTGCCATTCATATGAACTGAACTTTTGGGATTACGAATACAATGTTGTCCCAAACATCAGAAGCTTGTGGTAGAATAAATGTTTTTCACTCATAAAATGAATATATTTGTGCAGTAGTTATTTCTTGCTGACAAGAGCTAACTTCTTTGTTCAATGAGTTCCATGAGCCATTTACAAATCTCCAAAAGTGTCCAGACCAAGCAACAGCTTGCCAGGGAATGCTTTGTGAGAATTGAGTTTGATTACATAGCATTTCATGTTGCTTGTCAGAATGGCTCACTTTGGAAGGTATAGGTTCAGCATCCAGAAATGTCGAAATTTAATGAATTTATGTTTCAGGTACTTGCTGCAATGCCTCGCATTGTACGAGAGCTTGAAAACTTGCAACAAGAGGGAATGCTTCTCAAGAGACAGGTTGAGCTGTTTGATAAGGATATGGCCAGTTCCCTGGAGGACAAAGCTAATGCTCCATTACAAATGTTAGTGAAGCTGGATGCCATCAAAGAGAGACTGAATGCCACTTGTCGAGCTGTGAAACAGGTATTTCATTTCCTGGTGTTCTAGGCTTATATGAGGGTAACTCAAAAAATTTTTATGCTTCATTAAATACAAATGAAGGTGAATGGATTCCAACCCACTCATTTACTTAGCACTTGAGGTACAGTTGTTCGAAATTTCATTAACAGGGACTCTTCTTATATCTGAACAGGTAGATAATCAAATTCAAATAGTTTTCTATGGTTGGGAAAGCTAACTCATTCGTGTATGGTCCTAGCTTCAGGACCATACACGAGTGAGTTAGTTTTGCTTGAAAGTGTTCAATTGCAAAATCACATTAAATTTTGAAGTGAAAATGAGAAGCTATATGTGGAGGAGTCTGGAGAAGCAAAAGTATCTTACTGGATGGTTCTGTATTTCCTCAAGTGCCTTTTTATATATTCTCTCGAAGGAATGCAAATGCCCCCTCCTTTTTATCTATTTTATCTATTTTTGCTCTGGAACTTACCTGAGCTTGCCTTCCTCAAGTGTTATGTTCCTTCTACATTATCAGATGACAGTGATGTACTTAAATTTCAGTTGGAATTTTATGAAAAATCACAGATACTCCCTGGTGCATACATTTTGCAGCAAAAGACCCAAATAATTTTGCCATCTGCAACAGTGTCTATTGCATGAGTTCTATGATTAATGTTTACTGATGACTGTTGCAGGCTGATAACTGGACAACTCTGGTGACAGATGTAGAAGAGGTGTTTGACACAGGAGATGTGGATAACATTGCATTGAAGCTGGAAGCCATGTCCCAGAGCCTCTCTGTCCTTGCTCATGTCCCAGATTATCCATCTAGGGTGCAGCATCTAGAAGCCTTGCGTAATCGACTCGAGGCACTCGTTTCACCTCGCCTTGTGGCCACATTCAATGAGTCTCCTGGCTCTCGTGAAGCAGCAAAATATTTTCTCATGTTTGCATCCATGCACCGCCAGTCCCAGTTTGAAAAGTATTATCACAATTACCATAAGGGGTGTTTGTTGCAACGCTGGGCCACCACTGTGGAAGGGGAGCCAGGGGAATCAGTTGATGATCGATTGGCTGAATTCTGTGATTATGTCTTGGTCCATTGGCATGAGCAGGTTTCTTGGCTCTCCCAACTTTCTCCCTCCTCCATACATGTTGGGAATGTTCTCATCCCACTCCTTGGTGATTCCTTCATATCCCTTGATCCCCGTCTGCCACTCTGCATCCAGGCATCTCTTAAGCAGCAAGAAGAACCCTTAAGTCTTCTCCTAAACATCAAGACAGTGTTTGATCGGTTCATGCAGGGCTTACGACTTGCCATCGATCGCATGGACCCATCAATACGTCCTTCTCCAGATGCTCAGGAGAAGCTGGCAGAGTCACTGTATTCTGTATTGAAGCCACATGTCCCTTCACTGCATCTGTATGAGAAGAACACAATGTTAGAAGAGATGGGATCCTTGTTTGAAGAAGATGATGTTGACCTAGTTCCACGCATGGAATCTCTAGGTGAAAAGCTTCGCAAAATGCCTTCTCGGATTCGAGTTTCATTTGAGAGACTCATGAATCTCACAGAAGGAGCTGGGGTCCTCCTTTGGATGGAGGCAGTCAAAGACATCTATACTGATGCCAGGCAAGCACTTGAGAATTTGTGCAGGGATACAGAGACCAGACGCCCACGATGGGAAGCGTGGACAAATGTGGAGGTTGCTACCAAGCTCCTTCATCTGGCTGGCCAGCAGATTCTTCTCACAGAGTCACTGGACAAAGAGCTCACTCTGTCATTTCTTGAGGGGACTCATAGACTCATCTCAGATTCCTCTCCTGTTGGGACAAATTTTATACAATATCTTCTTCAGGATAGTGGTAAGGCTCAAAACTTAGTTGAAAACTTGCATCGAGGTGAAGTCTCATCCCTTCTGGGAGAGATTGATGCTTCTGTTAAAGACATAGCCAAAGAAATGAGGCGTGTGGCTTTAGACACATTTTTGTATCCATGTCGAAAGCATCTGGAAACGATTCCTGTGCTGTTTGATTCATCAACTGAAAAGGATACAGAGTCAAGCCCATTGACATTTGGACCTCAAGAATATATCACTCGGGTTGGTGGATATTTGATGACACTGCCCCAACACCTAGAAGTAATGTCACAGATGGAAGCCAAGGCCATGTGGGCCATCCTCAACCTTCCAGGATGGCCCTTTGAGGGAGAAGCTGATTCAGCATCAACAGATGTGGGAGATGTTGTCCTGGTTGGGATCTCACATGGTGTCTGTCTGACATATTTGGAGCTGATTCAAACAATTCCACACCTAGGTGCATCATCTGCCAGCCGCTTGGCAGCGGATATAGACTATTTGGGAGATGTGTTGGATGATGTTGGATCAAAACTGCCCAGGGCCCTGGCTTCCCTTGGGGCTCTTCTGAAGCTCAATCAAGAGGATTTCTTCACCAAATCAGCCGGTCACCCAGCAAAGTTGGTTGCTATTGTACGACATATGCGAGGTTTTGTGGCTCCAAGCTAGATCACAGTTTCCTCATATACCTGTGATTAAGGGAAAGACAATAGCATGAAATTAACAGAAGACACAAGAGTTGGGTGGGGAATGGTGATATTTCTTTATGTACCACCATGTATGCAAGTTGAATCACAAAGTATATTTTCACTTTTTGCCAAGTTTTCATGTTTTGAGATCTCTAATAAATTTGTTGTTCCCAGTGATTAAAAAACAGTGCCTGTTTTTAACAGTCCTCAAATGATATGAAACTGAGGCTGGATGTCACTTCAGCTTCCTCAGTTGACACACTGAGGGATATCAGAAATAATATGGCTCTTTGCATCACTTTGCTTTGGAAAAGCATCCATGTTCTCCCTCAAGGATTATGAGATTGTAAAAATGGTAACAGTTACAGGGATCTTTTAAGCCATGGATGCAGATACCCTGTTTGAAAATCATACTATCAGTGAGATCCAAGAGGTGAGGAAAAGGATGATGGTTGACATTGAGAAGAAGAGGGAGGACCTTCGAACAATGGTTGGGTGAGTGATATTGTCCTCTTTCTGTACAGCAAAAAGCATGAGATTTACCCTTACCTTTGTATCTTGCCAATGATTAGATGGTTCATGGATCAATGCAACTCAGATGCTTCTGGTCAAAGTGAATGCTATTCTGAAAAAAGCTAATCAAATTTGCAGAGAGAGGTATCGAGAACTGATAGAAGCAGCAGACACAATTGCATCAATGAAGCAATCAGCTGGGAGCATCCTATCTCATCTTGGTCAAATGGAAAAACTTTGCTCATCCTTGGAGACATCTTCCCTTCAAGAGAATGATAATGAAGATGCTTCCATCCGAGAGCGAGCGTGAGTTTGTGAACCAATCTTCCCATTTCATGTCATGTTTATCCTTGACTCATCTTATCCATGGCTCACTGTTCTAATTGGTAGTCGAGTACAGCAGGTGACTTACTATGCAGTGGCCAGCCAGATCCGTCTTCTCATGGACATCCCTGAGGCATTATGGGCATCGGTTGAATCTCGACACTTCCTTACTGGAACTCAGCTGTATCTCTTGGCTCGAGAAGTCTATCATGGTCTCACAAACCTTGCTCCTTCCTTTTCTATTTTCAGCAGTTTGTTTGTCATGAGAACCCTACTGGGACAAGTGTGCATGCCATGAGGGAAGGTGCAAGAGTGCGTGTCCTTAAACTACTGTGGTTCTTTTGACCTCATTAAGTGAAACAGAAAGGGAGAAAACATTTGCAGTCAAACCCCCTTATAATAAACCTCTTTAAAGTAAATACCTCTTGGTACAAAATTTTTCCTCTGCAATGGCCAGATTCCTTGACCACTGAAAAATAATTTATTTATATTTGCTGTGTTTAATTTTGCATTTGAGCAAATGTAGCAGCTATAACAGCTCTACATGATGCTATGCATGTTGTACAGTACATGTATCTCCAAAATATTCTTTGTACGAGGACTTCATTTGGGTTGGTGAGTAAATCCCTCGACATGATAAAAGCCTCCTTATAATGTATTTTTGTTCTGGTCCCTTGGACTTAATTATAATGAGATTTGACTGTACCTTACTTCCTTTGGCTAGATAAAAGCAACTCTGAGTTAAACTTTGAAGTTGAAACTGGTTGCAATGCAATTGCATTTCAGCTTCTTCTAATTGACTGAGATCTACAATCAAAGCAACTGCAATATATTGTAGCTACTGCATTGCATAATGCGTACTGTAACATGAGTTGCATTCTGTCCTGTAATTACATTTGCAATGAAAGATAGTATATAGCTAAAACTTCCTAGTGTGTTAGACACAAGATACAACCTCAAATACTTTATGAATATGCATTTGGTTATTGAAAGGATACTATGTAACAGTCTAGCTTCTTTACTTCAAATTTTATCCTAAAACAACCTATGCTGGTTTTTCAACTTATCTTCATCACTTTTCATTTGGCTATATACTGTTCTGTGATATTTCTGATTCTCTAATTCATCCCCATTGTTCCAGTGCAGCATTATTCTATTTGTTGTTCTTTTGTAACCCCTTTGAAAATTCAGGACTTATTCGATTCTAAGATAACCAATTTTCTTTTTCTTCTATGCTAACATCTTTGGGGTTATCTTTGAATCAGCAGCAAAATATACCACCTGCTGAATGTTATCAGATGCACAGATCAAATGATACCAGCGATTGCTTGTGACCATTTAAATTTAGGCAATGAAAGAAAAAATAAAGTAATAATCTTAGAGTAGAATAAATATGGTAGTTTGGAATTTAACATCTCTCTTATATTTCATGCTGCTGTAAGCAAAAGTGAGGGAAATAATGCCGATCCTTGCTAGATTAAAGAAAGACGTGATTTTTGTCATCTTTTTTACAAAGTGGTTCAAATTCACCAGTGGAACTTTGCTTTCTGGAACTATGCTTTTCCATGAAGAGCATATTCTTTGCTTCAATTCTCCTTGCGGCTGTGGTAATGACATGAACTAATGCCTTTATGCATAGATCTAAAAAATTGTTCATATTTTTGTTTGTTTTACTAAAGTCTCTATCCTACAACAGTTTTGGTATCATTTCACTAAATTTAGGCAGTTCTGTGATCATTGGGGCTTCACTTGTCATCATGCATGCATTCTTCTTGTTTCATTTTTTTATTATTTATTTATAGAAAATTAGTGTAGAATTAGGTCTTCTTCACAATACTTGTTTTGCAGGTTTGAAAGGTCCAGGGAGTCATGAACAGGGGATTCCAGCACAGAAATTAGCCTCATGGTTTCCCATCCTGAATCGGCAATGGACTGGAATCAGTCACTTCAAGGGAGCCATCCTTTCTGCTTGTGATGAATCCCTCCAGGACCCTTCCACTCCCATTCAAGTGTGTACCCTTATTAATTGTAGGAAATGTAAGAAAATGGGTATCTGCAGATGCATGATGGCAAAGATATAAATTTGAGGTGGAGTAGTTACCATATGGTGACTAAAGTTAGAAATTGTCACATTTGTCAACCAAGCATTCAAAATCCAATTGCCTAATTGACAAGTGCATCTTTCAAAAGTTTACCAAGACATAATTCCATACATTGGTAAACATACTCATATGGCATTATGTGGGAAAAAGTAGCAGTGACTCAGATTCTTAAGGATCAATTTCTTTGCAACTTTCAGAAAATATACACACTTGATGTGACATCCATTAAATTCCTATTCAATACCTCATATGGTAATTTGTTTGCAGGGAAAGAAATGGGACCTTTTTTCTGAGCCTCCTGGTATATATGATGATCAATCTGTCATGTAACTTAATGAACTTGAAAGTAATGAAGGCTTTTTGACCTGGATTGCAACAGCCACCATCCATGATTAAGCAGTGAGATCTCAGTCCTTAAATATTTTGGAACAGGATGTGGTGAGTGGAGGCATAGCCGTGCTGCTGCTGAGGAACTGGAAGCCTGAGCAGCTGCTCTCTTCCATTCTGACCAGTCGTCTCTCTTTTGCCCGCACTCTTCTGTCTCCTGATGCTGACAACCATACACCTAGATACCTAATTTCCCGACTTCTACTTCTCATCCGTTCAACACTCTACCTTGTCTACTCCCTTTTCTCTGGTCTTGTGCCTGTTCACCTTGCTTCTGCCCCAGTCTTCCCATTTTATGCTGACTTTTTTTCTTCTCTTTGCAGTGGGAACTGAAGGAGTGAAGGGTCTACAGGCAAGAAGACTGAAAATGGAGTACAAAGGAATGGTGGAGGGAAAGGCTCCAGTCACACTCTTGAGCATCCATGGATCTCCTGCTATGCGTTTCCTCCCGCAAAGGATTCCTCACTTCAGGTAAGGTGATCCAATTTTTCCATTATTGTGTGAACTACTCATGTTGTACTTTTGCTTTTTTTTGGACATCCTTGGATGCTGCCATAATCATGGTTGTGAAAGCTGACGAATCATTCAGCAAATAACTTTTAGCATATTAGCTGATGAAGAAGGGCTAAATATTCTTAGTACATTATATAGTACTCTTATTTTTCCCATGAACTCATCAACATGCCAAAATGATTCTTATATCATTTTGGATTTTTTTTGTTGTACAAGAATATGCAGTTATTCTAGAAAAAAAGTGCATCTTCATGCACTTGTCAATGTGAAACCTAGCTGTGCAATATTGCTCAGATCCCCCCCTTCTTTGACTATTGACATTTTCATCACATCATTGCACTCTTGTGTTAGGACAAAAGCTTCTCCTTCAAGATTTTTTAGACTGCCTGCTCAGTTTGGAATATATCAATAGCAATTGGAGAACAGTTAGTAAAATAATTTGTATCTTAAAAGACATGTTCATAGATTCATGGCCTGTTGATGTTGACATTGACTGGCAAATACCTCCATCGGGGGAAAATGTTCCTGGTCCTGACATCCCCTATGGTAGTATGGGTGGGAATAACTCATGAGTGGTACTAATGAGTCCCCACCATTAAACTTGATTTCTCTACTGATCATGTTTCATCTCTCAATAGAACAAATGCCTTTTCTTTTTCTTACCCTTTAGGGTAAAGGCTCATCGGGCCTTCTTACCGTGTTCAGGGTAATAAGGTTCTAGAATTCAATACTGAAAGAGTCTAAGTAATAAAAAAAAGAATTTGACCTTTGCATGCAATGAAGAAAGTCTATGGCTCCACGTGATTGTGTCTGAAAATTGTGGATCCAATTTCTCCCTATTTCTAAAATCTCCACTACAAGACTGTGGGAAAGCAAAGGGAAGTTGTAAAAAACGTACCCTTAGGCAAAGGAGACTCCTAAATGGTTAAGCTGGTTTGGGGGATAAATTATGCACTTTTTTGGTAATGCCATTATGGGACTGACTCCAATCTGCCTTGCGGAGCTAACCCAAAGAGAGTCTGTGTTAACCCTAATGCTCTCTACTGCCAATAGCATGAGTTCCAACCTTCTTCACACTGATAGCAGATGTGTGAAAGTACTTGTAGCATCCCTGGAATACAATGCACCATACTATGGCTTCATCTAAAGTAACTGAGGAAGTTACTGATCTTTAAAGCTAATTTTTAGGTACAAAATTATTTTTATTTTTATTTTTAGTAAATTTTATCCTGGACTTTCTTTGTGATACTTTTCTCTCTTTCAAGGATTGGGTTTTTTTTTCTTTTGTATTGTATGTCAGAAAAAAAACTATTTCAGACAGACCTTCAACAATTTTTATGGAAGATTCAGAGGGTTATAGTGGAACACTCTCAGGAGAAAAATAGTTAAAAACTTATTTGTTTTGCTTTATTTTAAATTTGTATTTTTAGATATTTTTCTCATTCATGTTTTTTTTTTATAACCCTATACCAGGCACCAGTTGAAGGGAAGTGCTTGAAATTTGATTCACAATGGAAATTTGTTGCTTATTTAAAAAAAAATCCTTGTCTCAAATTTTTCCAATTTTATTTGAAGTACTAGCCACTACACCATCAAACCTTTTCTCATGATGAACGCCATCTTGGCCTGGAGTTTAACTTTTAATAGTTTTAGTTCAAGGCAGCACTATTTCAATCTCATCAAAACTAATATCAATGCAGCATGTTGTAACTGGAGCAATCGCTTTTTTATGCCTGCATTTCTTGTGCTGATCTCTGAGGTGTGACATGTCATAGGCCCCGTGTAAAGCATGGTATGGAGCCTCTCCCAATAGAAGATATCAGAAGTCACTGCTCCAAATGGGCCACCAGCCTTGTCCAGTTTGTACAAGAGCACCTACCTGGAATTCTGAGTGAGCATCATTGCATTTTGTATCCTCTTTCCCTCTGGACTTCTTATGCTTTTTTCACAAAAGATAAAATGGAATAAAAACATGAGGAAAAGTTCCAAGGCAAATATAGGCTGGCATATCCTGCATTGAGCTCACTCTTTGGACTTCACCCCTCCAGTGATCTGAGTGGATAGCATCATGGTATTTTGAAGCTGATTTCAAATGAGACAATTGATTGGAGTTGAAGTTGTGGGGCAGTAGTATTGATCATGCCCAAGCCTCATTGCTGCTTGTTGCAGTTGCATATAATAGTTTGGTTTTACATTTTTGCTCTTGCTAGCCAGCCTCAGTAGGTCCATACCATACATAATTTGTTTTGCTCTGTGCAGAGGAAATAGGAGGATTTCGGAGTCTGGCCACTATCAGGGAGAATCTCTATGAGGAACTGGGCGAGGATTTGCATTTCAAGTCATGGATTCCCTTGTGTGAATGGGTCTTAGGAGGCAAAGAGGGCAATATCCAAGAAATCTGGCCACTGCTTATCGCTCCTACCTTTTCTAGCCGAGCCAAGTCTCTCCTGGACAAAAAGATCCAAAGCAACATTGTTCAGCCCATTGCAGAGCATCTTCACTGCTTTCTTGAAGACATCAGCCAGAAGCCTGAATACTGGTAAAAATGTCTCATTCTTTTCCACTGTATAGACTCTACTCAATATTAATGTGCTTTCCATGTCTTTTTGCTTTTAAGTGTAAACCAAATCTTATTGCATTTAAGTCAAAATCTATTGATATAAAGCAAAAGTTTTAATGGATGTACTCTATATTTCCTGGTTTTTAACTCAGGATTCATAGACAGAGGGCAGGGTTGGATCTGAATTGGGTCTGCTATCAAAATAGTATTGTTCCCAATTATCACCAATCTGTAATGGATGGCTATCTGGGCTGGATATGCTAATTTGGAAGCATCCTTTGTTCAGCCACTAATAATTTGATTTGGTTTGATTCATACTTATTTAAAAACCTTGTTTATAGCTTTTTTAGAAATAGTTAATAAAAAAAAGTTTGATATGTACTATTGATCTGTTGCATATTGACTTAATGATGTGGATCTTTAGCATTCATTTTGATCCTAGGCAAAATGATAGAGGATCCATTCATTGCAACATTATGCTTGCATGTTAGTTTCTCAAGTGAAAGGGCTATAAGTTGCTTGGATTAATGTCAGTGATTTTGTGTGTTCCAGCAATAATAAGATGCAGTGTACACATAGAATCATCCATTGGTTGTCACTTGCCAACCTATGGTCATAGGCCAGTTTTTTTTCTTCTCATTGTTTACCCAGCCTGGCTGAGAGAGATTTTGGTTCCTATTTATGGAGTGAGAATGCATCTGACATTCCAGAAACAGAGGGCTGGCTTCAGCCCTCAGCCTTTCAATCTATCTCCCTCAATGCAGGAGGTATGAATGGGCAGATCTCAGCAACTCTATTTATTCCTTCTCAGAATTTTAAGTTTTATTGTTGCTCTGTTGGCAGGACTGGTGATGAAGTCGTATGGGTATTCTCCAAAAGCAGTGGAAATGTGTCATCTGATAGAAGAGGCATGGAAGCAACTCCTGGAGGACATGAGACCATACATTGAGACAGAGAATGAGGACCCTCACCCTTTCCTCCAGCTACAAGACCGGCAGGAAATTCTCTCATCCTTGAGTGATATGGCTTCAAGGGCCACCCTCATGTCAGTTCCTCTAATCAATATGTTACTCATTCTGGGAAGAAAGAAAAAAGGATGTTCTTGGAGATCTGAGATCTTACCACAGGTTATATCTTATAAAAAGTGAAAATTTCACATTTTTATTTTTTTATTTATGAACTTTCTCTGCCCTTTGATCTAAGACAAAGTTCATGCTTTTACACTGTCTAGAGTCTTAAGTTATAATTTGTCTTGAGTTATTATTTATTTCATTTAATCTGATTTCTCCCTTTAATTTTTGCCTATCATTTCATATTGTTTCCAAGTTCTACTTTTTTGGAGCACATGCCTCAAACTACTTTGACTCTTGTTATGCTGAGGAGACCCTGTCTGTCTCCACAAAATTATTGGCATAACAAGGGGGTTAATGCCAGCCAGTTTTTCACATAATTAATTTTTCCAAATGCAAAGAATCACTTTTATTATGTAAATCCTTGGAGCATACTTTAAAGACTATAGTGTTAAGACTAAAGGTAATTAGGTAGTAAAGACTCCTGTATTCAAAAGTGGTTACTTCTCATTCCTTTTCCCAGATCAGGTAATCTGGTAACAAATAAGAAGCAGGGAAAGAGAATAGCTATCCCTGTCCAAGAATGGTCAGTTTTCATTACTGCATCTCTCTTAACAGAAAGCACTGATACTCTGATATTCCCATCTACTAAGTTCCTTATCAAGGTCTAGTATTATTCACCAACATTGAAAAACTGTTGTGCACTAGGGTATTATGGCAGCCATGCTTGCAAAACAGCAATTATGATTTTTATACTTTTCATTCATTCAGTGTATAGTTTTCAGACATATATGCATCACTTAATTGCTGATTAATCACTGAACTGAACAATAGATTGTTCCCTGCCTAGACTGTTTGAAACCATCTCCCTACTAGATACTGTAATGCCAAAGTTACTAAGTGTCCATAAAATTCCTACCAATTGACGAATTTGCAAGCATTGAATCCGAATAACTTTTTTTTTAAATGTAGAATGACTATCTGTTGACTTCAGAGTGTTATCTTATCTTTCCTCCTTTCACCTTTTTCTGACCCTTGTTTGCAAACTGTGAGGACTGAGGACCCTCTGCACTCCACACAAGAGTTGCACCTAACTGCTTGTTTTCTCAGAAATGCAGGTCCTTCCTTATTAGGTCTGTTTGAGGGAAAGTGAATTGAAATAATTGTTCATTTGTTCCACTACTGGAACGTCAAGGAACGTGCCTGTTGAATTTTAATTTTGTGCGGTATGGAGGATCTGCTGAAGCACCTTGTCACTTGCTTGAATCTAAACAAGGGTAAGAGAATTCAATTCTGTCCCATCAAAATGGAATGAAGAAAGATGTGACAGATTTCAGATCATTCTGAAATCTAGAGATAGTCAGTCTGCACTAAAAAAATATAAATGCTTACCTCATATTCTATTATAATAATAAAAAAATTTGCCCTAGATAGTAACTTTATAGACACCCTGTACCACAAAATCAGATCTAAGTGGCCCAGAGAGCCCAAATTGAGTCATATTTGTCACTCTGAATCCTGTGATTCCTGACTCTTGGAATATCCTGTACACTGCACTGTACTTGGAACATCCTGTACACACGTGCTTTTGTTTTTATCCTACCCTACCATTGTGTTGTAGCTCAGTGGAGAATCCCTTGAATTGTATTCCCTTTAGTGCAGTTTCAAATACTTTCTGAGCCATTCTCCTTTTTCTTGTTACAGGTTGGCATGTAGGGGAGATGGGAACCCTTTTATTCATGAATTACACAATTGTGGAATGGGACTTAAAATAGATGGATCAATAGGGGACCAACCCTTGTCCCCTAAACAAATACTTGTCCTTACATTGGTGACTATGACAACCAATAAGGTGTCAAACTGCAGCTAATATAATCATACTGAAAAATGCCAGTATTAGAGATTTATTTTCCTGTTGGATGAGATCCAGAATGTTTTTTCTGGTATAACTTCCAAGAAAGAAATTATACCAAATGTTACTGGTCCAACACTAACCCCCGCTGCTGCATTAGAAGCATGTTTGCTGTAAACAGAACTGGAGAAGCTGCTTTTCAATATCTTGGATATCATTGCATGCAGGTTTTTGTCAGAGCTGGAAGCAGTGAAAGACAAAAGGAAAGAATCCGAATGCCTGCTGTTTTGCTCTCGACTGGCTCAAGCCCTTCCACATCTCTCACCGTCACTTACCCTCATCCTCAATCACTTACAAGTGCATCTCATTTCCTTCCACTTTTCTGCTTGCTCTCCCTTTCCATTGCAGCGTTCATAAGGGAAGTCTTTTTTTGGTGGGACAGGAGAGGAGTTTGAGATCAGAAAAGACCTCAGAATTATGGGGGAGATGTGCTGATGTCTCTCGAGCCTTATTGACAGAGTGGAAGAATGGAGTGATTGAGAAGGAAGTGAAAGAGAGTCTCCTTTTGCATCTTGCCTCCCTAGACTCACGTACTTTCCTCACTGTCCTTCCGGCAAGTTTCCTGTTTTCTCTTGGATCTAAAAGTCATGCATGGGTGTAGTGCTTATAATTCCTGTGTTTTCTGCATAGAACTGGGAAGAGATTCAGATCGAAGAAGAAAGTGAAACGGGGGAAAAGGTATCTTCAGAGATTCGAATCCCTGGAATTCCATCTTTGGCCCTTTCTGCTGTCCTTCAGGATCTCTGTCTGTCCCTCAAGCGGGCCGGAAGCTTTGTCTTTCCCGAGTGAGTCAGAGTGACATTGCTTGTCTGAGGTAAAAATATGTGTTGTGGTTCTGTATTGAAAAACCTGCACCTGTATTTCTTTTTTTCATAGTGACGTCTGTGAGGAGATGCGAAGAGAGACCCTGTTGGCTGTGCTATCCCACTACAACCAACTCTTGGAGGAAACGCCAGAGGATGCCATCACACAGCCAATGGCACTCCAGTTGCTCTTTGATGTCCGATTTGCCCTCCTCCTGCTCCAATCTTCTGACAAGGTCACAACTTGTCTTGTGAGACCTTCCTCCATTGAACAGTGTCTTGCTATAAACTCTTATGCCAATGCACAGGAGGAACAGGAGAGAGGGAGGAAGTTGTGTGATACTCTGGAGTGCCTAGTGGATCCATTCGATCTGGATGTCTTCTCGCCTCACATTCGGACCGCTCTTGACAAATCCCTCTTCCGCCTTCATGTCAGTTTTTATTGGTTCCATTCCCTTTCCTGTAATCTTTATTTCTTAGGCTTTGGGCTTCTCCAAGAGCTTGTGTTTTGAAATTTGACATATTTTTGTAAAGTGAATCTTTCTTGAATCAGGAATTCCTTGATTCTCCTGAATCTGTTTCCTCAAACTTTGGAATTCCATCCATTCTCATGACCCTTTGAGCACCTCAACTCCCCAGTTGTGATGCATTGAGAACCCTGAAACAAATCGTGACGATCGTCTGTTGCAGGGATTGCATGGAGTCCTGCTTGGAGGAGAGAGGGAGATGGATGGAAAAGGTAAGGTGGTGAGGATGAGTGGATCAGAGTGCCACAACGTGGCAGTGCTGTCATCCTGCCACGCCCATAGCAGTCGTTTTCCGCTCTTGCCTCTGGCTCCTCAGCTTCCAACTATCAGACCCAGTGGGATCCCAAGACCTCAAGAATCCACTTCTCAGCCGGTCACAGTGACGGTGAGGCCAGCATCCCTTTCTCACTCTTCTGCTTGTATTTCCATCAGAAATGTCATCTAGTCCTACAAGTATCAGCAAGATTCCTCAGGAGGAATCGATTGATGTATTATCACAAACCTTCATTCAATGAACTTTTCTATCAGCTGACATACCAGACCCTGTTTGCAAATTTTTCTCATCTTAAAATGAGAATCATTATGGAATCTTTGATGAGGTCCTAAACCCCTGCTTCTTCCTTTGTTTCTTGTATACTTTTGGGTTACTAAGCTTTTTGCCTTTTCATTTCCCCATATCCCCATCTCTAGCATCTTGTTACTTCTAAAATGAAGTAACTCTGGGACCACGGGCTATGTAGCCCGATGTTGCCTTCCTCATATGGCATTTTCTCTGCACATTTTTTCGTGTGGTCCATCGTTCCCAAAAGCCAAGGTCACGGTAAAGAGCATGTTTCCATTTCAATTGTAAAGGATGCTCTCTCATTGATGCCTAAGTACTGGTTGCTATCATTGCAAATGGAGCTTCTATCTCTCGATACATGATATTCCTTTTAGTCCGTTAGCTTCTCCACGTTCACAATTTTGAATGCACTTTTATTCTTTTGCCGGTGATTCAACAATCAACGCTACTTTTTATCAGATTCTTTTTATTTTAAAGAAAGTTGAGAAGATGCTCCATTGGTGCTATGATTTGTGATGTCACGCATTTAACAGATGTTATGCTTTTCTTGTTTGTGAACTTGGAAACACTTTACTTCTGCATGTTTTTGTGCAACTATAACACTGCCTTCTCGCTTCTATTGCATTGAATTTAAGCATGAAGCTAATGGTCCGAATTGCTTGGATTGCGGTAGCTCATGCTGCATTGATGTCCCTTTTGAATTGCTCATGAAAATAATTTTTTTTTTCTCAAGTGGAAGTTTGCAAGAGGACCCCAGTATGTTGCATGTCGATACAGTATCCTAGGACTTATCAATCATGTCTCATTAGTCTTTTCTGTAGACGATTTTGCCTGTGCCTTTTGGCAACTCTGATTCCGAGTTGAACTGTGACTCTCGGTTGCCTCACGAGTTCTAAAATGAACCGTAAAATTACCGAAATCGGCTTGGAAAATCGAAGGAGACATGAATAGAAGTGGATGATAAAAGGTAGTCGAATGGACCCGAGGGGTTGCGGTTGCAAGAAGGGAACCGAATCAACGGATGACGTCGCGATACGGAAGCATTTATCACCCCCTTTGTCTCGTCTTCGGTGGCATGCTTCCTGGATTCCATGCCGGTGGGATGCCTCGTGCCTCTATGGGTTCCGTTCCGATCGCAATTACGAGAAACTTCCCTTTAGGGGTTTCAACATATGGCGAATAACGCGAGCCTTCTCCACGGGCACCTTGTGTCTGGAGATCTATTTCACTTTGAAGAGAAATCGACTTCACCCTTTTCGTTCGTTTCCGTCGAGTGTCATTTTGATGCAACCCTCTTGACCCCTTCTCATCGTAAAATGAGGCTCGGACATGGATCGTTAAAAATTCTCTACGCGATAGGCGTGGAGAACACAGCAGCCGTCTGGTTACGTCATCTGCCAAGGATTCTTCCGTCGTTTGTTCGTGAAAGAGGGTAAAGCCATGCAGCTCCACGTTTAGTGCTTCTGTCGTTCTCACTCTTCCCGTCCTCGCAATATAGTGATTTTCGTAATTTTATTCGCCCGTGAGGTGAGCTTGCTTCTGCCGTCGTTCCTCATCGATTTCACGGGTGGAGGGAAAGATAATTCTGTTGGAAACTCAGGATGTGACGTGAGAAATCCGGCGACTCACGATGCCGGTTGGTGTTGCAACCGAGATCCAGGATCTCTTTCATCCTCGTCGCTTTTCATCGTGTCAGAGCGTGAATGAGAAATAACGGCCGATGAATCTGTTTTCAGGTAGAGGAGACGAGAGAAGAGAGGAGGGAAGCCACTGCTGTTCGATCCCGGGCGGCCGAATTCTTCGGTGCCGTCTCTTCCTCCTGGTTCGGAACGTCCTAGTTCTTTGGTGGCGTGCCCACGCGCCGGTTCGGGACCTCCGAGTTCTCGCGTGGAAGGCCTCTCACAAATCCAACGAGAGACTTCCTTCCATTCACTTATTCTGTGTAAAGTAACATATCTATTACACAACTGTGATCGTTATCTTATTATTTGGTGTTGCACCAAAATTATTATTGGGATTATAATAAAAGGTTCTGGACTGATTCCCCCCACCCCCCCATTTCTACACCAACTCAATTGTTCGAAGCACATTGGTTGAATTGAAATTGGGTGTAGCCATAGCCCAGTGTTAGTGATGAAAGGCTTCTCCCAACATCGACACCAACTCTTACACTTACAAGGAACCCAGTAAAACGCGTTATCTTTGTGCCGTTTTCATTTTTGCGCTCAGGTTCAATGCTTTTCGTGAAAGTGTAAGCCTCGGCATAACGCAGCGAGTGGCAGAATCAAGAATCGCTCATGCATATGAACATTGACGATATCATACCAACGGCCTACCTTTCGTGCTAGGCCTTTGAAAATACAACGAAAGCGGTCTCCCATAGTTTCAAGGCCGTCTCGCTGCAATTGCCGGATCTCTTGAACAAAATGACGATTAAAGTATATGCCATTCGTTATCGGCATTGAAAATTTCTGAACGAATGCAGCGATATTTTTTAGTCTTTTTATGATTGCCCAAACCCTTGTCTTGTATTTCAGGGTGATTATAAGAGTGACAAACCTTGTATCATTAGTCTGTAAAGCTTTGTATTTTTCCAGGAGACTAAATTCAATATTCCGCCATAAAGGGACCATGTTGGGAATTTAAAAAGTTTACGTATGGGAATCTCGGGGAGCGAAAGGGTTACATTGGGTCGTGGGTAAATAATGAGGTATTAACCCCAACCCTGAGCATTTCACGTTCTAAAGACTCCTGCAATATTTGACGGCATTTTAATTTCATCTCTCCCGTCCGCAAGGATTTTTTTTTTTTCAAGAAGCAACGCCGCATATTCCAAAGTGACGATTGCATTTATATTTCTTTTTGTTACGGGGTGATCGAGAAGTCATGCTGCAGTAGAATTCACGACATGACGTAGGCATGGCCTCATTGTAGGCAGGAAGTACAGACGATAAATAATTTTTATCAGGGACGGTAAAAATATTTGATTAAGTATTGTGCGGGAATTTATTACTTTGATGATGCGATACACTGTATAGTACTAAATAAATGCCACAAAATAAATAAATTCTACCGCACTGTGACTTTTCGATCGTCCTGTATTATAATGCCATTTTTTCCCCCCGATTTGCCTCCTCACTGTCATAAAAAGACGACTGATGTCTGACATTACATGCAAAGGTTTCCTCCGGGCTGGGTATTTCAGTGACTTAGAATTATTAATATGTTCGAGCTGAACTACGTTTTGTTTCTTATCAAATGGGAAACTCGGCTTGTAATGATTTTTTCCTTGCTGCTGAGATTGTAGATTCGCGGTAAATTTGAGAACATGAATGCGTGCATTAAAATCTCCAGAAATAATATCTATATTAAATAATCTCGTAATGAGCACAATGATTGTATTGTACGACACGAGCAGTCATCAGACCTAGTATTAGCAGTGAGTCGACCGGATTGAGCTAAAGATTTGAGGTGTCCAAGATGAACACAGACGAAAAAGAGGCTGTCGTTTAACGAGAGAAATCCCCATCTGTCACGATGTTCACGTTTGCCGAACTAAGATCACAAAATAAAGTTAATGCTATTAGCCATTGTCGCCCCATCCTCCTGCTTCAGCACACCTTGTAGCACCCTTAGGTGCCACTTTGGTAATAGTATAGTACGTGTCAACTTAAGGAATACAGTCAACTTCGTCAATTTGGGCATGACTATCTCTCAGGGGCGTACGCAGGACGAGAAGGAGGAGGGGGGGGGGGGATTGCGATGAGGCTGGCGAGCCGGGGGGGGGGGCGGGGGGGCCTTGTCAGGGGCTAACCCCTGGCAATGCAGAGTCTCCCCTCCCTGCGTACGCCCCTGCCATCGGTATAGTACGTGTCCACCCCGAAGTTCAAACGAAGTCATAAACAAAGAAGTTCCCCAATTAAAACAGCTTTCTCAATATCTACTTCACACAAGTTCGTTCTTGAATGCGACATTGACCTCACACTTGGCCGAGTATTGATGGAGAGGGTTTCACAATGAGACTCCGTTCTAGGACGTCCTCGCTGAAATCAGATGGCAGTACCCAGTGTGATATCCATCCCGGACTTAAAAAACCTTGTTCAGTGCTTTTGATGTTTCTGAGTTCTTAATTTTTTTCCCGCAGTAAATGTGGGCCGAAGTGGACGGTCTTGACTAAGTGGACACGTACTATACTAATGGCAGGAGCGTACGCATGGAGGAGGAAGCTCAGGGTATGACAACCCCCCTCCCCCCTCTCGCTCTGCGTACGCCCGTGAGAGATGATGAGACGGCCTGAATTGACAAAGTTGACGGTATTCCTTAAATGGACACATACTATACTATTACCGCCACTTTCATCTCCGAGAGGCTTCGGACAAGAAGTGGCTGAAATGCCATTTTCGCCTTTACAAAGCCGCATTCCGCTCTCGGCCTGTCGATTTGAGGATCGAAAGGCACACAGATCTCCATCTGGGAGCGTGGCGTTAGTCGACTATGGTTACATGGCACTTCCGCAAGGCATCATATCGACTTTATAGCCTGTCGGTGTTTTCGCGATTTGAACCCTCTTCCTCGTTATCTCCTGAAAATTTCACACGATGCAATTCTTATCCCTACCTCCGACCAGTCATTTAACACAAACACTGCTTTTAAGCTCTCGATCGTGTTAACCCCTAAGGATTAGCGTAGCTCATCACGATGAAGTTCAGGGAATCCCCTTAACACCAACATCGAACTGGAATTGAGGTGGCATTTCGTCTTTAATCTGGTGTTATGCATAAGAAAAAAAAAAAAACAGGAAAAAATGGTGTCATACTAACACCGTAGGGTGTGTTCAAATTCGGCGTTAAGGTGTGGATTTCGTGTTGCACAGAACGCCAACGCCGAATTCGAACTCACCCGTTGTTTATCAGTTGTTTTTCAGTACCAGATAATAAGTTCCCAACTGGCTGGTATTTTACGACTCTGCTGAATATATTTTGAGCTCTGTTGATGGGAAAGTAAAATGGTTTTACCAGTCGATATTTTGCAACATGCCGGCGATCAACGGGTAATAAAAAGGGGGGAAAGTAAATTAGAGAACCACGGCCACTATGGTCCTTTTTCAACTGTGAGCCTGATCAGTCTTCATGTTCAAATTTTATCTGGTTCTAAATGTCCAAGTTTTATGTAATCCTCCAATGCAAAGCTTTATTGTTACGATGAATCTGCACATTGCAATGTGTTCACGTCGTTTCGCGTCGCGATCGTTTTNGTATTGTACGACACGAGCAGTCATCAGACCTAGTATTAGCAGTGAGTCGACCGGATTGAGCTAAAGATTTGAGGTGTCCAAGATGAACACAGACGAAAAAGAGGCTGTCGTTTAACGAGAGAAATCCCCATCTGTCACGATGTTCACGTTTGCCGAACCAAGATCACAAAATAAAGTTAATGCTATTAGCCATTGTCGCCCCATCCTCCTGCTTCAGCACACCTTGTAGCACCCTTAGGTGCCACTTTGGTAATAGTATAGTACGTGTCAACTTAAGGAATACAGTCAACTTCGTCAATTTGGGCATGACTATCTCTCAGGGGCGTACGCAGGACGAGAAGGAGGAGGGGGGGGGGGGATTGCGATGAGGCTGGCGAGCCGGGGGAGGGGGCGGGGGGGCCTTGTCAGGGGCTAACCCCTGGCAATGCAGAGTCCCCCCTCCCTGCGTACGCCCCTGCCATCGGTATAGTACGTGTCCACCCCGAAGTTCAAACGAAGTCATAAACAAAGAAGTTCCCCAATTAAAACAGCTTTCTCAATATCTACTTCACACAAGTTCGTTCTTGAATGCGACATTGACCTCACACTTGGCCGAGTATTGATGGAGAGGGTTTCACAATGAGACTCCATTCTAGGACGTCCTCGCTGGTATCAGATGGCAGTACCTAGTGTGATATCCATCCCGGACTTAAAAAACCTTGTTCAGTGCTTTTGATGTTTCTGAGTTCTTAATTTTTTTCCCGCAGTAAATGTGGGCCGAAGTGGACGGTCTTGACTAAGTGGACACGTACTATACCAATGGCAGCCCCTGCCATTGATACGCAGGGAGGAGGAAGCTCAGGGTATGACAACCCCCCTCCCCCCTCTCGCTCTGCGTACGCCCGTGAGAGATGATGAGACGGTCTGAATTGACAAAGTTGACGGTATTCCTTAAGTGGACACATACTATACTATTATCGCCACTTTCATTCTCCGAGAGGCTTCGGACAAGAAGTGGCTGAAATGTCATTTTCGCCTTTACAAAGCCGCATTCCGCTCTCGGCCTGTCGATTTGAGGATCGAAAGGCACACAGATCTCCATCTGGGAGTGTGGCGCTAGTCGACTATGGTTACATGGCACTTCCGCAAGGCATCATATCGACTTTATAGCCAGCATATCGCGATTTGAACCCTCGTTATCTCCTGAAAATTTCACACGATGCAATTATTATCCCTACCTCCGACCAGTCATTTAACACAAACACTGCTTTTAAGCTCTCGATAGTGTTAACCCCTAAGGATTAGCGTAGCTCATCACGATGAAGTTCAGGGAATCCCCTTAACACCAACATCGAACTGGAATTGAGGTGGCATTTCGTCTTTAATCTGGTGTTATGCATAAGAAGAAAAAAAAAACAGGAAAAAATGGTGTCAAACTATCACCGTAGGGTGTGTTCAAATTCGGCGTTAAGGTGTGGATTTCGTGTTGCACAGAACGCCAACGCCGAATTCGAACTCACCCATTATCAGTTGTTTTTCAGTACCAGATAATAAGTTCCCAACTGGCTGGTATTTTACGACTCTGCTGAATATATTTTGAGCTCTGTTGATGGGAAAGTAAAATGGTTTTACCAGTCGATATTTTGCAACATGCCGGCGATCAACGGGTAATAAAAAGGGGGGAAAGTAAATTAGAGAACCACGGCCACTATGGTCCTTTTTCAACTGTGAGCCTCATCAGTCTTCATGTTCAAATTTTATCTGGTTCTAAATGTCCAAGTTTTATGTAATCCTCCAATGCAAAGCTTTATTGTTACGATGAATCTGCACATTGCAATGTGTTCACGTCGTTTCGCGTCGCGATCGTTTTCGGGCGAAAAACTTGTTTAAAGGGAAACCGCAGCGAGACCCGAGATTTCACCGACCCCAATGCGGCAATAAGGGGACACCACGCTGAGACGATGCGGATGGAGCAGAAAGCCAATTCGAAGAGATAAAAAGAAAAAGAGCATGGCCCAATTAGAAAGATTTATTTCTTCACTCAGACGTAATGAGCTGCGTCTGCATCTGCTTTTCCTCCATCTCCGCGAGTGCCCGTTCTCTTCGCCGTCCACAGTTTCAGACAATTTCCTTAAGTGTCGGTTTGTCGGCTATTATACCGGCGATCGGGACCCGAACTTAAAATTTATTGCCATGGTTAAGTTGAACAATACGTTGAAGTCGAAACGATTCACCGATGCTTTTTCCTTACGGATCAAACCGAGCTTATGAAAATATGGGCGATATGGTTAATGATGTAATACGTCCGCATATCTCGTGAGCTCGTCTCGATAGCGAACAAGGTTTTTTTTTAAGGGGGAACGAGGTACACTTGTGAATGTTGGCGAAAGGAAGCGGAGAGTTCGTCCGTCTGGCACCTTTCTTAACGGGAGGCGCGCTCGAACAGTTTTGGCAAATTTGCCAGTTCGAGGCACGAAAGCAGTTCGAGTCGACGCGGAACGGGATCCGACTCTTTCCGACCTTGAAGCCTCTTCGCTTCGCTTTGCATAAGTATCGATCGTTCGCCGACTTTTCGCGAAATGCGGTGGTCGAAAATGGAGGACGATCGATGTGGACCGTTCTTTCGCCGTCTTCCAACGATCCGACTGGAATGCATTGCCTGGACGAATTCCCACTTCAGAGAGACTGAAAAAATCCGTCTGTCTTCCGTCCTTCGCATCCACGTGCCTCTTAAATTCACGTTCGCCCACGTGGGGATCGAGTCATTATTCATATCGCGAATGCGTCCGGATTTGGATCATCCGTAGCAAAATCGTCGAAAGAAATGGATTTTCGTCGTACAGCAGCATCGACTACAGTGAGTTCGCTTACCGATTTCCAACCCGGAATGCTTGGCGCACTCTCTCGTATAAAGTCTGACGAGTTTCTGTTTCAATTATGGTAATTTCGTCGAGGAAGATTCGCTGGGAAATTGCTCCAACTTTAATTGAAATTGTTCGAACAAAGGCAGCAGTAGCTAGCTGGAAAATCACCGGTGTGAAGTCACAGGACTCCTCCCACGCATCTATGACACATTAAGACTAATATTTGTTATCGATAGATGTCCCGGGAGTTGGCTAAAGGCCACTCCAGTCATTTTTCATGGATACGGAATGAAAGCTCAGACTTTTTCCCACGAAATATCTGCGCTTGAAGGGTTGCTCCGCCTGGTACTGCTCGTAGACGCGTTCGCCTCGGTCCCGTATGGCAATTCAGGTACCGAGATTCGAGGAGAGGGCAGGGCCGAGGGTGGTTCCGTGCCTCGATGTTTCCGTGCCTCGGTCGTTCCGTGCCACGTCCTCGACGCGGGGCGGAGCTTTCCCAGAAAACTTCTCTCTCCCCCCTTGCATTAGGCGCCATTCAGGAGGATTAGCCTCTTTCACTTCATCGAGAAATCGGATCAAGGATGAGATGGAAGCCTGTTGCCTCCATCACTCCGTCCCTCCATCATGCGTTCGGCATCGCATGCGAAACGAGGAAATTCGGATGCTAACGTACTTGTCAGACCCGACGCCAGGCACGAGAAGAAATGCGAAAATTATGCGAAATCGCTCCGACGAATCGATGCACCCGCGAGGGTGGCATTGGCAGCGCCGAGTCGACAAGTTAATGACAACGAATGAAAAAAAGTGTTTACCGGACGACCGTGGGCCGAGAGGCTTGGACGCGAGCCTCTCGTGCTGCCATCTTTCGTTTGCAGCGGGCACGAGCCAAAGTCGAAGGAGGGAATTACGCAACCTCGTATGTTAACGGATGGTGGTTTTAGGCCGGAAGCATCTCTCGCGTAAAGTGAAAACGTGCCCTTTTCGTCCTCTCGGCCGTCCATGCGAAACGATGACTCGGACCGGGAGACGCGAGGACTCGAACCGGGGGATGCGAGGACTCGAACCGAGAGATCTACGGATCAGCCGGTGTAGCAGACAAAGGGCGGAAATAACTGGATTTATCCTCGTCGCCTTCATCCGCTTCGGATCGAAGGGCACATCTCTACGATTTCGAAATGAAGTTCTCTCCGTCGCTCCACATCGTCAGACGAAATAAATCCGAGTGGAAAATGTTCTTTCAACTCGATTCCTTGGCGTAGATAAGAGGAAATCGGTTATGCGCCCGAGGCCTCCGTCTAGGAAAAAAATACAAGAAAAACCTTGAAGGCAAGTCAGGTTTTCCTTGTCAAGGTCATCGGAACGTCTGGACTCCTTTCCACCGACTCACTCGGGCAAGGAAGGAGAAAAGCGAAAGGGGAATTTCGTTTTTTTTTTTCAGTTCATTTTCAGTGCGACTGAAAAATATGAAAAAACTCCCTCCTCGATTACCCCGACCTTGTATAGAAATCCTTTGCATTTCGCAACAGCCAGATAAGTCGAGGAATGATTCAGTCTGTGACAAAAAATGTGGCGGGAAAAGGTGACACCACAAAAGAGGTGAGGAGGGAGGCCTCACCTGTCGGAAGCGTGAAACTCCAAAATCGCTAAAACTTTCCAAAAAAATTTTCCACTTTTTTTTGGCTGAGTTTGCTTTTCAATCCAGAACTACCTGCATCACCGAGTAAACTTTTCTGTCCGTGTGAAAGGCTCGTCAGCCTGTGATTCTTTGGCGCTAGTTTGTATTATGTAAGCGATAAATGTATTGTTGGGCTTCATAAAGGACGATCGTACCCTTCAAGGCAAGGCTAATGATTGAAGGTCAAGGAAAGGGAGGAAGGGGGTCGTCTGCGTGGGGACAGCTTTATAGGACGAGTTTGGCCTTTCCTCTGCTTTCGTGAAAGGGGACTTTCGGGTATTTTTTGTCTCTGCTGCAGCAGATGTCTGATAGGTTGGCCTTGAGCCGCGCCGCAAGCGAGGCCATGCATTGACCTCTGAGAAAAAAAAGAGGGAATGCATACATTTCTCCGCGTCATCTGTCGCTGCTTTATCATCCTTCGTTAACTTAGCGGAAAAAAAGCGGGAAGACGAGAAGCAGGGTGAGGGACGGGTGGCACGTGATACCAGACCTTTGTGAGATCCCGGAGAGGAAGGCATTTCTCGTTATCAGAGCAGAAATCTGCCGTAATTTGTCGGTGACCTCGGAACATCTGTTCGCCCATCCTTGGGGGACGATCCGGAAGTCCAGCCCGCAAAACAGAGAGAAAGAGGGATCGGGCTTTTTTTTTTTATCTGTGGAAAAAGGCTAACAAAGAGGAGGGCAGGCACACTGGCGCGGCGAGGCCCGTGCCGTGCGAGTGAAGGAATGTGAAATGCACGGGCTTTGTCTGGGCATCGATCAGCGGCGGGAAGAGACATCCACCAATCACGAGGCTGGGTTCGAATGCGGCGGGGAGCTAAAGCGCATGCGCGGAGCCGAGGCACTCGCCTTTCCTCCCCTCTCGCTCTCCCTCTTCCCCCTGCTTCCTCTCCCAGCTCCCTTGTCTGCACATGTGAGTCGTGCGACGAGGTTTGGCTGAGCCGGTTGTCTCGCTTGAATGTGGTGAGACTCGAGAGAAGGGGGGGACGCGAGAACCAGAGGATTATTTTTCTACCTTCCCCATTTTCGGTGTGCGAGAAAGAGTGTTGAATGCGTCAACTCTCGTCGCCTGTGATGCCTGCTAGTCTATATCCAGAGATGGAGAAGCCCAGCGGGCTGGAGGAGCAGAGGGCTTTCCAATTAGCCCTCGAATTGTCCATGCTGGGCCTGAGTAGCACAACGACGAGCAATGGGAGCACGGATGGAAGTTCCAGTTCTCCCGATAACGACGGATTGGGTTCCTCCATCATCCAGGATGAAGCCCGAGCCAAGAAGAGCCAGAACATGACGGAATGTGTTCCTGTGCCTTCCTCAGAGCACGTGGCCGAGATCGTCGGAAGGCAAGGTGCGCCAAAAGCCTTTCTTTACAGTTTAGAAAGATATTCCTAGCCTAGGAATGCTTGGGTATTTGTAAATCTAGAAACCAGTCTGTTATCGTCTCACCTAGCCGAGAGAAGTGCCCGTGCGCACTTCTCTAACTCAAGGTTGCATTACTTTGGGATTTGTTGCGCTCGCGTCCAAACTGCGTTTTAGTCGCAGTAAGTCATGCCCAGACTTGAACAGCTAAGGGCCGATGGATTTCTTAATGGACCAAGGCTTTCCTTGGTAACAAAGTTGGTCTTTTCATAATTTTCCTCTCTTCTATAGGCCAAGCTTTTCACGCACCTTTTTTATAGCTCAGTATTCCCTATTATAATGAATATAAAAGTTATCATGCAGTTCAGCTCGCCAGAAAGGCCTAGGCGAAGTAGCTAGATCTGATTTGTATGGTGCGCCGCATCCTGCCCAGCTGATACGACCTCGCCTTCTCTCGGCGGAAATGGGGATTCGGTGAAGGCTTAGGCTCACTTCGAAGGTTTGGTACTCGTGGCCCGTATTTCCGACGGGGGGGGGGAGGAGGGGATATGAAACGTGACACCTTTGCTGAGTCAGGGCGAGGGACCTTTTTCCTTTGTGTAGGAGGGAAGGGAAGCAGACGACATGACGAGGGGGCAGGAGGAGAACGTAGCCTAGACGTAGAGGACTATATATAAAAGGCGGGAGGGAGGGGGAAGAGGGAGGAAGGCCTTGGAAGCTTCCCAAGTTATTCACCCGGTTGTCCTTCAGAGGGAACGCGGGTGAAAGGCCGAGAGAGAAAAGAGACATGTGCCTCTGTCTGTTGTGGTTCAGTACTGAGACTGGCCTTCACCCGGTCACACTTCCATGCCTTCAGGGTCCGAATCAGTACCCCCAACGAGTACTAGGCTCCTACGTCGCATTGAAGTTCATGAACCGCGCTTTCCCTCCCTCCCCCCCATAATGTTCCCACTTCCGCCCGGTCTTCTCGAATGCGTGTGCGTGCGTGTGTTTGTGTGCACACTCACACACAAAGGCGGGCGCTCCTGTGAAGTACTTGTTCATGATAAGCCAGCAGGTTCATGTGTCATGTAACACGTTTCGCGGTATTTTTTACCCGCCGCACCAGATAATTCTAATTCTAGAAATTCAATTAGTTGACGTTTCTGTGGGTCTTTTATTTTCGTGTGTATGGGATGGAAATTCCTTGTTCGTAATACTGCTTCACCGTAACGGAATAAAAGTTTTTCAAGTGTCTGGTATATCTGAAGGAAACTGAAGGACTTTCGAGTTGATTCAACCTTGGGGACGTTCCCTTGTAATGCCACGAGGGTCACCCTTTATTGTTCTAGGAGTTCTATGGCGTCCTACTCCTTCCACAGACAGGGATGGTGGAGCCCCGAAGGCAGAAATTTGGGAAGTGTAATGGGGGTTTGTGGGGAGAGGAGAGAGGCGGGAATGTGGGTGAATATTTCAAGGCCAGTGAGTCGGGAGAGAATCCCTCAGGGCATAGACTCCCATTTTCCAAGGGACTACCATTCGGGCAAGCAGACCGGAACAGTCTCGACGGAATCTTCCTTAGTCGTAATCTTGCTCACGTAATGAAAGTGAGATTTTCTTCACACCCCCCGCCTGCCCTGCGATCCATCATTTTTCAACGATGGAAAGTCTGTGGCGTTTCGGTCCAAATTAATTGACCTCGGAACAGTATTTAGTAATGTATGGTCATGCGGTGCCTTTCCAGCTCGTCGTAATCGATTGATCGTGACGGCCTCCAGGGCAGATTTTCCACCCTCCCCCTTTCAAAGGACTTTGGGTTCAAGGACAGGCGCAGAAAATACCCCCTTTACTCATTGGACCAGGTGACGTTTTGGTTGAATCCGACGAGACTGAACCGGACGGACGGGATCGGGAGACCCTGGTATGAAAATATAGCCGGGACCGTGCAATGTATAATGTAGGAGAAGGGGTTGTCCTTGGGCGGACTCGGAAATAACGCGTGAGGTCATCGAGAGAAGGATAAGATTGTGAAACACGGAAGGCAGATGTGTTGGTCCCGTTCCACCAAGGATTTTGTTAATCTTTCTCCTCTTACTTCACTGCTCGGTATTGCATCGCAGCATTCGCTCCATTTGTTTCGCAGGGTGCGTCGAGCGTGGCAACGCGGGGCCAGACGGGTTTTGTTGCACCCGACGCACGTCACCGTTGCAGACCTGGTCCTACGTTGCCGCACTCCACTGTCAACATAAAGCTCCGCATGAAGCGGCGGTCCAAATACAACATTGAGTTTCAGTTCCCAGTCCACTTTGGTGCGTGCAAGTGCAGCCATATAGGGTCGAGTGCTGCGTTGCCACATTCCTCATCTGCGGAGGGAAAAGGGATATTAACTCATACCGGTACTCTCGCTCTTGAGTTCATATGTATGTACCACGAGGGGTAGGGGTTTAGATATGTAATGTGATGCAGGGTGAGGAGACCTCTTCGCTTTCCTTGTCATGAAACGTGTTGTACGTGCTAAACCTCTCTGCTTAAATGGAATCAGGACACCCGATTCTCTCCCTCGGCAGTATAGAGGGGGAACTGCGCTCAATGAGTAGGCCTCGGAGGAGTCCTAGGACAAGTGGAGGCAATTCCTAAGTTAGGCAATTTGACAACAGGGAATTGGATTTAAAGCAGGACGGGAAAGTAATTTTCCAGCCATCTGCAGTAAGATGCAGCGGTTCATGATCTAAGTGGACGAACTACACTCGGGTTTAATTTCACTTTTCCAGTTGTAATGTAACTTTTCGGAGAAACCTTCCCCCCTTCTCAGGTCGAGTCACCAGTCTTTTGGATTCCTGTCACGTCAGTCATGTCAATACACAATGACGACAATTTTCATCGAAAACAGGAATAGAAATAATCCCATTGTTCGTATTGAGGCAAGGTATAACGAGCATTTTGAAAGGGAAAGAGGAAATAGTACAGACTCAAAGGCGTTGTAAGCGGAATATTTTTGTTAGTAATGGCTGGAACAAAATTTTCTCCCACGCTTTGTTCAATTAGAATGGAATCAGTGGCTCAGATTTAATTGGTAGTGTGAATGTACACGAGTGGCTATGGATGATGGAACGTTGAACTTGTCGAAGAAACTTTCGAAAGGGACGAGTTGAAGAGGCATTCATGAAGAAGCTCTCAACTTTTCGGTTCGATGAGTCCTTATCAAGGATTGAGGAGTCCCCTGTCGTTCGATGAAATCCTTAAAGTCTTCGCTCTCATCGTGTGTATGAGAATTGAAGCTTCCAGTCATCCTTTGAAGCTACATGCAACAAATTTGAGAATCGTTTTGGGGGGAAAAGCTAAAGCTTGGAACGTGATGGGAATTCCTGTTAACCTATTTTCTGCGTTATACATGCTGCAGGGCGTGAAGCAGTTAAACTGAAAGTTTGAGTTCTCGTTATGCACAAATGCAATTTCAATGCTTTTTATACGTTTAGAGGTGGTGTTTCCTATTGGGAGGGGTGGTGCTGAGAAATTGGCCGATAAATGAGACACTGGTTGATGAGACTTTACTTGACAGGCACGTGTTGGTGCTATTATTATTCTCATTCATCTCGTCGAGAAAGGCACCCGATGTTTGTCTCCCTTACTTTCCTCGTTCCACCAAGGAATAGAGGGATCGAGAGGATATGAATAGAAAACTGCAGCTCGCTCTCACGAGTTGAAGAAGGGGATGGCTTAGAGGGCTTCGGGTTTCCTTCGGTTTACACAGGAGTCATGTCTCTTTCTCTCGGATCGATGCCGAGCAGCCGGCTAGTCTCGGGCCTTCTTCCTCTCGTTTGATCAATCTTCCTTCTCCTTCCCCTCCTGTTTGTGAGCTAGGTTTCTTGAGGAGCACTCCTTACCGAACTTTGACGTCCTCCCTCGCGATCAAGTCTCGTGTGGACACATTATCTCAATACTTCCTCGAGAGGCCGCTCCTGATTTATTTTTCTCCAAAAAATGGGATGTGGAGCACTCGAGTAGGTTTAGGAGAGTTGGGCGCAGCACCCCTCGACTATTGCTATGAGGACCAGCTTGAAGGGGGCTCGAGCAGAATTTAATTAATCCCTATGTATTGGACTATTCGTATTTGCAGTCTGTCATTGGCATCGTGTAGGTGCATAATTCAATAACACTTGTCGGGATTTACATCTGCATTGTTCCCGGTGTGCCACAATGGCTGGCAGGATTCGTGTAGCTGCTTATTTTCTTAGTTGAGGCTGATGAGTTCATTTTAACCCAGGGCGTACCAACCAGTTCCAGAAGGCACCTGTTTACTTGGGCAAGTGCTGCACTCCCTTGGGTAAATTTCTCATTAACCCCTGAAGTGGGGAATATCTTGGGACAGAAGTCTGCCACCGGAGTCAAATTATTGTGAGGAACAATTAGTGTTTGTGTGAGAAATTGACCTCTTTCTCGAGTTTATACTCCTATTTCGAGTCACTAATTTAAATTTAACTCAAATTCGAAAAATAACCCGACGGAAAGAAATGCCTACTTCCCTTGGGAGCGTTTCACCATAATGGATATAAACGTCATACCTACTTGAGGGGTTCAAGAAGACAGCCTGAAGATCGCTCTTAACCTGATCTTGAGAAAAAAAAATTGACCGCTCGTTGACAGCCTCTGGTCTTGCCTCTTCCTTGTTGCCTGTTCTTTAAATTTAACTGCCAATTTTTGGCATTAAAGGTCTTTTATTCGTATCTTTCTTCAGTTTTCCATTCGCCTTCTCTTGGGTAAAAATCTGGGAAAATTGCTTATGTCATGAGGAGTGAAGGTTAAACACAGCCTGACAGTCAATTCTTTTGGAACGAAATTATATTGTCATGGCCCGACTAGGCTTATTGCTTGTCAATGGTACGGAAGATTGCATTCAAGGAAGACCTACAAAGCCGATTGTGACGAGCGAGAGCCATTGAATTTCTAAATTTCCTCTCCTAGCGTCTGACCTCCATATCACTGAAAGGGGACATTAGTTTCATTTCGCATGGTTCTCTCTTGTGGCAGGCTGCAAGATCAAGGCGCTGCGGGCAAAGACGAACACATACATCAAGACCCCTGTGCGGGGAGAAGAACCTGTGTTCGTGGTGACTGGTCGCCGGGAGGATGTGACGGCGGCGAAGCGAGAGATTCTTTCGGCTGCCGAGCACTTCTCAGCCATCCGGGCCCAGCGAAAGGGCGGTCTCAATGGTTGCGGGGGAATCATCCCGCCGGGTGGACCTGGCCAGGTCACCCTATCCGTCAGGGTTCCCTATCGAGTTGTCGGACTCGTCGTCGGTCCTAAGGGTGCCACCATTAAGAGGATCCAGCAACAGACTCATACCTACATCGTCACGCCTTCCCGGGACAAGGAACCAATCTTTGAGGTCAGTTTTCTTTTGATGATTCCGGGAGGTTTGCCGGGTTCCGTTATCAATAATGCCGTTAGAAATAAGGACCTAAAGTGTTTCACTTGAAGTTAAAGGTTGTTTAAGGTTTCGTTAAGAAAATACGAAATTTCGGTCAGGGAAACATCAAGGATGACCTGAAAAAGTCAGTGAAATTTATTTCCGGTTTGCCGTGGGAACTGTGATAACCTGACGGGAAAATGATAGTAAGACGCTAGAAAAATGAACTGGAGCCGACGCTTGAGTTTTTATGTTATCGTGGGTTACAGGTGACAGGTATGCCAGAGAACGTGGAGATGGCGCGGAAGGAGATCGAATCTCACATCGCAATGCGAACGGGGGGGATCTTTGATCCGCACGATCCCGATGATTTTGGTTCGCGACCACCGGGTCCAGTGGGACCAGTGGACGGGGAACTGGGTCTTAACCTGAAGAGTCTCAACTCGGACCCCTTCCATCACCATCCTTCCTCATCCATCCTTCCATCCAATGGTCTCAACAACGACCCTTCGGGACTCTACTACGGGAAGCCGTACACGAATGGACACCACCAATCCTATCCCCTGTACAGCAACGGAGGCGACCACGGGATGTGGAACGACAACAAGGTCTTGGGGAACTCTGCCTTCAACGGCGGTGGAACCAACAGCATCAGCAGTGGGCTGCGAAGCATCCTGGGAAACATGGTGCGAAGCAGCAGTCTCGGATCTCCGGGAACCACCACTCCACGCATCAGCCCACCTCCGCAGCAGCTCCCTTTGGATGTACACCGCCCCGCAAGGAGGATCCAGTCTGAACCCCACGTGGGTCCGGTGGGTCTGTTCGGGGATGGCGTGGGGACGCCGACCAGCGGGTCTTCGCCCTCCCCGCCGTCCCTGAGCTTGAAGAAGCGTGAGTGTATGGTCTGCTTTGACTCGGAGATCGTCGCCGCCTTGGTCCCTTGCGGCCACAATCTTTTTTGCATGGAATGCGCTCAGCGATTGTGTGAGACTCCGGACGGGTCCCCGGGACTCTGCCCCGCCTGCCACCAACCCGTTACTCAAGCCATTCGAATCTTCTCTTAGAGGGAACGGACAAAAATGACAAAAAATGGGAAAGACAACAAAAAATACTCTTTCTCTATTCGTTAGGGCATTACAGCTTCGACACCAAAGCAGGGTGGCTGACATAACAGATACCAATTTTTTCACTCTTCTTTTTTTGACCAAATGTGTTCCAAGTCATCACTTTTCTTCCAGTACCACCCTGGAAAAAATTTTCTTCTCTTACTATAATCTATCTGACTGACTTCTTTTCTTTTTCTATCTTTTATTCATACTGGATTGGATTGTTTGCTCATCGGGGGATGGGGAAGGCCAAAGGGTTTCCAGGGTGGGAGATTTTTTTCCGACCTCCATTCTTGTGTGTCTTGACCAATTGCGACTTTGTAGCTTGGGGCAAAAACCACGGCCTTCCCCTTTCCCCCTTTTTCAGGCTTTCATGCACTGAGACCAGAAATCTCATTCGCCTAGCAAGACAAATGAATGATAGGTAAATTATCGTATATATTATGAGAATTTGAGATATGAGAAAATATCACCGCCAGGTTATGCCTAATATTATTGGACTACATATACCTCTTTACCCCCATGAAGAATGAGCACACATCTCACGCATTCTCGCGCTCTCTGCCGTATTATGTTTTTGTCCCCTGTGATAGAAGGAGTTTTCCCGGGCATTCCTCAGATTTATTCAGGCAGGAGATATGAACCAGAAAAAGGGGAAAAATCCACCGGAGCGAAGAAAGCTTACGATGAAACTCTTTCCTTTCCTCTGTTTTTCCAAACATATGCTTCACACACCCCATTATCATCAAATGTAAATTTTTTTATTTTTCGCTGAAAGATGAGAGATTAGTGTGTTTGTCAGATAGAGTATTTCCTTTAGTTTATTTTTATACTGCGTGTATCGTCGAATTGTAGGTGTGCTATTTGACAAAGGTTTTTTTTTTCCCTCGAGGATTCTTAGATTTTTCTATCTCCTGTGATGTCTCTCTCCTCAAAAACAAAACCCGAGCACAAGTTGAAACACTCATTCCTTCCTAGTTGAGTCGTCTCCTCTTTCGGTCTGTCTTCCACTCTTTAAGCTTGCAAAGATTTTTTTTTTCCTTTCTTATACCCGTACCAAAAAAATTTTCTTCCAGAGTTTCATTGGAATAGACCCAGAGCTTCGGTGGGTCATATATATCTCGGTGTGAAACAAGAAAATGCAATAATCCTCCACGCATGCCTTTTTCTTCTCAAAACAAAAGAAACCACGTTTATGCAGGCAGATTTTTTGCGTGTATTTTGCATAAGCAAGAGAGTGCGTGTTTCCGTGTGTGTTCGGAGAAATCCCTCGATTACGCCTATAAAACCTCGTTCTCGGGCATTTTTTATTATTTAGTTGTGATGTTTGTAGCAAAGACAGTCGAAAAAAAACTCCAAAAAAAAAGACTAGAGACGAAGTCCTTGATGCCAAAGGAAGTGGATTGGATCCTTAAAAATGGACAGGACAGGAGAGGGGGGGGGAGAACTGGTGAATACTCAAGAAATAAAAGCTCCACTGATCTCTTTGTTTGCTCTCGCACAGACACAAATAAGTCTCACCCAGTCATATCCAAAAAATGGGAGAGAATTTTCTTTTTTTCAATTGGGGGAAATATAAACATGCTCAGAACCGCCTCTATAGTCAGTGCCATGCAGACTTTTCCCTCTTTTGTGTATATACTATAATTATTGGGGGATTTGAGAGAGAGAGAGAACCCAGGCCTTATAGAGAAAAGAGAATCCCTAGTTATCATAAGACGTGATACAAAAGAGAATCTTTTTTTGTCCCTTGCAGTCAGTATTCTTTTTTTCGGTGTATCAGATCGAGGAAGGAGTATAATTATGATATGATATTGGATATTTGCATGCACAAACCAGACTATGTTTTTGCGCCCTCAATATTCAGTGATGCCCCGGGGAAACCTGGCCCTTTTTTGACCTTGTTCTTCCTCTTGGGATGTAGTCTCTTTCTCTCTCGTTCCCCGTTTACCTTGCTTCCTCAAAACAAGAGAGACGAAAGAAAAAAAAAAGAGGAGACATAATTTTGTACTTTTTTACATTTTTATAGATTATTCTGTCCCCCTCCTTGTCCCACCCCACACTCCCCCCTACAGTTGTGTGTTGATTCAGTGTGATGATGATGATCTCGGGTTTCCCCGGGGCTCGTTCTTCGACATTTTTCTCCTCTCCACTCCAAGGAAATCCTGAATGACAAAATGTCCCTGCTAGAAGGAAAAAATTTTATTTTGCCATTTTTTTGATGGATTCCATCATGCATGACTCTTTTGTTTCCTGGATTCCAAAAATTTCGCTTTCGTAGTCTTGTTAGACTTGAGAGATGATGTTAGATCTAATTTTTTTTGTCTCCTTGGCAACTCTGTATATTTTTTCAATATTGCTTCATTCAAGAAGAGAGAGACCACCAGAAGTATTTTCATTCTTTATGTACCTTGGGAGTTTAGTACTTAAATCAGAGATTTTTTCCCCCTCCCCACACGTGTTTCAGAGATACATTGGATAAAAAGATGAGAGGAAAGAAAGTGTATGCTAATTTTTTTTGCCCCCATGTTCCCTAATATTTTCAGACTTCAGATTTGATTTGCTAGAATAAAGATCTAATCGGAAAAAATGCTCATTTATTTCGCTTGAGACGGAGATAGTGTGAGGTGTTTGAAAGTATCTCCTGTCGATGGAAGGGGAAAGGGGAAAAGAGGGAGAGGGGGAGTGAGTGAGGGAGGGAGGGAGGGAGGGAAGGGAAGGGAAATACAGGACCCTGGCAAAACCCAGGCCCAGACGGAACAGGGATGCCGAATCCATAAGGCTGTTCTTGTGCAACTCAGACTAAGGTGTGCCTTCATCCCGTTTTAAGATATCTCTGTATCTTCTACCAGAAGCTACTGCATCCGTTACCACTGGTTCCTGTAATGCTGTGGAAAGAAGATTCAGAACAAGTTTAGGGTGGAGGTGGTGCGGTGAAGGAGATGGGGCATCCCTGGTCAGATATTCCCTACGCTTTCCCCCAGTTTCCATCGATCGTCTAGCTCTAGCCCCAGCACTGCACTCTCCCCCTCCCTCTCTTCCATGGGCGTCTCGCCAAGGAGGGTGGAAACTACGAGAACCCGTTGAGATATATAGCCCTCAACTTCCCTCCCCTCTCCATCTCCGTTCCAAAACCTCTAGTCTTTGTTCCTTGAAAAACCCACCCCGATCTCCGATCTTATACCGCATATGTCGTTATAGCGAAGAGAATGGAAGAGGGAGGGAAACTGCATCTGGTGTTTGTTGGCGAAGGGAAAGCTCATTCTTTTGCCTCCTGTTTACTACTCACGCGGTTTTTTTTTTTTCTTTCTTTGTGGGTCGAAAAGGGGCGAAGGGGTTCGTTCACCTGCGACCTCTTCAGAATCGATGATGAATGCCCAGCCTCGTCCCCCTCGGAAACACGACGGCTCTTTCTCATCCACCCGTATCTCCTCGGGAGTTTCCGCATTCACAATAACACATTTCACGAGGTATTCGTAATTGCTCCGCCTCTGTTTTCAAGCCCCTTGAGAGGGTGAACTGAATATCCTTTGCTAGAAGGGAAGGAAGGAGTCGAATAAGCCCAGTTACCCGTGAATTGCGCGGAATAGTTGAGGCCCTCGCCTCCTCCCCGATCGGCAGCAGCTATGCCCCGTGATTGAATGAACGTGAGGGGGAGATTTTATAGACGGAGCCCTGCATACTCCGTCATCGATTTAGGTTCGGGAAGACCCATGACTCGGTGACGAGACCTGAGTCATCGTCCCAAATGCAACCGGCATTTCGCCAGGGCCCCAGGTAGGCTTACTAGGCCTAGGCTAGAACTCGGGCCTTCTTGTTTTCTCTCCAACTGACAATGAGGGTCACAGGGAGAGGGAGAGCGAGTGTATAAGGCCATTGTTCTTCCCCGCTCCGAATTTCCTTGTTTATGCGGAAAACGGATCATTAAAGATCCCCGGGGTTTGGGGACAGAAGAGGGGAATTCTCATTGACCACCGTGGAACAATCGATTCCGCCCCCGGGCCTTCATCCCCCTTGTTGCTTCACCAGCTTCATTTTGCCCCTTCATCTCGGCTGTGCAAGAGGACAAAGGATGCAGTGTTTCTTCATTTTGGTACAAGAACTGCAAGACAGATGCGTTCATGAGTGACAGGAACATTCCTGGCATGGTTATCCTCGCACTCCTCGTTCCCTTAGTTGGCAGACGCTGTGTCACTCCTTGGATTTTTCTTTTTGTAGTTTTCCGAGAAAGCCGCCGTGAACACCCCCGCAAATACCCAAATTCAAGTTGTTTCATGTCGTGGAAATACATTTTAACTTGTCGGGAATTACTTGCCCCGAACCGCGAAAATTAGGCAGCTGTCTAACGTGACTGGTGTGTACAGTGAAAGAGGGGAAATGAAAACCTGAACTTCGACCAAACGCAAAAGCCAGTCCTTTTTTCCCTTTGTTTCTCCCTTATCGATTAGCCTGTGCCATAAGCCGAGCAGGCTTTCGATGGGGTCCAGCTGGAAAACACGCCGCAGCTGCTGCTCCCCAGCCTCGTTTCAAACGCACTCCCCGATGGAAAAATGTCGCCTTCCTTTCTCCGCTTCATATCCATATTTAGCATCCCGCTAATTACGTCCGAGTTGGCAGGAGTCCCGAAGTTTGTTCCTCCCTCCATCCGTTGGGTGAAGGGAAACCTAACCGTGGGAGATGAAAATAAAAACATCCATAGAAGGGAAGGAATTCGTCCAGGATCTGGAGAAGAAGGGAAATTCCTGTACGACAGAAAAGAAATTTTTGAAAAGAGGGTGAACCCAATACTGACAGTTTGAAAGGAAGACCTTTTTTTTTTCTTCAAATCCAGGGTTCTCATGGAGCACCTGGACGTGTTTATCGGGAGTGAAATTCTATAGGCATAGGCTTCTGTTGTCGGAGTTGAAGGACCAAGGAAAGGTCCAAAATGAGATTGTTTTTCCCCATGTGACCCTCCGTCGCCTTCGCCTCGCCTTTGTCCCTTTCGGCTACAAACAGGGCACTTGTCAACCACATGTTCGCTTCGTTTTCTTCTTTCTTTCCTTCTTTCTCTGTCTGTCTCCTTTCTTCCGAAGCAACGTGTGCCGAACAGTTTCCCGCCAGTTTCCGGCGTCGTGTTTCAGCCATTAATATTTCAACGTTTCAAAGGTCTCTCGTCTTTCCTGGTGTGCGAAGTCCCAGCATTTTTTGTCCCCGTCATTTTCCTGAAAACCTGATCGTTCGTTGCTCGGAAGACGGGAGAGAATAATTTTCATGACTTTTTCTCTCGAATAAAAGGATTCTGAGAAGTGTTTAGCCCGTCTCCATAGGAAAGGGGAAAATGCGCAGGAGAGTCACGCGTCAGATGTCACACCAATCCAATAATGGTAAGGACTCGACGGGATATACTGAGAACAGATTATCATACGTATTGAACGTGGCATTCACGATCCTCGACAAAATGCTGTGTAACGACTCCGCTGACGGTAAAGAGAGGCCCTCCTCCATTATTACCTGGAGGGAGAAAGAGAGGGAAAAAAAAGCCCGCGAAAACGATGGGATTACGAAAGTTGGAATGGAAAGGGCAGCTGCTGCTGCAACAGGGAGCCGAGAGTTCCTTGGGTTCGTGTCTCTTTTCTCTCTTTCTTTAGAAGAGACCTTCGCCTTTCACGGACGACGGCTGCCCGTGGGCAGGGGCCCCGTCCTCGTACATACATCTTCAATCACTTCGGCACAAATTATCGGGGGGGGGCCCCGGCCGACCGAAGTTTCCTAATAGACCTCCGAAATGACAGGGGAAAGGAAGAAAAAAAAAACCCTTTTTGCGGAACGGAAGAAAGTGAAGGAAGCGGCGCTTTCTCGGCCCTGCAGTCCTACGTTCGTTGTTCGCCTTGCTATTTTCGGCATCGGGGGGGCCCCGGCCCCAATCACCATGCTTTGTTCACGTGTCCGACTCTCGCGACATCTACCGGCCCTCCTTTCCAATTAAAGCTGTTTTTATTTTCGCGTTCGAGCATAGAATGCTCCCTTGAGCAAAAGGAAGCAATCAATTTCATTGGTCGTGTACAACATAACTATCGTTTTCATGCAATTTGTTGGATTTGTCGTGAGTTTCCGCGGCTTCCAGGATGTCGAATTAAAAACGTAACCAAATTGTTATTCGGGAACCGGCACCGCGCAATACAGGAAAAGCGGGGTTTCATGCCGGCCGATGAGGCGGAAAAGCCGATCTTCGTAGATGGGAGGGGGAGGGGGTGGACAAAGAGGACTAAATTCTTTTCTTCTTCCTGATAAGCAACTGGAGATAGGCGAAAAGAATGTTTTGTCTCTGTCTAGACGAGAGTGCCCCGAAATTCCCGGCTTTTGTCTTCCTCCAACCCTGCGGCAAACGAGGAAACTGGTCGGGACAAGATCATTGAAAGGTGCTGAAGAATCCTAAAAATAGGCATGATGGGCATGTGTGAATAACCTTGTTCCTGCCCTGACCTGCGAGCACTCCACATCATCACCGGCTTTTTTCTTTCTCTTTTTTCTTCGTTTATTCCCCTGTCGTAACGGTCTGCCCTTTCAACAAGCCCCTTTCTTTTCTTTCTCCTCTCTTCCCTCCAAAATCTTTTTTCAATAGCCGGGTTCGTTACAGGGAAACGTTCGTTAGATTCCGTTCCCAAGGACAGTCTTTGAAGGGATCGGCCTTCCCTTCCCACCCCTGTCTGATAGATGACCCCCGTCCTTGCAGCGTATGAAATGGAGTCATCCCCACTACCGGAAAACGAACCCTTTCCGAAAGAAGGAATTTTCCAGGGCTTCAGAGGGGACAAAGGCCAGCAGGGTGTTGTGACGAGCAGCTGTCCTTTTTCCCTCTACTGCTTCCACCTGCCCACAATGAAAGCCAGACGGAAGAGAGATATCCAGGATGGAACCGATGCCTTTCATTCTCTTACTCCCATTTCTGAAGCTAACGTACCCGCTTATTCAAGACTTTTCTACGATGGAACCCTAAGGGAATCGCTGTTGCTGTTGTTTTCCCCCTCGTTATTGACAGCATGGCAATCAAGGGACATTTCATAATAGGTGCTTCCGCGTCTCTCTCTCTCTCTCTCTCTCTATCTTTTTGTTTATGGCGGGAATATTTCCGCACCTGGCGGGGTCGTGACAGCTGATCGTTTTTCCTGTCTCTTTCCCAGCATCCCTCCAGCATTTTTTTTTCCTGTGTGAGTGAGAATCACAAAAGCCTTTGTTTCGCTGGAGTCCCAGAACCGGCCTTGACTCCTCTCTCCCTCCTTCCCCCCTTCTTTTCATTTCGTCCTCTTATCTTCTTGATTCGCTCCCGTGATTTCACCCAAAAGTGATTAATGAGTTTCATCGTAAAAAGCAAAAAAAAAAACAAACAAAAAAGAAAAAGCAGTATCATGCAAACGTTGCCTGGTAAGCTTGCCAGGAAGGCAAATCTGTCGGGAGTTTCGCAGAAAAGATGAATCCACCCATTAAAAAAAAACCTATTTTTCCCCATCCATGCGCGAAATTCCCTCTCTCCCTTCCCATCAATATTTATTTTCCTTTTCTGTTCTTATAAACGAATGTCCAAAACGTACAAAGGGATGTCACAGGGAATTGAGTGGGAATTCAATCACATTTTGAATTATTGAACAGAAATGAACGAAACCCGTCGACCTTGAATTTCAAAGATGGTGAATGGCTTCAAGTGCCATGACTTCAGTCGTACGAAGTGAAAGGAACAATGCACGGCATGGTGAAGGCATGCGGTCACGTTTCGGAACCGGAACACCAGTGCTGCCACCTGCCATTTAATGCGCATCTTCTGACCCTCGAGACATGCTCTGACATCTAGCGTGAGAAAGACCTACTGCATATTTTGATGTCTTCTCGCTAGACCACGGTAACTGACGGATACATACACGGTGAATTCAGTGACAACTGAGTACGTCACTGTTGTGACTATTATTTCAGGAATTTGTTATTCAGTAATTTTATTTTTTTGTCGTGCTTAAGATATTAGTTTTTTTTTTCCAGGGACCTGACAAAGCCAGGAATTACTTAGATTTTTTTTTGGAAATGCAGGGGGAAATATGTCTCATTGATCAATGGTCAACTCGGACCACAGCACCGTATGCGATAGCAGTCGCTTCACTGATGCCAAGGACTGGATGAGCTAATTTTGAATGTCCCTTTTGGGTAATCGATTTAAATGTCCCAGGCTAGGATCATATAATCCCATCTTCAGGTCATTCCTAGTAGACCCTAATGAACCTTGGACGTTCAGACACTTCCATAAAATGAAGCCCTTCCAACGTCATCAGTATTCGCGATTCGGAAACGGATACAAGTGCCGCCTCCCCCCCCCCCCCCCCCCCACCACCACCACCACCACCACCTTGGCAAAAGAAAAGGAGTGTGGATTGTAAAAGTACTATTTGGTCAATGCTAAAGTATCCTTCTCCCCCCCCCCCCCCCCCCCCCCGCCCCCTATGAAATGTCCCTTGATTGCCATGCTGTCAATAACGAGGGGGAAAACAACAGCAACAGCGATTCCCTTAGGGTTCCATCGTAGAAAAGTCTTGAATAAGCGGGTACGTTAGCTTCAGAAATGGGAGTCCATAATTAACGCAGAAAATAGTTCAAAAATATTATCGGGCTATCAGTCGTATAACCCACTCTCCCCTATAAGACCATATCTGTGATCTGCTGTCTTTGTCCATTCCTCCTTGGACTCCCAATTAATTAGTCTCTCGTGGGATAAAACGTTCAGATAGGTGGTATTAATGTTTCAGCCTTCCCACGCTTCATAGCATCTTTTATGCTACCCCCACCCAGCGAGTCTAATCTCGCTTTCATCATTGACGTAGATGCCCTCATCCTCCTTATCGGTGATGAGGATGCTCACCGCCCTTTCTAAAATGTTATTTCACTTCAGCAACACCTCGCGGCAATGCAATTACTGATTCTCCAGTCGATTGTCAATTCGTAAACAATTAAATTATAGCTCTCCTCCCCATCTCTGTCCTATAACCTCAACAAATCCTATCATCTCTTGACTATCCAAGCAACACATGACGTCCATGCAATGTTGCTACAACGTGACACGAGTCAAATGACGCTGCGGTAACGTCGCCTAGACGTCATTTAGATATCTGTGTTGCTTTGGGTATAAGAATGAAAGTATGCTTCTCCACGAGTTTTAATAGAGGAGGACGTTGGCAGTGATCACCTGCTTATTGGTACACGTAAATGCAGTACAGTACCCTCAACGTAAGAATGAGCATATCTCCCTTATTTACGCGTATTGGGTAGCATTCTAAGATACCTTAAACTCTTATATCTGATGATTTCCACATTCTTTCATGTAATGATCTGAACCAGGAGTGTCAAAACTGGCTGCCCCTAGTAAAGCCCCTGGTTTTGTCTGGCCCGCGAAGCCCTCAACAGTTGCTTTCGGAAGGGCGCTTGTGTGAGATGAGAAATTTGATTTGGTGAGCTCCCCAATCTCTCCTGGTCTTAATCACCCTGATCTGGCTTCCAGCTTAATTGAGTTCGACACCCCTGGTCTAGACGAAGCAACAGGAACGGCCAGACCCCTTTTACGCTACCCTCGTATCACTCGAGTAATTCTCGGACAAAGATGTATCCCGACGCTCTGATGATATTAGTGCTATTAGGTAAAACAGGCTTAACCTAGTTACCGGGTAATTTGGCAGCTCAAGCCATGTAAATGTACTCAGAAGGTTAACGGAGTCAGTTGAGTGACAGCGCCCGCGCAGATATTATCATCCAATCCAAAAATCTCGATGCCACTGACAATGCAATTGTCATCCGAATCCATCGAGGAAACAAAATAAATAAAACTTTTTTGATGAAGATGTAAACCTTTATATGCCGACTTGGGTTGACGCTTCTGCTTTGTCTTGATGGTATTCATGTGACACGTGACAGTACGCATTCTTTTAATACAGCGTTGTTGATAACCAAGGACATAAAATGACGCCAATAACTGAAAACGACTATGACAGACTGCAAGTCCTGTAATGACACAGCCGAGACAAGCCTGAAATGTTGGCGTGTCTCTTGAGGGAGCCATGTCCTAGCCCTCTTCACAATAAGCCTGCCAGATATTCGGAGAATGACAGCCGGAAATTGCAATTATTTACGTCAACCTAGATATAGTAGACTTCGAGGACGGAAGCTATAATGGAAGCTCTGTATCCGATTGCAAACGATGGGCGACCCGCACCAAGTTGATTTATAGTGATATTTGACAATGGTTTCTTCTGAAGTTGCATCAACTCGGTTAAATGGATCTGGTTAACGTACCAAAAACACCTGCCCGTGATAAAATTTACGGAGTGTACATATTTAAACGCAAGAGAGGGAAGATCCAGCCGCTCGCCCGTGGAACTAGTCCGAAGTCATTCGAGTAGTGCCCTAGGGCAACTAATTGGGGTTCTGTTGTGCACATTCTTTTATCTTCGTGGCATGAATATGCGTAAAAAAGATGTATCATACCAATTATGTCACCATTTCTGACTCCTTCACCCTGTACTTACGTGGATTAATACCAGCCTTTCTGGTGTTAGTTTCCCAGAGGGTGGAGCAAGTTCTTTGTCTTTAATAATTACCTTGCAGCTGAGGTACTTCGAGACTCCATTCTTGCCCCCTATTCCTCATCACTTATGTCGACAAATGTCTCGCATAAGAACGCGAAGCCTGTCTGCACCGCGGCGCACTGTGCGCTCTTGTTTTCATTACGAGGTAATTTTTTTAAACCTTTTTTATTAATTGAAAATCCTGAATTAAACCGTATCACCTTCCACTGGGACCTTCGTTTGAATCCGCCCATCCAGCAGTCAAGATTTGCCTTAATGCGGCTCTGAAGTACTTTGACCAGGATCCTTCTTCCCCCTTATAAGCAGCTGAAATACTTATGAATCCTTTACCTGAAAGTCGCTCAACAGCAAGCGTTCTTGACTGATTCAGGAGAGACTATGGGGACACGGCATTGGGACGGCTGCTTTTCCCACCCCCTAAGGCATTGCCAGATTGTTCTCAAGATTGTCAGAGTGCCTTAACTTCTTTCGATGACACAATCCATCCAGGCAGTGACAATGGCGAGTCACCACTCCCTGCCAGTGGCGTGCCCAAGGGGGAGGGGGTGGGTGAGTTATGGGGGCCATAGCCCCCCATTGAGATACATTTTACAGGTTCGATTCTTAACATTTTTTTAACAATAAAAGCAGGGTGGGTTCCCATTTTTTCATGTCCCCCCCCCCCCCATTTGGATTTTCTGGGCACGCCATTGCTCCCAGCTGTTACTCCCCCCTCCTCGATACCTATCACTCTTCCAAAGTTTTTAAAAAATGTTATTTCTCATCTCAAGAGCCAAGATATTCAGAGGATATTCTACTAAGTCAGCGGCTTCTTTCCTCGTCTTCCTTAGCCTCAAAGTTTTCCTACCTGACGGCCTTAAATACCAAGGCTGAAATAAATATTTAAAATCTCTGGACCGGAAGTGGACACGTCGCATTGATTATGTTTCCTCAGTCTCTAGATGGTTAACCGAATTCTGCGATACTTTGACCTAGATTTATACCTGACCTGTGAACATTAAAGTTTTACGACAGTAAACTTACCCTAACCGTGTCCTAAACCTTAAGCTGCAGCATCATCCATTACAGGGCTCTCCCGACGCACTTACCGCCTTCCCTCTCCCCATGCACCGTTATCCCCCTACTTCCTTCTTCTCCTTTTTCCGTTTTCTTCTACTGGGAATTGTCTCCCCCATCGTTTTTTTGCTGCCTTCATCGGGATGCGCGGATAGGTGACCACTTTTCCATGATGCACTGGTGTAGATGGGAGAGTCTCGACAAATGACAGGTGGTCTCATGCGCGGACCTCAGCCCCTCCTTTAGGTTGTCCTTACCACATAGTAAATGGTCTGCCAACTCCCGTTCTCCGAGTCTCGTCCTGCAGGCACTACCTGATCGCTCAGCCTTAAAAGAGTTCTGTTATTTGGGAATTGCTACAAGAGTCATTACTCTATCACGGCATAAGGTGTCTGCAATAATTTGCAGCAACCGTCATGGCATCCCTCTCCTGATCTTATATGAATTTTATGAGAAGCTTTTGTTTGCTAATTATAGTTCTACTCGAAAAATAGCGGTATCTGTAAATGGAGCACGCTTCAAGAGTAAATAAATACCTCTCTCGCTTACCGAACCTGGTGTTTTGATCCAAGTGTTGCTATCATAAGAGCAACGCAGACACCAAAGTAACCCAGATGCACGTCACTTGACCTTGGTGCACCGCTACACAAACGCGTCCTTGCACCTGCACTCGTGCCACACCAATATAGTAGTTGGAATGCTCCGATAATATCATTTATTGTATTAAAGACGGTTTTTTTGGATTTTGTCACTAAAATTAAGAAATTTTACCGCTACATTTTTTTTTCTCTTTGGATATGCACTGGAAGCATGTTGCCTTCTAAGTCGATGATCGGAGTTAGACTGCAGCACCAGACGGGCTGATTTTCCCGGTAGCGAATCCTCTCTCGCCAGATGAGTGACTTTTGCTCCATTCATCTGTTTTGACCAAACGATTGGGCTTCCCCGACTTACACCATGATCCCGCCTTCAGGTCTTCCCAAATGAAGTCTTGCAGTCGTTGGAAATATATGCGATGCTGATGCAGGTTGCAATGACCCCCACCCTGGTTTGAAAAAAAAAGGAGAGAATTCAAACTTTATGATTTCTTAAGTTGGTATGGATTAGTTTTTCTTCGCTTTCATTATATACTATACCTTTTTTTTACGTTAAAACCTTCACCTTGATGAAGAGTGGTTCTACAGGGTTGGGTGCGGCTTGAACAAGGCGTTGGGCATGATGAAATGGAACGGCATGGTCCTGGTCCCCGTGCAACACCAATACTGGACACAGTACTTTCTTAACCGTCTTCAACCTAGCGCCATTTCGTTCAAAAATAAAAAAAAACACCAGTATCAGTCTTGTTCGTCTTGATTGAGTGTTCAGGTTTACTGCTCGAAAAATGCACTTACGGAAAATCATTTGTTAAGTTTAATATTTGAAATCTTCGGAACAACATATTGTGACTATTGAAGGAGCATATCGTCGATTGCCTGACACAAAGGGCGGATATACCATGCCAATATTATCGATAGAAACTAGAATAATAAGCCCTCTACTTGGACTGAAAATGAGAATTAAGGAACGTTCACAATTTCATCATAAAGTTGAGTCTCAGCTTTCTTGCCGAAAGGCCGATCTTTCTTCAATTATTATTCGTTCTGAAAAAAGGCGAGTTTTCTCTCATCTATAAATGTCAAAATCGCATATTCGCCTTTTATCAGATCGTTGATGACAGGTGCACGGCTGGGTATATTTGTGGCGCTTTCAACCCTTTGCTGCTACTTATTTAAATGTATCATCATGAAAGAGAACTTCCTGCCTTCTAGGGGAACAGAAAGCGATTTGTTACATGTGAGATTCATGAAGGAACATATGTCTACGTAGGGAAGGGGTCGACGGGATTGGGGTAGAAGGGAAGGGAGTGACAGAGTGAATCTTCATGATTTCTTATGAAGGGGAGAAGACTGAGGCCGGACGTGAATCCCCCATCCAGGATAAGACCCCCAACGTCCCTGTCCTCGACCCCCGCGATCCTAGTCGCTGGCGCTGTCCCGATGCTCTGTCCCATCAGCACCACTTTCCCCGACTCCACCCCGAGCCTGCACCCAACATCCGTTATTCGTAAGCAGGGCAAACTCAATCCAGTTGTGGGTCTCCTCGTCAAGGATGGATTCTAAAATTTGTATCACGTTAAATTCAAACAAAAGAAAATTACTCGGGCTGATTTCGACCACCAAAGTGCCCAGGTTTTGCTTTTTCGAACATGAATGAACACTTCTGTGATGGTAGAAGTGTTTGAAGTATTGGATGAAGAGCCATGGTAGAACGCCGGAGATAGCTGTCTGAGACACTTTAGTAGAGGTAACTATTCCTTCTCGGCTCATAAAACTCTCGATGCCTATGCTTCTGGAATTCATCATTCGCGATTCTGTTTTCGGCCTCGTGTTCTTTAAAAGCGAACTCAGCATAAGTTATCATAAAGCACTCGCAATGGGAACGGGCACACTCACGCACGCAGACTGACGCCAGACGTACAGGTTAAAGCTATATGTAGACAGTTTCCTGTTTGGAGAGACTTACAGAGATAGCATTAGAAGTCAGAGAGACGGCCAGAATCTTTGAGTCTTTGAAGAGACTGACGCGAGTGAATCAAATTGAATGAGAATGAGTTCGTATTCTTGAATTATGCAGTGTGGCAGCTATTTCTACAGGAACCAACGAGATTTGGCATCCTCTGCTGACGTCTCTTGGAAGTCTTTTCATATGGATTTTGGACATCGGCGAACCTTTTTTTGACGAAGTTTAGTATGTCGAGGGAGTTCCTGTAGATCCCCTTCTCGCTGGGCCATCCATTGCTCATGCCGTATCCATTATAGTCGTAGGTGGCCACGTGGCATCCTGTAACTTCCGAGAGTTCCAACATAAACTTAAGTAAATCCCCAGAATCTGAGGCATTCATGTGACTAATGAGGATCACGAATGGGGCCTTCATCGGCGCCTGCAGCATTATCCCTGCGCGGACAGATATCCTGTAAAACTTTCGTGGGGGCTAGGGGGAGGGAAGGAGTGATAATTTGTGAATAGTCCTTTTTCTTAACTTACCTGCAATCCGTGACAATGCGCCACGTCCTGGTGATGTGATGTAAAACCCACGGAATCTCCACAGGAAAGAGCGATCGATGTCGGCTGCGGCACGATTTTCCACGTTCATGAGCACCACATCGTACGTGTTCGTATCCTATCGCATCTCACATTCCTCGAGGAAGTCGAAATTAAATTGGGCATTTGATGTTACGGATGTATAACGTACCGGGTCCCAGGAGTCTTCGTTAAAGGTGTAAGAAGACCTCGGTGGGGCGAAGGCCAACTTAGCTGTGATGCTCGCGGGGCAAGGTGGGCAGCAGAAGAGCCGGCAACCAAAACTCGCCACTCCCGCAACATCAAGTTTTGATGCCTCCCGGATGGCCAAGTGCCAACTGTCTCGCATGGCCTGCAGGAATTTCTCCATCGTCATCATGCCTACAATTCCCTCTACTAGGAGCACCTTCATAGACAGCTTCGGGGTGCATCTTAATCACACGGGCAGTGTAGTGAATTCTGTTTGACTCTGTATGTCCCAACGAACATTGCACATCACATAATTTATCTTTACTGTGCTTGTCCTATAGCTCGAAGATGTTCGATGACATTCTATTCAATGACCTTGGAAAAATGAAATGAGGATAAAGGGAAAAAATAAACATGGAGTATGTCAAGGCCGATAGAGATGAAAGTGCTCCTGTTTATAAGATTACTTTCACGTCTGTCAAGGGCATGGGTCTCAAATACTTTGTTTCGCAGAAGTCCCTTAGCCATAATTCCGGGCGTGAGTAGAATTCATCTAGCCAAATATGAAACCCCTTCGATTGGGTTGGCAATCGAGAATGGGGTTGTGTTCATATTTGGCTGGATATACAGCACGGAAATGTAAGGGACAATGGTAAGATGCGCATGGGAATTTCCATGATTACATTATGGTAGAATGATTCTCAGATCCATTTGTTACACAAACTCAGGCGGCGATTCATCACTCACGGGGCTCACGGGGTTCGAGCCCCCCCCCCCCCAAAAAAAAATAAAATAAAATAATAATAAAATAATAATATAAAATAATAATATAAAATAATAATATAAAATAATAATATAAAATAATAATATAAAATAATAATAAAATAAAATAAAATAAAATAAAAATAATAAAAATAATAAAAATAAAATAATATAAAATAATAATAATATAAAATAATAATAATATAAAATAATAATAATATAAAATAATAATAATATAAAATAATAATAATAATAATTGGCAGAAGTGGCTCGCAGCGAGGACGAGAGACTTGAAGTACTGTCTCTGAGCCCTCTCCCCCCAAAAATTTCCCCTAAAAAATTTCTAAAAAAACCGCCGCCTATGTACACAAACATTTGATTTGAACCAGACTCAACAAGTCGACATGCCACGCAGAATCTCGATGTGTTCCCGTATGAGTCTCGGACCTCAAGGGATACCACGCGAAATTGAATTAGGATCGTTGCCTTCATGTTCGCGATAGTCTTACCTAATCACAACCTGCTGAACTTGGTATTCACGAATGACTTCACGTTCAACCCGACCCCTCAACACTGGACTCTACGTCGAATTATGATCTAGCTAGTGAGCTAACGTTCTCTGACAAGTGTTTTTAACTTGAGTTAGACCAGGGGTGTCAACATACGGCCCGCGGACGCGGTTCATCCGGTCTGCCGTCTGTTCTTGAAATTTCCGCTTGGATTGACCATCAGCACAAATTTCACTGGAAAATTGAGGGTGGCCCGCAGGCATCTGCAGGGTAAGGAATGTGGCCCGCCGACCGATTTGAGATTGACATCCCTGAGTTAGACAATTTTTCAATTGTCTCAGACACACGTGCATGGAATGTCCTTCATGCATGAGTGTCAAATTCAAGTGAGAAAGAGTCTGACTTAAGTTAAAAACACTGTAAATGAGTGAAGGATGAACAGCAATGAGGAAAGGGAATAGTCGAGTCATCCCTGCAAGGCGGGTATCAGTCGAATGTGCGCGGAGCCACATTTCCTATTCCCATCCGGCCTCTACGTCGTGGATTCGTACAACGTGGGTTCCCATTCTGTCTCAAATTTCGCTCGGCTTTCTGAGTTTTCTTCCTGTATATGTATATGTATATTTTTGCTGCATTGCTTGTATATAAGCCTCTTTTCCATTTCATTTGGATCTTAGCTACGGAATCGTCTTCTTAGCCTCAATGCAGAACTCATGAATGATTTATTTCGTGAAGCGGGGTGCGCAGTTAGATGGCTGCAGCATGGGCAGCATGTGAACGTTATGTGACTAATTTCTATTGGTTCCTTATTACTTTACGGGGATGGGGTTTTACTCCAGGGACGAGGGAATTCTAAGCTCCCTTAGTACAAACTTGCATAACGTTAAAGCTGTTTTTACGGATTAGTTCTGTATGATTATTTTTCGAGGATAGGTTTTGTGGCTTTTGTAGTCATTTACATTCTTCAGCTTCTACAATGTTTTCATCACTTCAGTGAAATAGTTGGGCCTGGTGGACACCTGCTTAGCACCAAATCAGTTTTGTGGATACTGAGCTGACTCAGACTAGTGGCATTTACCAACATGGATACCTTAGAATTTTCCCCTATTTTACCTTCCAGAGGAAAAAAAAAGAGTAAAATTTAACATGGAATAAGATGGTAAATGTGTTGCAGGTAACACTTTTGGTATATATTTCAGCACACAAATCTTGAGCATTTACCAAGATTATACTCAATGTATGTAGGAGCAGCTGATTTGATCCTGAAGTGCAATATATGCCCAAGTGAAGTGTGTGTGTGGAGAGAGTGTATCATAAGAGGGCAAGATTGGGTGACAAGGTCAAACTGCAAATTATGGTTTTCAGTTATTTTAGTAATTTGGATGAGAATAGGTGACCTCTTTGTTGATTTATGACTCATGCACCCTCACTTTGGAGTTATGCTTTTCATGGAGGTTTGACATGGTGTAGCTCACACGTGTATAAAGGGCTGCAGGTGGGCTGAGTCAAGGTACCTTACATAGTCCAAATATATAGGCACTTGACTGATGCCTCATAGTCTTCTGCTTTTCTTCTGCACCTCTGCATGGGGTGTATCTCATGCCTAGATGTTGCATTCAAATGAAAAACTTATTTGGAATCCACCACCCAAGACTGTGTTGAGAATAACTTTTGCAGTCTAGTATCAAAGCTCTAGGGTTTTCCACTATTGGGTCTGGCAGAGGTTCTGTCAGGATCCCAATTTAAAAAAGTCATTTTGACTGAAAATAGGCAGTTCCTTTTTTCTCTCTCTTCAATGATTTGCTGCTTGTTTCATAGTAATCCTAGACTTCCAAGGCACATTCAAAGATGGACCTATTAAGGTATCTCTACACTTTTGTGTTGGCTTTGCTTTTGACATTGTTCAAGTTAACAATAATCTACGTTGATAATTCCAAGGTATTGGAAGAATGTCATAGTTTCTAGGAGAGTTTAATCTGAGAGGGGATTGTAGATGGGAAGTGAGCAGCTTAGGCCCACTGATGGAAACTTCCAGGTCAAGGCCTTGCAACAAGATATTAAAAGACAGGCTATCTTGATTCTTCATAGGCCCAGACCTCAAATTTGGCTCATCAGAACTCAGAAAAACTCAGAACTCAAGCTGGCCCAAAGGTCCATTTCATGGAAAACACCTGACTCAGCTAATGTCTGATCTCCAATCTAAGAATCAGTACAGCCTTAAAATTAATGCTCATTGACCACCATGTACTTGATGCACAATGATCTCTTCAACATGTTCACCACCATGCTCTACACATAACTCCATGCAAAGGATTAAATTATTGCCATTGCCTGTAGTGTTCTGTAATCTCTCAAAAGCACAAAAAAAGTTTATGCATAGTTCAAGTGTGTAGGGTACAGGTGTAAAACACTTCTCTTTCAGTAGTCCTCATAAGTCCTCGTCAGGTAGTGTCAGGTCAGATCTGGACTGTGCAGGGTATGGGAACTTTGTGTACTGTGAAATCAATTGACCTAAAATCATTTGTTCCAACAACTGTTAATTTTCACTATCCAGATATGTTCCACCAAAGAATGTTATGGCATCATGGTTCATTTACTCACAAATACAGAAGAGAAAGCTTGTTATAATATCAGTAACCTTTTTTTTTTTTTTTGGACCACTCTGTTCATTGGGGCTCTGGAGCAAAGGGGGCTTAACTTTACAATTGGTCCACACACCACTTAAACTAGGTGAATATAAGAGCCATTTATATATTATGGATAAACTATAACTCATTTTTTTGTGTCGGGTGTGCATACCATTTTGCACAGTAAGCATTGCAAATCCCTTGCACATTAAAAGCCTTGGCAATCCAGAGCAGCCTTGTCACATGCCCCATCCAAGGCCCTGTGTCTACTGTCTGCATGCTTTCCTGTGCCAGAGCCTTCCAAGCACTCTACATGGGTCATGTTGTATAAGATAGGCTTTCCTATGCCTTTCCAGCCTAGTTTTGTTGTCCCTGTGCAACCTGTTATCACAATGGCATGGTTGGTGGAGCTTTATGATTTTCCCACTGGTTTTGTGTCAAAGACCCAAAAGCAAGTGTCAGCCTATTTTGGGGAGTGATGGACAAGGGTTGTGCCCTTTGACCAAAAACAGGCATTTTCAGCCTCCATTCAACATGGTTGCCTCCATCTTCCATATTATCCATAGAGAATAATGTAGGGCATAATGAACAATTGTCTCAATGCCTAAATGGACATGGGGCAATACTTCTATATCTCCTTTCTTCCAAATTGTTTCTTTTCAGAGCTCTTATTCCTATAACTGTCCCCCCTTCTCTCCTTGCAGATATTTAAAAAATCTTTTCCTGATGATGCATTGAACTTGATAATTGGAGATGTTAAGTATCAGCAGTTAAATTAGCTCAGAGAGAAAGTAGTTCTTGGCAGAGACCTGTGGCAAATGTGTGTGAAGGCTCCTATTGGCTCAGAAGGAGCTGTATTTTGCTGCAGGGTGCCATATGTTCTCATTTGTTTTATTTGTTTTTTTGGTGATTCTAGGTTGGTCTCAGAGAAATTGTTCTGTGCTGGGTGATGAGATACTGGCTTAGACTTTCAAAGTAAGGTTTTCAAGACCTGCACAGGCTGAAGATTTGACATCAAGGAAGCTACCTATATACCAGGAAAATGTTTTGGGGTAAGTTCTTTGCTATTATATGGAAGTGAGGCTGAAGATGCATAGGTTAATGTCAAATTCAGATAGACTGTATTTTAAAAGGCTTTGTTCCTGAAGAAAGGATAATATTAAGTTGTTGCAAAAATCAAACTATGAAAATTTGAAACTAGAATGGAAAAATAAGAAGCTAATTCCACCACCTCCAACTTTAGATAAGCTTCACAAGTTGGTGAGACTTAATTGCATCATCACATAAAGTCTCACTAGTTTGAGCTTGATACTAATGAAGCTAGTGTAGCTTCATGACAAATGTCATGACAGTTTTAGTGCACCACCCATTCCCAGTTTGGCTTTCATTTGCCCTATGTATGCTGTGTTTAGATGACCCAAATTCCAACATCATTTTAGCTGTGCACTATATGCATTTCCTTCATTCATGCTTGCACCTCAAAAGGCAAAGCAGACACTGGATGTGGTTACATATGACTTCGTGTAATGTCAGTGTATATGTACCTAAGAAGTTTTTTGTGCTTCTTGAGGTGAAAAGTAAAACCCCACCCATTATTGAGCAGAACATTACAGTAATGATATGGCCCCTGGCAAAGTCCACCAAATCAATCTCATTTCATCTGAACTTGGAAGAAAACAAAGTAATTATATGGTTTGTTACACAGAATTTATTAAAGGTAAATGCATTGTGTTTTAATCAAAACATGAAATTGCATTAAAATTTTAATTTTCACCTCTGCAAGATAAGAAACAGTGTCAAGAGCCTTAGCCAAAGTTACTGTTCAAATTGGCCTTCTGCATGGTTACCTGCTGGCAGCCTCAGCCTGCATCCTTGCTCCTCCTAAAAAGGGCAGTCTGCTGGTGTTTGGTTCTGATCCATGTTGTCACATGTTGAAGTGCTAAAACTTTCAAAACTAAGTAATTTGTGTGCTGTGTACTTTTCAGGCCTTGTGGTGGAAGCAAACAAGCGATATGCTCAGACTGTCGCCAAAGAATTTCACATCTCTATGGCTGCCCTAGCCAATCGTGATTCTGCAAGTAAGTCAAGTGATCTTCAACTTGCTTGCTATTTTTTCACATATTAGATTCCCATAGCAAGTATATATAAAAATATATTTTGTTAGTTAGTTGTGACATAGCCAAGGTCATACTTCACAATGTTGAAGACTGCAGCTGGTTGATTTGATAATTGATCTGTAATTTTTTTTCTGGCAGGTAAATGTACTCTAAAATTGGAGTATCAGGGACAAGAGATTATATTATGCCATTTGGATCCTGAGAAAAATTTCCAGCAGCCATTGGATTTGAGTTTTGATGAAGGAGATGCTATTGTCTTCTCACTTGAAGGACTAGGTTCAATACACCTCTCTGGTAAGTACTTTGTGTCTCATCAATTTTATAACTTGAAGGGGAAAGCCTAAATTCCCAAATGTGATTACTACATCTTTTGTTTAATTCTACATTTTACAGGTTACACGTTAGGAGGAGATGAAGAGGAGGAGGGAGATAGTGAAGAGGATGAAGAGGCAATGGCTGAGATGATGAGGGCCCTAAAGGGGAAGACTCAGAAGAAGATGGGGGTTAATGACATGGAGTCCTATTCAGAGGAAGAAGATTCTGATGAGGGGGAGGCTGAGCTTCCTCAGCTGAAGCTCTGTAAGTGTTCTGCCTGCAATTGAGAAGCATGGATATAATCTTGAGTCCACCATGCTGTCTAATGTGCAAGTTTCTTTCTTGCAGCTGAATCCAAGAAGCGTAGTAGAGCAGGTGACTTGCAGTCTGGTGTTTCTCCTGCCATGAAGAAGGCAAAACAGGTGGAGAAGGTCAAGGAAGAGGAAGATGAGAGTGACGAAGAGCAAGGTTGAAGTCATTGTTCACTCTGGAAATTGAATTCTTTCTCCTTTCTGCTAGGCTGACCACATCTAGTTTTTAATTTCCTTTCTTTTCATTGTACAGACGAGGATGAAATGAAGCAAATGCTAGACATTGAAGCTTTGGAGGATGAAGATGACCTCTCTGACATTGACATGGGTAAGTCCTGGGTTATGTTTGTCAGCTGCTATTATGTGTTCCTTGGAAGCTGATATGATGCAATTAATTCAAAGTAAACGTTCTATGATGCAGATGATGACTACATTGGTACTGATAACCTTCCATATTCATATCATCCTCTTATTCATTTTTCAACTGGTTTATAGTGTAAGCTTCTAAACCTGTCAATTTTGCTTGTTTCAGATGAGCTTTCTGAGGAAGAGGATGAAGACAGTGAGGATGAAGGGGGAGCAGAAAAGGCCAAGAAGGAAAGTCAAAAGAAAAAACTGCAGTTCCAGGTTGAGAAGAAGAAGGAAGGGAAAAAGGCAGAAGCAGATGTGAAGAAGGATAAGAAATCACCTGGGACCCCAGCATCTCAAGCACCCAAAACTCCAGCTACTCCAATGTCCAATGGGACAGAGGTAATTCCATTTCTTCTACTTTGAGTGGGGGAAAAAGCTTGCATTTTATTTATAATAAAGCTGATATGGCTGTTATTCAGAATTTCAAATACAAGTCTCTGGAAATTGAAATTGATGCTTTTATGAGGGATTTAAAAGGTTAAAAATATGAAGCATGTTCTGCTAAATGGTATGATTCAAGTTCATCACTTGAAATAAAGTATTATCTCACCTTAGGCTACATCAAGAGAAGGAAAAAGCTTGCAGAAGGCCTCATTGCATTCATATACCTCTGCTTGAGGCAATAGGGATGAATTGTTGATCAGTCTACATGGTCATAATGCCTTTTTGGGCTTGTTGACTTATTGGCTTTAAGTGATTATGTTGATCAGTTTTTTTAGATGCTATTTTCAGAAGGAACTGGAAAATATGAGTGTCCAAATTCATTCTCAGGCTTTTGGGTAGGCATTCAGGAGCATGATTGCAAGGTTGAAATAGTCATGGCATGAGAATTTTTCATTGCATACAGAAAACTATTGAGATTTAAACCTGAATTTACTGCATCTTTCTAAATAGTGGTTTAATGATACTGATATTTCCTTTCTTTTGGGCAATTTTTGCTGCCACATTCAGCATAGATCAAGTCACAGTCTCCATAGAGTAACCTGGACCCATATCTACCAAGTGAATTTGGCCATATTAGATTTTTACACATTAGTAATATTCGTCATTCTGGAGCAGCAAACGCAAATCCCATAGTCAGCAGCCCAATGAGCATCATGGGATTCATTGCTTTAGGCTTTTCATCATGTCTCTCAAGTATTAGCATCCTGAAATTCTTAGCTTTTTGAGTGGTAAATGTTAATGTTTTAAATGCTAGTAAAGGTTTATCACACTTGAGTCAACATCCCCAACACTTCCCTAATATGCCTCTACTGAGATATGAGGGTGCTCATTCCAAATTCTGATATTAGACATGTCCTGATTGTTTCCAGAGTGGTAAGAAGAAGAGAAAGAGGAAGAAGAAGAAGAAGGGTGGAATTGAAGGAGATGGGACTCCTGGACAGCCTGGGCAGGTTAAACCTGAGAATAGGTCACCTGTTGGGACACCTGGTGGCCCAGGGAAAACGGAAAACAAAGGGGGTGTCCTGGTCACCACTCTGAAGCAGGGTTCTGGACCTGTTGCCAAGGCTGGCAGATTTGTGAGTCTTATTCCATAATGATGTAGCTTGGGCTTAAATGGGCCAGGTGATTTCTCATACAATGGAGAGGATGAAGATTTCATGTAAGACTGGGATATTTTGATTTCATATCAACATTGCAAGTTGAAATGGAAAGTCTAAGAAACTGTTTGTTTAGGCTTTCAAGTAGTCAGCTCGTGATTTAATGCCACTGTCAATCATAGTTGATTTTGTTGCTAGTGGCTACAATACTGAAATCTCTGAAGGATGAATGGATGGAATGAATATGAAGCTTATATTGCCTTCCCCTCTCTCTAAATTTGTATGCTATCCCTTCCTTGGCTATAAGTTACCTCTCACAGTGGCAACACATGTGTTTAATACTGTATAAGGGTTGCAGCAAATAGCTACTTGGTGTAAAATCAAGGATTTACATGAAAGAGCACTGTTTGTACAAATGACAGTGCTGGTGGATGGCAGCCCTGACAGTGGCAGTGATCTCCTAATGTAATAATTCTAGCAGTGCATTTTTTCCCTGTATCCAATATATTTATTGATATTCATTTTTTTATTATTTCAATTTTGGCTTGCATACTCAATGATAATGGACTTGAGCTTTTTGATTTGCCACCTGAAGCTTTGCCCAGCCTAAGGAATTGTCTGAAATTTTCATAAATAGCCTACTTTTGCAATTTGAAAAAAAAAAATGATTTCTTCATTCTTTCACTGTCAGAGAATATGACAACTATTCTTGAGTCATTCAGCAGTATTCACCATATATAGGGTGATTTAAGAAAATGCTCTTCTGTTTTCTATGGGAGAAACAGTTTCATTAATGGAAAAATATATATAAGTTGATTATGTGATCAACATTGGACAGTTACAAGGTATTGAGATGTATGTCAGCTTTTTTTTGAGCACCCCTTCCTAAATCATGCAATACCTATTTAGAAGTGAATCAAAGGTGATCTGTGGTCAACAGTCTCGGAATTTAATTAAATTTGGCTAACAGGCAGATGATTTTGGGAATGGTCTGCAGACAAAAAACATGTCTGTACTTCGAGCAGAGACCAAGAAAAGTGAGTTTTCTTTGATCATGGGGGGCACAAAATGGCCTCCAACCCCCTGATGTTAAATTTCTGACCATGGTTTTAAAATGTCACCTCCCTATTTTGATTGGCCATAACTTTTTAAGGGATGGTTAGATGCAGCTGATACTTGACAAAGAAATTCATGAGTGTAAGAGGCTTTTTTTAATCAGCAAGATAGCTCCATATGTTGATAGAGGGTGTTGTTGACTGGAGGACCCCCTAACATCATGCTGCACCACTTTTTATTTCAGATTTTTTTTCCTACCTAAAAAGGTGTTATTAAAAAAAGGAACAGTTTCCCTGAAAACAATAGTGTATGTTTAAAAGGTCATATGAAAACTACTGAAGATATGGTTAAATGCATAGTGTTGAAATAAACTGGAAACAGCGAATGGTCTAAGTCCAAGAACATACACTTGCTACCACTGCACAAACCTGAGTTAGTACTCTGGCAAACAACAAAAGGATTAACAATAAAAAAATCAGCTAATAGGTATGATTATTGCATGTCATTGGTGGCTGATTTAGTTGTACTCCAAATCCAGTGGAATATATGACATTCAGTGAGCATCCCAAAAATTTGTAAACATCATTGCAGGGCTTTTTCAACTTTACCCATTCCCTGTGAGCAGAAAAATTAGCAAAAGAAATGCTGAAATAAATGTGAATGAGCAATTTATGGAAAGAATGAAAATAAAATGTTGTGATGAACAATTTCATAGAGAATGCTTCTTGACTGGATACATGGATGGGGAAAGCTGAGAAATTTGTGGAATAGGTTTATTTAGGAAAAAGTGAATTCATCAGCTCATTTTCCCAATGCACAAGTGACATGGTTCCCTCCTACAACCAATCATCAGAGATAGCCTCCACCTTCATTCCATGTTTCTATGGGAATTCATATCTTAAAGTTAACAAATTGGTGAACTCCTTTTTCTTGTGGAGGTCATCAAATCTCTACAGTACATTTTTCTTTGCTCTGGCATTGTGCCAAATGTGGCAGTGATTCATCATTCATTCAAATTTGTCATTGTCTCTTTGTCCAAGAGTAAATTTAAGAAATGAGAAGGGTCATCTAACTGAACTCTTACATAAACAGGTCATCATTAAGAACACTGTGGTAGCATTAACATTTTTTATTCAGAATGCTCAACCTTTTGTCATTGATACCTAACCCTTCAATGACTGAATGAATCAACCCAATCCGTATCTCAAGTCTGAGTATGCACCAGAAAATTGTCCAGGATGAAAGAAAGTCCAAGAATTAAGACCTAAAAGGTCCATAGATGTTCATCTTTATTCAAGTATCACAAATTCTGCATCTGAATGAGAAAAAACCTCAGGACATGGGTGGAATAGGATTTAAAAAAACCATTTGTAGGGTTAACTGAGAATTGGGTTCAGGTTATGTCTTTTTCTACACTTGTTTAGTATGGGATATTAATAACAGTATGACTTTATTCCTATTATCTTGTTGAGGAGCTGCATGAAGTAGTGGGTATGAATTTCTCTTAGCTGGGTTTTAACCATATTGGGCTATATGAACAGGCTTCTAGTAACACGATGCTAGCTTGCATTATTTTTAATGGACATAGGTGCCATGCAGAAAGTAGCTGCCCATACATATAGCCCATTAAAATTTTTTGGGAAAAAGTAGTAGTATGCCTCATTCCTATATTTTTATGTAGTGTGGGCCATGTGGCTGATTTGCAGGTGCATGTGTACTACCAAGGGAAGCTGAAAACAAGTGGGAAGGTGTTTGATGCACAAAGACAGGGGAAAGGGTTTCGATTCCGAGTGGGAGCGGGAGAGGTGATCCAGGGATGGGACAAAGGTGTTGAAGGGATGAGAGTTGGTGAGAAGCGACGCATCGAGGTCCCACCCAAGTTTGGGTGCGTCCCTCCTTTCAGAATTTTATTTTGCACCTGCATGACCTTGCTTTCTATCACTGAGCACTGCCATGTAGAGGGGCACAATGTAGTTTGTTTCCCTTCGTGTCCCATCAGGGATTCTTTCTCGCTCCCAGTCCCAGACTGGCTCTTATTTGTTTTCATTTTCCTGTCTGCAGTGAAGTTATAAAATCCCATTTCATTTTATTCTCTAAAAGTTTGCACAATAACTGCTCCCATTCCCTGCAATTTCAATCTATAAGATGTTTCCTTTAGAAACTTCATGTCATCCTGTTGAAAAAAGTATGTGCAGGCCCTGCCATCTTTCATTGAAAGAGATGGCACTTGATTACTTGCATCCATACACACATTGCAGTCCATTGGCAAAGACAAATCTGAATACTGACTATCCCCAAAAGTTTTATGTTCTATATGGCTTGTATCTTACCATATTGGCCTTCATTTCCATCAATTTTATATTAATGGAGGCGGACTGATTTGTGCTTCCTTAGGGGTGGGAGTCATGTGTCTGGTTCTGAGTTGTATTCTTGCATGTTTTAAAGTTGAATGAGGAAAGTTAGCTTTTACTAGCTATATGCATGACTATCGCCCTCTTTGTCCTTCATTAAAAACTAATTCCAGAGTCATAATTTTTTTCTTTTTTTGTTGGCATGAAATCAAAAGGATTTTATACAGCTACCCTTATCTTACCTCATGAAAGGTAAGGCTAGAAATCCAGAAAACCCAGGGTTACTGTAGACCTCAAAACCTGGAGAGCTGCTTGTGTTCAATAAAATATTGTACAGAGGTTGTAGAAATTAAGAAGTAGAAAAGCAAAAATCTTGCCAACTAACTGCATGCCACAATTTTGTAAACAATAAGGACTGGCATGGGTCTGGTACTACGATGTTTCAATATTATTGGTCCTTCCCAAGGCTAAGGGTGTGGTAATTGAGAACCATATTTATTGATGTTTGTTCTCTGTTACTGGTACTGAACTGCTAAGCTTTGCTTTCAAAACCAATGTTCTCAAGTACTATTATGGTTTAATTGTAATATCATACAGCTGTAGTTGACTCTTCCTGTATATTTGTATATTGCAAAGTAAACTAATTGAGAAGGTAAATATTAAATATACAGGGTGGTCCACAATTGCCTCCCCAAAAGTAAAAGTTTATTACTCAAGAAATATACATCCGCTTTCAATGATAAACAATAGCCAATTCAACATATTTTCATTGTCAAAAATTTCAACAAAATTACATCCTTAGACGAAAGCCACCAATTCTCTAGTGTTCAATGTGACTTACACAATTTTCAATGACTTGGTGCACTCTTTGAATGCCAGCAGAATTCTTTCAATCATCTCCAAGCCTATTGTGGCAAAGGCTTATTGAATGGCCTGTTTCTAGCCAGCATATCTAGGTTGTCATAGGTCCGCCGATGTCTCTCTTCAGGTTCAGAAACCTCTTATGAATTGCCTTCATGATCTCATCAGGAACTGAGGCATTTGGACCCAAACTGATGAAATTTCCACATTTTCCCCACACAAATTTGCTCTCCAATTTATCAAACCAAATGGCAATATACATCTTCTGCAGGATACTGAGGTCACCCAAAACAGACAATCCCTTGTGTTGCATGAAAAACCCACAAATGAATTGCGAATTTCAGAAGGTATTGTGATATTTACAGGCTTTAATTGCTCGATATGGGTACTTTCATTTGTTATGGTGTAACTATTCTATTTTTTAATGGAAAGCTGAAATTTTCCACAGTAAAAATATATTGAATTGACTATTGTTTGAGTCTTATTGAAATTGGATGTATACTTCCCGAGTAATGAGCTTTTACTTTTGGGGAGGCAATTGTGGACCACCCTGTATATGTTTTACATACTGAAAGAAGAAATTAAATTCACATATTTCTGCAAGAACCTGACACTCCTAATTGTTTCCTATTGGAAGGTCACTCATGCTTGAGTCAGCTTGAGGCAAATTTTAGAAACTGTCAAATGTAATATCTTGGTCTATTATCATGGATAGGTTATTACCCTTCTCAATTATCATACCTAGCACCATTTATGTTCTTTCAGAGAAATTGGAGCATGTCAATTTTTTAATTAAGTTTTTTCATGCCAGCCCAGTATTAGGTTAGCCTCGGTTATGAAAGTTAATTTATATTGTGTTTGAGATCAGACTTGTATTGTTGGGTTTGTAACTGACTCATCTCTGCTTAGCACCATTTCTTATCCGAAGGAAGCTATATTGTAGATTAATGTACCATGCTATGTTATCCAGAACTTTCTAAGTTATTTTCTGTTTTTTTTTTGTGTACTGGTAAAAATGTTCACTGCATTTTTTCACAAACTAAAAATAACTATTTGTAAATTTTATGCAACATTGTTCAACATGCCCCTACAGAAAAAAAAAACAACGATGTGAAATGGAATGAGATGAGATGGGATTGTCTTCATCTTCATTGTCTTTAACTAGGATTCTGGAGAAATATTCTCTGGCAACTTAGCCTGCTGTGGACCTCCAGTGGTTTGACAGTGTGGCTCCTCATTAGGTGCATGGTCATACTCAGACCCTAAAATTTATTGTCAACTATCAACCTGGTAAAAAAATGTGCACCAGGAGTTAGTTGCCATGTTCGAATGTCTAGCACAAGCAGTAGAGAATTCTGCAGCTTTTGTGTTGGAAAACAGGGATGGCTCTTTTCCATATGTAGTATCTCAGTCATGTAGCTCATGAATGTCGAAAATCAAGATAGCATGTTTCTTTGCCGCTGCGATTTAAAAAAATAGTTATGTTTAAACTATTAAAATAAATATATTTTGCAGGTACGGCGATAAAGGAGCCCCACCAGACATTCCCGGGAATTCAACCCTTGTCTTTGACGTAGAATTGAAGGCTGTCTCCTGAAGAGGAATGCTATTTTGGGGTTCTTACTTTGATCATTTATTGGAATAAAATCATGTTTGTGTTGACTCATCTTTCCACAGTTTTGAGTTTCTTTGACCACACGACAGTAATTCATCACTTCACAAGCTGTATGTGAAGTATTCGATCGAAGATCCCATTTTTTATCATGGCTCCGACGAACTGAAGCAAGCTGAACTCATCGCCTCCACTCAAGAATTTCGCGTTCGAGCGGATGCCTGTGGGACTCGACTGAAAGAAAAAAAAAATATTGAGACCAGGAACTGAGTCTTGAAAAACTTCGGAACTATTCAACATAATCCCCACCATCATGAACACACTTATGGATTCTCCTGAGCCACTTTTGAAATCCCTCTTTATAGGCTTTTTGTGGTAATCCTTGAAGCACTCCCCGTTCAACCCTGCTAGGGTCTTCAATTCGGTGAAACTGTCTCCCAGCGAGGTATTCTTCGAGAGTGACTAAACAGATAGGACGGGTTTGCAAACGAGGGCGCGAGAGGTCGTGCGAGTTTTTTTTTTTCATCCATTACAATCAGCAATAATAGAAAACTAGAATATTTTTAATCGTCTATATATTATTTTTACTTGAATGTCACATTCCTTCAGGTCTTTCTGGCTCTTTCCCCTGGAGTACAAGACAATGAAAGCAATCCAAGGCAGACCTTTAAATTCGATTCCTTTTTTTCAAGCGGTGTACATTTCCGTCGGGGATTTCCAATGATTCGAAAGATGAATCGTGCGTCCCTTTGAGCTGTAACTTGAATGCTCGCTGAATGAAGCGTCCGTGCACTTTTTCTGTTCGAATAAATACTTGAGGAAACTCCATGACGCAAAAGAGCTGGGTTCCCCTGGCAGAGCGAAATTTCCGAAGACACTTCTCAGTCTTTGAAAATGAAATTTGTGCCTTTGTTATCGTCCAGTCCAGCTTCGTTCATTTGAGGGTCCAGAAGCATGTAAACGTCGTTTTAATAAATTACGCGAATGACAATCGTTTTCTAGCTGTGACCCGGTCCCCGAAACGTTGCAGTTAGTTTCCTATTTTTCCAATCATCCCATGAAAAAAGGCGTCTGTGGGGTAATTTTAATTTCTAGGAACTCCTCTCAAAAAGAAAGGGAGCGTGGCGACGAACCAGGGTCCCTATGGGGGGGGGGGGGCAGCGTAAAAAGTTTGAGAACCGCTGGGATAGGACTTCGACTTTTTCTTAATTTTCTTTGGAGTTACAATTCTGGGTCTATGTTAATGGAAGTGCTTCTAGCCATAAGGTTCGGGTGACAGGTGTTTTTGGAAGATTAAGTGCCATGGCAACATGCTGGTGGACTGATTTATTTGTACACCTAACGCTATCAGGTGTGCCATTTATCTGTAAGGATGTTACCTATAATTGATAGGGCTGATACTTGTATGTGTCGGATTTATAGGAAAATCTATATCCAAGGTTACCTTTTAAACGTCGGTTTTTAGTAGTTTTGAACCAACAAGAATAGAAGGTAGGCACGGAGAAAAAGCTAAGAATCCAAGGGCAAAAGCCTTCCGTTATCAAATGTATTTTTAATTCTCCGACCATGGTGCAATAGGCCTGATGGTGAGCGGAAGGAGGTGCGAATACCTAAAGAAACGAAAAACCACAGGAGATACGCACCGCAACCGCAAGGGATACGTGCGATAGCTACTTCCGCTCGCTGAGGACGGTCGAGTCCAGCACAAGGTGTGTGCATGCACGATCGTCCCTGCGGGAAATTTTGCGATGATCCGGCACGAATGCCAAATTACGTCGAGTGAGCAAAAATGCACCCTGCATCTCAGTCTCCTCAGGATGGCCCCATCCAAGACCCACTTACATCTCTACCTTCTTCCCGCCATCGCTTCTATGCTCACTTTTCCGCTATCCCGTTAAGTTAATGAATAAACACTCCTTTAGCTACGAATTGAGCGTCTTCTTTTTCCTCGAACAATCCGCAATCTCGAATCGGTATCACTCTAGTGTTTGTTCGTGCGTGTGCACTTGCGTTGCTCTGACAAGACATGAATGGTGAAACCTCATTCTAGCGAGATAAAGGGACATTTAAGCTAAAACGCTCTTTTCCCCCCATAGAAGTCCATGGTTCCTTAAAGGACAGTTAACTAAAGGAGGTTTCAGCATTCAGGGCTCATTCTTTGGTTTTTATATGGCCTAGGAGGGGGGTGAATCAACTGCAGCTCTCTCAGACTATTGTCCGTCACAAGCAATCTAAGAAATGAACGGCCAAAAAATGCATAAACTTGCATTCTTGCTACTCGATCTCCGTAATGCATTAACGAATTTTGAATCTGAAAACACGAGCAAAATTGATATGATATAGGCATTTATGGGGAGAGTTAGGGACAAGCATAAACAAAGAGGTTAAAGTATTTTTTATTTTTCAATTTCTTAGATTAACTGAAACGGACTATAATACGTTCTGGTTTAGGCACAGGAGGAAATGCTTTGCCAACTTTCCTTGTTCCAACTGTTGGTGGTCTCTCTACACATTTCCCTTCCTTTTCCAAAAGCTATGTAGGTTAGTCCACAATATGCACCAGCACGCCTTCTAGGCCCACAGAATAACATTGGACTCAGTGAGACATTCGTCATGATTCATCGGTATCGGTTATATCGAATCTCTCTTCATGAATATCGAATATCGGTAAAAAGAAAAAAAAATTCCTCATCGGTAATATTCCTTGTTATCTGTCAGTACAATTAGTTGATTGGTGATCCGTTCTCTAGCTTAGTGCATATTTTCCGGTTCAAGAATTCATAGTTTATTTTCATTGCAGCCGGTGAAATTAGAGCAGCGCTACCCATTCGGCACAACAACTTTGTATCAACATTGAGAATAGGTTGAAACGTTGAGACTTGGTTGAAGTTGAGAATTCGACGAAAAATCAACATCAGTGAAATGCTAGCTATTCATAATTAACCGTATTTTCAGCATTTGGTGACTACTCGTGAACTAGGGAAGTCGTTCAGAGGCTATTAGGAGCAAAATAAAAAAAATCGTATTTTCAATGTTGTTTTTACGTGGAGTTATCCACATCATATCAACTAAAATTTGGTTCTACGAATCGACGCGAGATGGCACATAACCGCCAATTCCGCGATTCTTATCCTGATGCCTTTAAATAACCAGTACCCTGCGTTTTTCAGACAGTACCCAATCTTTTCCCATTTACAGCATAGGGGAAGGTATAGGAATTCCTAGATAGACATGTTTAAGGAGGTAATCAGGCAGAAGGAGACCGAAATTACTTCTGGCTAGTGGGTCCGAAAAGACACGCTCAATTTTCCTAAATCTCCACATGGCACGCGCCCTTACTCAGACTCATCCATGATGGATAGAGTATAAAAACCATGCCCGCGAGGTTGTTTCCCTCTACTGGACCGAGAGGTACTTGAGTCATGCAAGTACTCAATGTGAATTCTCATTCAGTAGAGGAAATAAAACTCTGAGGGTCCTTTACGTGGGATGATTGTACTCGATAGAGTACTGCTACTATCATACCTCTTGGGAACCATCTATGGAGCTATCGAGTCCATATTCAATTTCATCCGACAATCAAAGCTCATTCAAACCCTGGAATAGGGAGGAGGTACTATAATGCCCTTACGTTGAAAATTCAACGTTGACACAACGTCGCACAGCATCAACTTTTCAACGTTGAGCTGTGTTTCATTTCAACATTGTGGCAACATCATGGCAACATGTTACGTTGAAAAGTCAACTTTTTCTCAACATTGAGGCAACATTGCCATCAACCTTTTTTCAACGTCGACACAACGTTGTTGTGCCGAATGGGTAATGTTGAGAGCATTTTGCTTTCCGCGATTTGTGCTTGAAGATATATTTTAGTTGGGGAATGGTCGCTATACCACTGCTACTCTATCAAAGTATTCGACAAATGCCATATGGTAACTGCTACTTAATCTCTTCAAGGATTACATGATGAGCCAGAGCCCAGAGAGGAACTTCGTACAAAAAGTGGCATTTCATCATGAGATTCCGTGACGAGATCGCATGAGTCACGGACTAGATTTTCCAGGAAATGGGTTACTAAACCCGAACACACGACGGCTGCAAGCTTAACTGAGAACTCCACATTCGGCATTCATTGCTGTGACTATCAGAAATTATTTAACTTTCCTTAATGAAGTGGATCAGAATGGACCTCCGCGATCGTTAACGCGGTCATTTCGTGGAGCCTTAATGACGAGAGTTACCGGACTTGTTTTCCTTTCTAAATGGATCCCGCGGTCGTCATCGCCCTACTTGCATTAAGGTCTTCCCTACTTCGACTGTGGTTTCACCATAACGCCATTTCGGCGTCACAGTTTTGACCGACAACCGGTCATTTGGGATGCGAACATGATTAATTTCCGATGCTGTCGAGAAACAAACACATGCTGACCCTCTTGTCCCTGTTAAGCTCTCGATTCGCGAAGTGGAGTGTCACGACCACATTCTACCGCACAACAGGTGTTAGTAGTTGCACTGAATCGAGAATCCAGTAATATTATTACATTTACGGGTAAGAAGATGGGTTCACAGTCTTTCGTGCCTTCATTAGCCGTCACCTTTTCTGCTCACACGGTTCGAGCTGGTCGGTAGCTTTCTCAATTATGGAAATGTGACGACCGCGAACAGCACCACTTAAACCGTTCTGGTTGTATGTCCCCTGTCCGATTGGGAAGTAAAAAATGACTAAGTGACCGATTGGCTGCACGGCTGCTCCGGGAGTGCCTCCCTCAGCGGGAACGTCTCAACCTTCCTGCTGTGGGAAGGCACTTCACGCGAATTGTTCATTTTCAGTCGTCACTGACGCACACATCCATTCGAATGGCCAGACACAGGTGTTGGAGTCATCTGGATGATGCGTGGAAGTGACGTGGAGAGAAGGTGCGTCGGTCTGGCTCGGTCGCTCTAGAGAGGGGCTTCGTATCGTCACGTCATCGAGCGAATTCGGAATTTCGACCTCCACAGTTCATTGTTCCGTGAAGTTTCTTTTCGTCCCTTGTTGCGGATCGCCTTGACCCCAAACCTCCAGTTCTTTTGTTCTTCAAGTACTGTACATTCTGTTACGAATTTCTTGGAGAGGTCAATATGTCCCTGTTCAGTCTCGTTCTCCGTTCTCAAAAATGGATACGTCAGCCACAAAGGCTTATTAGAATTGGCGGAATCGAGACACCCTCAGTCTAATCAGGTGCTCCTGTTGAGGCCTGTGCAGAGGGATGGTAATGGGAGCCAGGTTGATTGCATGCTGCCTATCCCTTTCCTGCATTGAGGAGATTTAAAGATGTGAAGTTGTTGGTACTGGAGTCTGTTTTTAGCACTAATTTCGCCAGAGATGAACTCAGCCAACTCATCATTGCAAAAAAAATTTCAAAGTGATCAGAGGTATAGTTTTTGCGGTACTGCTCAACAATGAAAGTCAGAGTACACCCGAAAGAGCGGGACCAGGGAGTGGCTCTTTCCTTCTCGAAAGGAGATCCAGCTGGATTGCCATAGTTCAATGTGGCTAAAGAGATGGCGCTGGCTGGGAATGCCTCGTATGGGGTTCTTCATGGTCGCCTGCTTCACGTGGCATCTTCAATTCCACTAGCTGCTACCTTACGTTTGCATGTAACCTCTCAGCGTGGAGTTGATAATTAAAAATAGCAACAGGCCTATGCTAACATGTATTAGCGCCTAATATTTGAAATAAAGCCATTGCTCAGCATTATAAGCAAATAAAGCAAGTAGCTATATCAAGGACTACTCTGGATCCTTACTTATCCAATGTATCTCGTGTCTTTCGTAAAACCTAGGACCTCCCCTCATGCCTGCTGGGATCCCACTCCTTCTACATGGCCTCGTTCATTTTACGCTGAAACGGATTTTCTAACTACAGGAAACACAGTTGAAGTCAATGTAGACGGGCTGGGGGTCAAAGAGTTCGGCTTGGTTTGTCATATGTAACAACCCCAGGATAAGGTAGAAAGTGGACTGGTAAAAGGCTCGCCTGTTTTGTTAAGGTGAAGGGTGGGTATTCTTTTTAAAGGTTTGAATAGCTGTAATGGATTAACTTGAGGAGGGGAGGTCATCCCACCTACCATTGCAAGCTTTTCCTGGTTCTCTTTGTGTTTCTCACCAAGCATTCCTTACAGTCAAATTTAAGTTGAAGGTAATCATATATTGACTTTACATATAACACCAACATGACTTTCATGCAACTTATATAATATCTCCCATCCTGGGGTTATCACCAGTAAAATAGTTGTCCAATTATGAAGCCATATTGGGTCTCACAAAATACAAGAATACATTTCTGTTTTGGCCTCTGGTAAAGCCTTTCCAAGATTTTGTCTTAGTAGGCTAGGCATAACAGCTGGGTCAGCCTGATGTTAAGCCTAATGCTAGCCCTATTAGTAATCTATCCTGGACAAAACTGGACAGAGTCTATCCTAGGACCAGGTGTGAACCATTGATAGGGTCTGGCATGTTTCAGTGTGTACTCATAATTATATTTTGTCTTCGGCCTGTAAGAAGGTGTAGGTTCTATATAACTTCAGAGCTGTGTTTTTCTCTGTAACCCTAATTTCATTAGCTTCTGCCTGGATTTGAGGTAGGATTGTTGTTTGATATGATTGAATGTGAGAGTAGTGACAGACCTAGCAGTGTTTCTTAGCTTCCTGAGTTTACTTAATCCCTATATCTCTGACCTTACAGGTGTGATGCAAAAAATGGCAATGGCAACGGCTTCTAGGTTTTCCGTCCTCAGAATTGATGATGACAGTGAGGCAGAATCAGATGATAATGCAGCCAAGAAAGCTCAGCTTTCCAAACAAAGGGCTGAGCAAGAGAAGAAGAAGGCCCGGAAGAAGAAGAAGGCTCAAGCTGAAAAAAAGGAGAAGGCTGAGGTAGGCTCTGGCATAACATTACAGGGTGGTCCACAATTGTCTCCCCAAAGTAAAAGCTTATTACTCAGAAAGTATACATCTGATTTAAAGCATATATATGACTCAAATTATAGCCAATTCAATATATTTTTATTCTGAAAATTTTCAGCATGAAGGGAAGGTATGGCACAGCTGTGCCTTTCCTTTGGGCTCTGTACTTGAACAGATTTCTATTCTCAAATTGATAGAATGGGACAAGACTTATTACCAATTCATGGTGCAATTAACAGTCTGTCAGTGCATAGCCAACCCATCTCACCAGAAGAGGCCATTATTTTTAGCTTGGCCAAGTTGAATTATTTATTTTCAATAGACTTTGACCAGATCATTTCAGAGGTGTCCATTTAATAGTTTTTTTTGCAACAAAAATCATATGCTCACAAATTGGAAACACTATCATACCATAAAGACTTACTTTTTGGGATGTATGCTTTTATGCAAGTTTCCAAACCTACAGGAGAAAGAAAATCTAGGTTTATCAGACATGCTTCATTTGTGAGGAAATCCTGTTAGCTCACTAGTGTGTGCCTTTCCAAAATTATGTTCGTGTTTCTCTTATGTGGGTGTAAAAGTTCATATAAAAACAGATATTTGTAGTTTGTAGTTTTGGAAAGCAAAATTTTGCAAATATTGTGATGATCGGAGTTGGGGTCAAAGGGACCTATTGGATGGAGTATTTCAAGATGGAGGATTTATATATATATATATATTGCATTACAAGTTTACTTCACACACCCTCACTATGGAAACCATTGCCCTCCAGTTGTGTGAGGGGAAGAGAATGGCTGAGACTTGTTGGGAGATGAAGGTGTTGCAAGAGGAAGCTCGCCAACTTTAGGCAGAGTAATTTATGAATTGCAGAGCTTTATTGATGTAATTCCTGGTGAAGGTGTAGTTCTCTATTAAGTTAATGAAAGTGTCCATGATGCTTTGCAATAGAGGAGAAAATATCTTGAAGTAGGTGAATAATTTCCTATTGAAACAATTGGAGAGCTAAATATATAATCCCTGGAGTGGTTCAAAGATAATGGGGAAAAGTTGAGAAAGGTTTCTTTTTCTGAATGGGCTACAGAAGATGACCTGAATCATTTGCACTGGATTACTATGAGCATTACATCTTAATACTGAAAACTTAACATGGGAAATCCATGAGTTTGAAATTTGTAAGGGCTTAGTAAGAATGGGAACTCATATTTTGAAACAAAACATTTCCATCTAATCAAAAGGAGTCATGTTTTGATGATATTGGCACTTGAGTACCACGTTCAGTGGAGTACACATATTAGTAGCATGAAAGGAAAGGTAATTTTTGTTCAGGCTATGTAAAGTGTCTCTTGAGGGACAGATATTGGAATGCAACAAATCATAGTCCTAAGTGATGGGCAAATATTGCTCAAATATTTTGTAATTTTGTAATCTCTCCCCATTTGAAGAGCTCCTGATTTCATTGTTTTGGAAGTGAGGCTCTTGTTGCGCAATTCAGTCCCCATTTGATCCTTATTGGCTTGTTTCTGAATTTTAATATGCTTTGCAGTGATTCATGAAACTTTGATTGTCTTCTGCTCATAGATGAGAGTGAGATATGATTTTGAATTCTTTATCAGTATGCCAAAAATTGAACTTTCCAAGTCCAATCAATAATCTTATTTGTTCAAAATGATTCATAACTAGTCATAGTTATTCTTCTTTGCAGGAAATCATTATGCACCTAATGCACATGCTGGTCTGGACTGATGCATATAATTTTTAGCATCAATATTACTTGCAATCATATTTTGCCTTTTTGTGATATTGTTTCATCCTGCAACACAAACATTAGGAACATAGGGGAGACAATTCATGAGGTACAAGGCCTTTATGAACCTCACTTCATGCCTCACTCACCACTACTAATGTGATTGTTTTTTTGGGGATCTGCTTAGGGGTGTATACTTGAGAGGGGAGGATTTTTAATGGGCCTGAGTTCTAGTTAGCATGCTGTTATTTTATTATACTTGATGGAGTTATTCCAATTCTTTGTGCAGTTGCAGTCTCTGGCCTTTGGTATTGGACGTGGTGTAAAGGCTGGTGGCGAAAATCGCAAGGCTGGGGGTACAGGTAATGACTGGGAGAAATGGAAGGAGAAGGACCAGAAGGTAATGCTGAGTATATGCTCGAGATGAATGACCTATGGTAAAGAATTTATATTGAACTGTCAATGTACAAATGAGAGTGCTTATTCCTGCAAGGTAATATTTCAAAGAAAGCCAATTGTGAGTTCTTGGGTTGTTCGGCCAGTTGGCAGATGTTACATTTGAGAATGACATGGAAGAAGCAATCCTCCTGTCCAAAATGGATTTTGAGCAACGGAAGTTACTCCGGGAAGCCCCTGAATCCCCGAAGGGAAAGAAGTCCTCTAAGAAGAAAGACAAACCTCATACTCTTTCCATAAATGAGTTCAACCAGCTTGGAGCAGCTGATGTGAGTTTCACTCCATTCTTTCTCACTAAGAGTCACACTGATCAGGAAGTTCTGTTGAAATCAGAATTTGTGGTTTTAGTAAGTACTTCCATGCTACCACCAGAGTTGGTAGCAATGTTTTTAAATTTGTGTAATTGGTGAAATTCATTACAATGAAAGTAACTCCATCCTTGTTGCAGAATAGAGCAACATTCTGCTAATGCATGCATGTTTGTTGAAAACAAAATCCATATTAATGCTGGAAACACTCATCCCAAAATGCCTCAGTGTCAGGGTTGGTATTCAGCCATCATAAAAAGACAGATGCATGTGCATTCTCTTTTTTCTGTCAAATCATTCCATCTTTTTACAGATCAAAATATAGAAAACTCTTAATTTCTCTCTCTAGTGGTTCCTTCTCTTTAACCCTTTGGCAGATTAGTTTTTTTTTTGAGCCAGTGCACTTGCCCAAGGTGAGTTTTTTTTTGACAGAATGAGAGCTTGTATTTACTTGTGACTTTCACTCATTCATCTGTTGACTTATAGGAAATGTATCAGTATCAATTTACAAAAAATTTATGAAAAATATACTTATCCTTTAAAAGACAGTCTTTATCTCTCAGGGACCTATTGAGTGGCTTTTTCAACTGAGTGCTGTTCCTGACAAATGAAGCAGGAGATAACGGAAGCTCTAGTAGAAGTCTGGATTCTATTATTTTCAAATGTGTTTTTGCCAATATTCATGATGTTGTTCACTTGTCCTGTAGCACTTACCTTTGCTGTCCATTACCTGGGACATTTGTCTTATGAAGGTTAAAACCTTGACAGTGTGTACTGTGGCAGGACCACCTAGGACCCAACAGATATATCAGTACATACCCATTGAAGGGTGTAACTTAACAGGTTGACTGCTAATTGACTGAATGGGAAAATCAATAGGCCAGCATTTCTGTGGCGGTCAACGTGTTAAAGGGCCAGCTGGATCACTTGGTGATGAAAGAGTGAAATTGAGTTTCATTGTTCTCCTAATGAAGCTCATTTCAGTTTCTAATGAAGCAGAGGCCTGTCATTTTGCATTGACAAGCCAAATTTTTTAGTTTCAAAACATGCATTGCTGCCTCATAGACAAGATGCTAAGATGCTCATGTATTTTCATTTCTGTATAGAAAATTTACAAATTGAAGGATCTTTTTGAAGCAAGGCCATCAGAACACATGCAATATGTGATAATTTTGTATATAGGTGAAGCGGTTCTGTAATGGAGAAGAGGTGACTACTCAGGTGAGGATCTCTGAATCCACTCAAGACCACAGCAAACCAGACAAAGATGAGTTCTTTCAGCAGATTGAGGAAGACACTAGGAAGGCCCTCCGACGGGAGCAAATCCTTGACTCCTGTCGAGATGTGAGACTTCACTTTCTCTGTCTTCTCCGTGTTCCTTGTATTGCCATTAATTTGTCAGCTCTCTTGTGAGTGATAGTAAACCAGTTTATGTTTTGCCACAATGACTGATGCTAAGAGAATCTTCCATTTCTTTTGCCTTCTAGTGACATGAAAAAAATGGTTTGTATATTGAAACTCAAAATCTAACATGTGTGATATTAGATACCCATGCCTCATTGTTTACCTTTTCAGAGCAGCATGATATTGAATATTCTACCATGAGTTTCAGCTCGTAGACACAATATATGAATTTATATTTTTTCAGAATCACCAGGGTCAGTTGATGTTTTTCTCTCTCAGAGAGAAAAGCAAAAATAAGAAATGAATTCGAGAAGTTCAGCTTCAAATATGTTTGATGTCCACAACCCTTCTTGAAACTGATTTTGCAAGGAATTTTATAATTTCACATAAATTTGAAATGCCTAAGTACCAAGGGCCAGTTGATGACTAGAGAACTGAAACGCAGCCTGGTGTAACTGAGGAGTATTCCTTATCTTCATCTCAATTTTGCCCCAGTTCAGTTCAGAGATTTTTATCAGCCTACTCTTAATGTAAAGAAAAGTTATTAGCAGAGGTGAATTTATTGCATTTCTTGAGTGAATTTTAGAACTGAGGATTGAATAAATTGACTGAAATGATTAATTTGCTTAAAAAATTGTCAAGTTTTAGAATACCAGAAGGTTTATTGATATGCATAATGTTGGGAATAAAAAAATTGACAAAATTCTTTTTCTTTTACTTTTTCAGCAAGCATCATTGTCCTCAGTTCAATCCATCCTGGTGAAGGAGGAGCTGGGGAAAAAAGACAAGGAGCTAGAACAGTGCAATGAGGAAATACAGCGCCTCAAGGAGGAACTCCTTGCTGTCAAGAAGCGCAACAAGCGACTCTGCAACATCCTTGCTCAGGGAGAGAGTGAGTTCCAACTTTCAGGGACATTATCTTCCCAGTAATTGATGACTTGCAATTTAACTCTTTTGCTGCAGAGGTCGCATTTTTTTGCTCAGCAGCTAGTCTTCCATAACCCATATTGATTCTACTATGCAGCAAAAGAGTTAACTATTGGTTGTTTGGATCAGTGAGGGAGAAGGCAGAGATTCTCCTCGAGATGGAGAAAGTGAAGCAAGTGAATGAGGAGTTGACAACTCAGGTTCAAGAATTGGTGGAACAGCTGGAGCAGGAGAAAAGCAAGGTTCATCACCTCACTGATGACCTCCGAAAGGCCCAGGTATGTTGGAAGTTGAAGAGAGAAGGGATTCATAGTTGAGGATGGTAATGTGGGATTGTTGGCCTCATAAATTCTAGTTCCTTCTGACAATTTCATTCCTTTGTGCCAAGGCATTTAGTTTTGCATGGTTTTTATAGCAGGGTCACAAGAAGCAGAGGACAACCAGTGAGAGTACCCATTGACTTCTGTCTCTCTCATCCTTCCTGCTTCCATTCGACAGTCTTCTTGTTTTCCCACCCCCTCCCTTTTTTTTCTGTTCAAATGATCATTATGCTGATGGAGGTGATAAATAATTCCTATATTTTTTTAGTCTGTCCTTGCCCCCTTGAAACAGATTCCAATGAAAAATATGTTGTACACATGAGAGAACGGGAGTTTGTTTCACAAGTGAGGATCAGATGACGCGAACCCAGCCGAGAAAATGGTTCCAGACAGAAGTGAAAACACCCTCGGCAACAACACGGATGATGTTCTTCTTGGGCTGGGGCTTCTTGCAGACATAGCCATAATGTGTGGATGTGATGACGCCTTCAATGTGCCATGTCGATGGGATCATGGCCACGCATTCCCCTGTCCCTTCTTCCGGGTATGTCGGGTACCAGCGTGTGAATGCTTTGGGTTCCAATCCGCTCCCATTCACCCAGGTTTCATCCAGGCGCACGCCAATCCACAATTCTGGTATTGAAATGTCACTTGCCACTGACAAATGGAGAAAAGCAGAAAAGATCAAATCAAAATCTGTTAGATGAATGCACCTTGTGCTATTGGTGCTTTCTGTGATGTATAGCATATTGATTTCTTATAGTTGGTATTACAGGAAGAGACACTTATGCTTGTTCATTACCTATAAATGGACATGGATATCAGTCTGTGCTGCTAATTTGGTGATGTGGAATCAGAGGATCCTGCATCCCATTATATTAAAATTATGCAGTTTACATCTGAATGTCAAACTTAAAGCTTGGAATTCCTGTGCATGTCTATTGGATGTTTTTGCATTCATTATTACCCTATGTGGCTGCATTTTTAACCAATTAGAAACATGGAACCTTTGGGCCTCATTATAGGATTTTAAGTCTTCAATGAATTTGATGAAAATCCAATGAACTTTTCAGTAGTGAATACCATATCCATCCATCTACAATGATTGCTGAGATGGAAGCTCAACTTTTCAACAGTGTTTTTTATTATTATATTTATTTATACCTCAGCTTTCGAAGTTTACATTATACCATGAGTTCAGGTTCCATCCCCAAAGTACTTTTTTTAATCCTACGTTGTTGAAATTTAGGGTTCAATGCTTGCTTTTTCCTGTGATATACGGCATTACCAATCAATTGAAGTAACTGTAATTTCTCTTTAAACTTTTAAGAAAATGTGCGCAGAACTGCTTAGGGTTCTTAGGGCTCAGGGGCCTTATCAATAGACAAAATCTTTTGAAAGGCCATGCTCATGGACTAGAGATGAGCAAGGATGTGACTGTCGAGAAATTGGAAGTCGAACGCAGGTGGGTGTCTTGATGCCCTCCGTTTGATTTATGAAGACTTGGGAAATCGAAGGGATAGTTAGACTTTTCGCCTGCTTTTTTTTCTGGATCCCATTATTACATTTGAAACTTAATTTGTGGCGAGTACGCTATTAATGCCTTTTACAGTCAAATGCCCGCAAATTTTCAGCTTGAGTCGATGATTCAATCTACGATGCGTGACGATGCATCACGCGATGCGTAACGATCGTCGGGATGCATCGATCGAAGATGCGATGCCTGCCCGAGCATGCCTTCTTTTCCCGGCCCGAATTCGAGCCCCCCCACCCCCCAAGAGCTTCGAGCGGATCCGCGATATCCAAGGAACACGAGAGGGACTAACGAGGAGAGAAGTCGCCCGAGAGGTCCTTCATGAGCCGCTCGTGCTTGTCCGCGGTGTCGATGAAGGCCATCCGTCCCTCCATCCTGACGCAGGTGTCGTTGGCCTCGTCCCAGGTGGCCGTCTGCTGGGACAGGAAGATGCAGGGAGCGAGGTTCCCGCCCGACTGGTAGAGAGGAGGACACCTGGCGGTGACGCACCCGTCGTCCTCCTTGCACTCTTCTGGCTCTGCGGTGCAGATGAAGCCCTTATGTGCCTCGCAGAAGTAGTTCTTCCACATGTCCGCCTTGAGCACCGTCACCACGGGGCGCTCTGGGGAAAAAAAAATTCGCACATGGAGGATGTGCTAAGTTCTCTGCGATTTCGAAAAACGAGTCGTGTAACAGCGACCAAAAACATGCGGGACCTGAGAGAACGAGACCAGACCTAAGTACGTATATTTTTAACGATTTTATTGCCTTTGCCTCTTGAAATTTCGCATGGTATGAATTTTATTAATATTTTTCACGCAAAATCATGGTTCGTGCTCATTTACTCTACGAGCACCAGACTTAGCCAAGATGAAAATGATTTTGTAAATTCCCTTCGAAGACCGCGCTGCTCTCTCGTGCGTTTCTTTTCCCGTTCCATCGCGAGGCGAAACGGGAAGCTTGGCAGTGCAGATGTAGTTCCTCTTTATAATGGACTGCTCTGCCCATCTGTCATCTGCGATTGCATCTGTGATTCGCTTCGTCATGCCGGAAGCAGTCAACTGCGACTCCGAGACCCGGCAGAGCTTTCGGAAATCGGACCGCAGATGACACTTCTCGCAGCGGCTTTTTCGTGAATTCCGGGAACTTTTTGTGTCGGGTTCACATTTGAGATGCACTCAGAACATTCTTCCCGATGAAAAAAACCACCTTGAATGGATTTTGCATGCAGCGTGCCTTTTTTAATGAGGTCGTGAAGTCGACTTCACGACCTCCTTCCTTTTCTGTTCGCCAACTCTGCGCGGACGATCGCGAGCATCTACATTCCACAGTTTTCGTGACCGAGGGGATTCCGTTTCTGTAAGGTTTTTGGCCCATTTTAGAGGGACTGAAAGACGAGGCCGATTCCGGTCCTCTATCGCATCGACCCGCCCTTCGAGAATCTCTCCGATTTCCAAGCCCGGATCGCGAAGAGGCAAGTCCCCGAATCGACCCTCCCCGATCGCTGGGTCGACCCTCCCCATCGAGAGACACCGAGCACTTCGACGACGCCGACGAGACGGGAGTCGGTGTAACGACCCCGTCACGGGCGAAACGGTCGGTCGAGACGGAAGAAAACGGGTCGGGGAAATCCACGCGGATCGCGCGTCGGCGGTCGTCGACAAATGACTGTTTTTCCTTCGAGCTACGCATTTTTTTCGCTCGACTCGGACGCTCGTGCACTCGGAACGTCGCACGCACGAGTGCTCGAGTCGAGGGAAAAATTTTCCGGCCCGAGTGAAAACGACCGAGAGAAAAACGGCGAACGGGGAACGAAAAAAATAGTCTCGCACGAGGAAAGTGCGAGCAGGGAATCCATTTCTCGGTCTGCACCCGTCTGTACCCTTCCGTTTCTTTTCAATTTTTTCGTTCCGATGGGCTGCCTCTGTCCGCATTCTCTTACGGTTTCCCTCTCTTGCGGCCATCCCGGTACCCATCGGACGTTTCGTACCCGGATGAGATCGAGATGAGACCTCCCGATCGCATCCCCACGACCTTCCTCGACGTAGCGTGTTAAGACTCACTCCACTCAGAGAAATCAGAGAGCGAGAAACTCAAACCCCCCCCCTCTTCCCGATACGGAGTGGATGCAGGAAGGGGAATGGAAGCATCGGGAGTGGGAACCCGAAGGGAATCGCCCCGACAGCTGCATCGCTCTCTGTCCCTTCTGCGTCGCACGTTGTCCCTTCTGCATCGTTCTCGGCCCTTTTTACGGCCCCTTCCGCATGCACGCCCTTCGGCTCCGAGTGGCGACTTCTATTTCGAGCCGTAGCGTTTTTAGAACGGACTGCTTCCAGGTACTAGATATCTTGGAGAGGGGGGACAAGGGGAGCATCTGTTCCCCCCACCCCCCAGGACTCCCTGAGAGTGTCCAGCCAAGCACCCCCACTGGAGGATGTTTTTCGTCCCCGAGAATCTTCACTCAGCATATCCCCCCCCCCCCTCCCCCCTCCCCCTTCGGCTNTGTTTTTCGTCCCCGAGGATCTTCACTCAGCACATCCCCCCCCCCCTCCCCCCTCCCCCTTCGGCTCACGTACCCAAATACGTCGCAGTCGAAATAGAAAATATGTTTCCCCTTGGGCCGAATCGATGGAATCGGCACCTCTTCGCACGAAAGCGACCCAGCAGTTTTCGTCGTCGAGCGGTCTCTTTCGTGCGTTCGGCGGACGTCCGCGTCCGAGAGGCAACTCGACGATTCCGTTCCGTCTACGCGACTCTGCCTCTTTCCGCTCTCGTTCGAGGACGATGACACGAAAACGTTTAGCGCTTCCTCGCCGTGGGTCGAGTTCGTGCCGAAGACGAACTCGTACGGCGTACCGTTCGATCGAGACGAACCGACCGGGGAAACGGCACCGGCAAGCCGTAACGTTACCGGATTCGGACGCAACGTCCAGCGTCGAGGCGTCCTCGATCGAAACCATCCGTTCCTTTCCGGTTTTCCGAGCGGACGGATTCATTTTCGAAAGAATGAGGCTGCATGCGGTGGCGGAGAAGTGGCATTAACTTCAATTCAATAAGTGGCTCATCTGCGCCACTAAGTGAATCCGGATGAGAGCCTTCTCGACCTTTCTCGACCTTCCGTAATCGTTCTGCTTTCCGTCTGCACCGAAAGGAGGTCCGCGAAAAAAAAAAAAAATTTCCTCGGCTTCTGTTCCCGTATCGATTTTGAATCCCCTTTCTCGAGTTTTTCGATTCTTTCGACGCCTTCTGAACGAGCAAGAAGCCTTTCGCGACGAAGGCGTCATAGCGCTTGGGTTTCGAGGATCGATGCTTCCGTCGTTCCGTGCTTCCGTCCGTCGATTGCGGGGATTTCGGCACGCTCCTCGGAATTAACGGCCTCGCGTCCGCACGACTCGGTCTCCCTGGTGCGACTCCGATTCCCTATTCTCAGGCGTATCTCACTTCATATCGAACGAGAATATCAAATGGGGTGAATCTATAAGTAAGCGACCCTCTGCTCCCCCCCCCCCTCCCCTCACCCATCTCTGCCTAAGTCCCGCGACGGTAAGCCTCGGGACTCAGGCAGGGACGAAGTGCAGAGGTGCCCCGAGTTGCAGATCCACCGCGTCGGGACCACGCAGATCCCGGACGCACGGGCGTGAAACTCGGATCACGCGACCGGGAGAGGGGGGAAGGGGAAAGGGGGGAAGGAGGGAAAGGGGAAAAGGGGGGAAGGGGAAATGGGGGGAAGGGGTACCTGCCGGATGCATCATCCTCTCCGTGTATCCGCACGATTCACGAATTATCGACATCGATTTCATTTCTCTAAAACAGGGGTGTCAAACAGATCGGTCGGCGGGTGGCATTCCTTACCATGCAGATGCATGCGGGCCCCACCCACAATTTTTCATCGAAATTTGTGTTAACAGTCAATCCAAGCGGAAATTTCTCGAACAGACGGCGGGCCGGATGAAACGCCTCCGCGGGCCGGATCCGGCTCGCGGGCCGTATGTTTGACACCCCTGCTCTAGAACATGCATAACCCCCTCTTTCCGCTCTAAGTTTACTTTTTAAATTGTTATCGGGGAAAATATTTTGTGCTCGTCGGAAGCTCATTGAGATTTTCTCGATGAAGTCTATGTGGAAATTAATTCTCCATTTTCGTAAGAAACTTCTCTTTTTTTTTTCTCATCGCAGACTTCAATGGGGAAATTGCGTAGTTCCAGCGTATCCGCGAATTTCCCTCTCGCAAGTTCAGGCATCATCATTCCTTAAAGCTTACTAACTCTGCATCTGCAACAGTGAAAATCAGTCTCTTGTGCTTTGGCTCCTTCCCCACGACTAGGCTCTTTTCTGAGACAGCCTCCGTACCCAACGAGCAACTCCCCCCGAGAAGGAAGCGGAATCATCGAATGTGAGCGATTTCATCACCAAAGGGAAATTGGTACTCGACCTTTTCAACCCCCCACCCCAGGGAGATTTTGGTTTCGAGTTAGAGGAAGAGAGACTCGACGGACCTTTGGCAGTGGTGTCCTCCCGGCCGGGCTCGCAGGAGGCGCCACAGTAGTGGAACTGAAAATCCCACGCCGTGTTGTCCGTGTTGACGGGTCGACGGACGTCCGAGTAATCGGCCCCGACGAACACGCTCCGCTGGGCCACGTGCGAGGAGACGAACAGGTTCTCCCCTTCGGAGTGGATGCTCACCAGGTGGGCATCTTTCTTGAGGCACGCCCCGTGGGCGGTCTGGTAAGAACTGACCTCGGTCGAGAAGAAGTAGCAGGAGCCGTCGTAGTCTTTCCAGCCTCGCTCGCACGCGCTCTGGGCTCGGACTGCGACGAGCAGCCAGAAGAAGAGCGTCGCATCCGCCGCCTGCGTCCGCATCCTTTCTCGCTTCGAGGGATCACCGACTCATACTGACGCGGCCTGGTGGGATCGAGGGTTCGAGTGAGACTCGGGCGGCGAAGCGGCGTGTCGAAGGTAACGGCAACTTATCGTATGGGCAGGGCCGGCCTTAGGCACGAGCCACATGTGCCTCACGCACGGGGTGCAGATTCACCAGGGGGCGCCAAAACGTGATTCGATGTACGAGGCGATAATGGATGCCACCCTTGGGTTTACTTCAGAAAGTGAATGCTTACTGTTTTGGTGTCAATTTGGATTCAAGGGATTGACTTTTCTTTGGGGAGGGGGGGGGGGGGGGCGTTGGGAGTTTTTTGCACAAGTTCTCCGTGACGTTCGCTTGCGAGTGTTACTTCCCCGTCACCTGAGCGACGCACTGGTTGAGGCGACAAAGGGACGCCTCGAGCAAAAATACGTTCGCGAGTTCTTCGTAATCATGACATTGGATGGAACGATGACCAAATTTCAAACGGCTAAATTACGCATTAGGCTAACGTCCACGAGACGCAAAAATGCACAACAGCATGAACGATAAAAAAGAATAAAAAGAAAAGCATTTTGAATGAACACTGGCGAGAACTGAAGAATGCTTATCACTAGAATAAAACTCGTCACGAGAGAGAATGAAGACCGAGGACTCGGCGGGAAAGGCAAGACACCTCCGGGAAAGGCAAGACACCTCCGCGAGAGGAAGCGGAGGACTGACGCCACGGACAGTCGCCTCACGAGGCCATTACGAGGCAACGGGGCCTCGGACAAAACGGGATGCCCAGAGCCCATTCGTTATACCGTCGTCATTAAGAAATTGATGCTCTCCCGTCATGGTCCCCCGAATTCCCCAGGCCCTAAGGGCCTCGTCGCAGGTAATGGGGTCGGCTCGCGGTCGCACCGTCACACTTCCTTCCTTTCCTGCATCTGCTTTCGTCGAGGACGAGAAAAAATGCGAGTGGGTGAACACATCACGTTTATTGCCGAGATCGACGAAGCACGGTTTTGCGGAATCACGATAACTCGAGGATAAAATACAGCGAAAGCTCGAGAACGACTAGAATCGGCTAGAGAGATCGAGGGATATCATGCCTCGCACGATCGTTCGTGTACATGTATACAGCGGACAAGTGGAAAAATTGAACGAAATTTTGATTGTCCACGGAATAAAGTAACGGGATGCATGCAGGAGAAAGAAAAAAAAAGGGAAATAAATAATTTTTTTTTTAGTCTTTCTTCTGCTGCTTTTCGACGATGTTCTTGTAGATGCCGGGGAGGGAGGTCATGATGCGGCTGGTCGACCTGGAATTCCGAGTTTCCTTCTCCTCGCCCGAATCCGCCGCCTCCAGCTCGTCGCCCGAGAACGCCTTGAAAGCGGACGACGAGGATGACGTCATGGCTTCCCCGACCTCCAAGACCGTGGTGGCCGCGGAGACGGACGGGAGCGGCGGGAAGTACCGCGGGAGGGTCGGAAGGGGAGGGATGGGTACGGGCTTCACCACTTCCACCTCCTTCTTTCCGACCAGGTTGCTCACGTCCATCTTGGACTTCTTCGAGTGGCGGGTGGCTGCCGCTTCCTCCTCCTCGTCGGCGAGACGCCGCTTGGCCACCAGGTTCCGTAGCATGTCGCTGAAGAAGCTCCCGCCGTGAGAGGGATCCGCGTCGTAGAAGTACAAGGGGGTGGCCGCGAGGAGGCGGGACACGAAATTGAACGTCTCGGGTGGGAGGGCCGGTCGGGCGTGGAGGCTCTCGCGCCACAGACGGAAGTAATCTTCGCGGAGGGTGTGCCAAGGGGCGTGGGGTGGGGGGTGGTGCCCGTGGCTCTGGTGGGGGTGGTGGTGGTGGTGGTGGAAGGGGACGGGGTTCCGACTCGTCGCCATGCACGTCGTGTGGACGCTCAAACGGTTCAGTCCCGTGGATGTCGTCGTGCTCGATCCCGTCGCGGATGACGTCACCTCCTCCACCGACACCATCGCGGGTCACAACTGCAACGATAAGAGCAAACGCATCTCTCTCGATTCTCCGTGACGTTCGCTTGCGAGTGTTACTTCCCCGTCACCTGAGCGACGCACTGGTTGAGGCGACAAAGGGACGCCTCGAGCAAAAATACGTTCGCGAGTTCTTCGTAATCATGACATTGGATGGATCTCTTTTCCTCTCTTTTTTCGTTATTTTACGATTCCATCCTTGTATTCAGAGAACGACCTTGCAGAAGAATTACGGAGGAAAGAAGTTTCGAGGGCTTCAGTGCCACCGAGAAAATCTCTCGACTGCCAGCATACTTTCATGAGGCTTGAAGCAAAGGGTGCATCGAAATTCCGGTCCGGATGCAATTTTGCATTCCTTCTCCATTCAGAACGAAATTGCATTTACGTGGAGTTGACGTGGGGCAGTCTTCCCGCGCGTCACCCATCGATCAGACTCATTCCTGGGCCTTTCTTCGTCCCCTTTCAATTGAGAAAACGGAAACGCCTCTTCAGGTCTTGCTTTGATCGATTCACACGGTCTGGCACGATCAAATGCAGATACCATCATTCTGGGTCACCCCCATTTCCTAGGTTTCTCCTAATTCAAAAGGGGAAATTTCACCCCCCAACGCGATTCTTGTCCTCGAGGTCAAGGCGAGATTCAGTCATTGTGCCGAAAGTTCGGTAGCTCACTCTTGTCACTGCCCCATTTTTATTTGTATTATTATCAGGTTTTACTTAGCACCACATTGCAGGATGTTATTCAAATGAACGTTATCAGTTTTCATGTCAAAATAGCCACAACTTATTATTACTTTTTTTTTTCGGAAAAGCATGGTATTGCTTTAAGGCAACAAGCATAGTCAGACAGAATATTAAAATCATGATTATGAAGGCCCCTTCTCAACAAAAAATAAATGAAATAAATATAAATAAGATAAATTTAAAATTAATTCGAGCTATTGAAGCACATAAAAAAGAATCGGGGAGGGGAAGGGGAAATAAGAGATTGGATGATAGTGAATGAGAAGCGGGAGGGATATCGGGCCGGCTGCGTGTCGCGTCCCTGGACCCTCCTCGTCGCTCGCCACTGGCGAGAACTGATAGGGAATTCGGGCTCGGTTCTTTGGATGCGACGATGGTGCACGCGGGAGTACATGCGATGGCATCGTATCGTGGAAACTTTTAACTTTAAACTTTTTTTTTTCCTCGCATTCCAAGGATGTAAACACGCAAGGACGAAAAAGTTCAGCAAATTAGATCCGTGAGCTAAAATGTTTCTTTGTGGGTTAATTTCCCGCGAATTGGGGTGAAGCTGCATTTCTAATGCACGAGTGCGGAAAACCACAAGGCTTTCACTTAGCAGAGACCCTCGTCCTTCTTGGCCAAAGTATATCAATATGGTGTCGGAGGTCAGGGTCACAAGGACGAGGAAAGGAAGTCAGCGACTCGTTCCGTGAAAGTGCACTGTTCCCTGAGCATCCGCTCCACGTGACGAATGGAGGACGGGAAAATTAAAAAAAAAACTCCATGATCCACCTGGGCCTTGTAACGTCCTTGTAATGGCCTTGTAACGGCCACCCGTGACGGAACGTGGGGAATGATCCGCCTCTACCACGATGGACGTCGAAGGACGGTCTGGCCAAAGTGGGAACCTTGGAAAAGGTTTTCCACTCTTGAACTTTCAACAATGCGTGCATCCTAATGAAGTCGGAGCTCTCGATGCTTCTCAATGATGCTGTCAAACTGTCCATTCTACTCATAAGCGTAGCGTGGATGAAAACCGGGGGAGGGGGGGGGGGGGAACTCTGGGATACTGTTAAGCATTTCTGGGTCTTTTCCCTTTTTTTTTGGCTTATTTTCCTGAAAAGTAGGGGGGCACGTGCCCCCCCCCCCCCCCCCCCCCCCCCCCCCCCCCCCCCCCCCCCCCCCCCCCCCCCCNCCCCCCCCCCCCCCCCCCCCCCCCGCCGCCCCGCCGCTGATTCTATTCAATACCCTGATCATTGAGGAGTGGTCGCCTTGGTCGAAGGGAGATCAAGAGATGTTGTGAGAATCTGATTGCTGCTATAAATCTCCCGAAAGGTGTGGTTGTGGATGCTCCAGAGCCCTTCTAATCTGGGCTATTAATGCTGGCCTTAACACATGAAGTTAGTAAAAGACCGTTAGTTCACTAGGAAGGATATATTCCGGTGAAGTCCTTTTCCAGTGGTTTTCCTTGGCTAAATTACATATCTAGTTTTATTTCTCATTTTCCATACCTGAGTTCGAAACATGCCCCGACTTTTTCTGTAGAGTCTCTTTTCCCTTTTAGGCTAGACAAGAAGCCAAATTACCGTTGCCAAAACCCCCAAAATACGCACATCCTGAAGATCCGGAACGCAAGAATTTCTCTGAACGTTATCGAAAAGTGGAGGAGCGAGACCTCACCAACGGAACGGGTGTCGACTCGAGAGGAGCAGAAGGCGAGAGAGAGACACAATGAGGGACAGGGACAGCGCCCACCATCATGAGAGCCGACATAAAAACCACTGACTAGGGGGCTCTTTTCTATGTATAAAAACAGAGATCCCCTCTCTTTTTTTTTTACTCCCTCCCTCATCCTCTCTATCCCATGCAGCGCGCCGCGCTGATTATGATGCAGTTCCCCTGCGTGGAAAGAGAGAGAGACAGAGAGAGGGGAGGAAAAGAGATGTCGAGGAGGGGGGATCGATAAACAGGGCCTGTCCGACACCGCCCTTTTTTGTCCTGTCTCAGGCAACACATTACCGATTTGGACCCTCCCCACAACACGCCCGCTGGAATTCCCGGACTCACCGCCGTGATCGACGCGTGGATGCTGGGGGTCCCTGGGGCTGCTTCGTCCGTTTTGCCTCGCTTCAACTTCCACAATTCATCTTCGATATGCATCCGCTGGGAGAAGGAAGAAAACCGGGCAGGCGCGCCCTACTCGTCCCCGAATCTCAGTCCCACAGCCCCGCTCTCGCTATCTCTCTCCCCCTCTTCAGGTCTATTATAGCACGCATATTCCAATGTTCGATTTTCGAGGCACTCGTAGGTCCGTATGCCTACCTCTTCCAGCGCCTGGGGGGTCCAACGAGATATGGATTCGCGTAAAGTCGACATGCCTGCAGGCTTTGTTTGCCACCGTCTAGAAATGTTCCTAGTTCTCTTGTCAGTCCCAAACATTGTTTATTATTTTCTTCTTGTTGTTTCATCTTCGGTGTCCCTTCGGTAAACGTTCAGTCGTGCATGGCATGAATGCACTTCATATACATTAAATCTAGGCTGACGTCTTGTCAGCCTAGAAAGAACGACGAAAAGAGTGGAAAGACGTAAATATACGAGCGAGTTTATCCGTACAAGCATGTCAACGAGGTTCATTACATGCTGTGCAGCACGAGGGGCATCCCCGGGTACGCGATTGATCGGGATGAAAAGCGCACCTCCTGGCTTCTGACGTTCGAGATGGATGCGGTGATTCCCCTCTCTCTCAGAGAGATCGCTTCGTTCTCTCTTCGTAAATGGCAGCGCCCATGCTCCACGCGGTGTCATTCCTCTCTCGTGGGTAGCTTGCCTTCGCGCGAATAAAAATCTGCAAACATGAGGATCGAAAAGTGTTATTTTTGCTCCTCGCATATCTACCCGGGGCACGGCATCCAATTCGTCCGCAACGATTGCAAGGTGAGCAAGGAAAATATTATATGAATAGGTCCAAGGGAGGCTTGCCTTTCCGAGCGTGGGGTGGACCCATCCCCATCGGGCGGTTTCGCTCGGGCTCGTCTTTGATGCATAGCCTTAGGTTAAGGTCGGATTTTATAGGTCATGTCTTACTGCATAGGCAAACATTAGTCATGAATCTAGCTTGTGCTTTCGATATCAAATGAGGGTTTATGCAGGCTTCGGCTAATTACTGTATGCCATCTTTGATTTAGATTTCAAGAGGTTTTGTCGTCATGCCATAGCCGTAGAATGGGGTAGCCTAAGACAACGACTAGCCTCCATCTTCAAGATTTGATGTATCTCAGAAGTCAAAATAGAAGTGGGCTTTGTTAGATAAGATTTGATACACAAGCCATGTAACGTTAGAGCCCACGAGCTATCCCAGGGACACCATATGATCACCTGTCATGCTTCAAATCGGGTGACAGATGAATATGCATGCCTGTGAAATAGGGGGTGATAAAACATAACTTGTGGCATGGATGTAGATTGCATCCTCACTTTGCACTTTCTTTGACTGATAACCATTCTTTGCCTTCCATATTTCCATGACCCAATAGTAAGATAGTTGGTGCTGTGCATTTACTTGGCCAATTGATGAATGTGAATGCCATATGATGTGAAGTGAACACTGATATTGATGGAGGTAACATCTTACATTGATCGATATTCATGTTAAAACTTTTATGATCATATGATAGCAGGCATAAAAGGGATTACAATTTGAACTCTTTTTACTCAAACTAATATTAGAGCTAACTCCTTAAATCCTGGCATTGTAAGATTATGGAGTGAACTCCCAGATATAAAGATGCAGTTGCTGAGCTAACCCTAATAATGCCAAAAATCTCATGAAACAATATTTTCTTCAAAAGTCTTTCTTGATCTAATGGATATTCCTTTGTGCATTGCTTTTTCCCTTTTTTTTTCCCACCTTTTGACTTGGTTCCTCATGCATATCTACCGTATACCTCATTCATTTGGACTTCAAATTCCTTAAAATCTATATTGTAAATTTTCATTTTGTTTCCATTTCATTATGTTTTCTCCCTCCATGTTTTATAGCCCTATCTGTTTTGTTTTTTTTTTTTCTGTTTTGCTTTGTTTGGCTGTCATAATGATTCCCCTGACTGTCATCAGTGTACATCACTTTATACATGCTAAATAAAGCTGAACTTACGCTTGTAGTAAAACATGATATATATACTTGTGTATGGTTAGGAGAGAATCAGAGACTGAGTGTACTCATATGGCTTGTGCTTATGTCCCAAGTATTTACCCTTGAGGTGAAGAAATACTGGCCTAGCCAGAATGGCTAAGTTAGGCCTATCATGAAGTTAGCATGGAAACCTGTTCAATGAACTTTTCTTTACATTCTTCCAGATCTTCAAGTTTTGCAGATCTAAGTGCCACAAGAACTTCAAGAGGAAGCGTAACCCACGCAAGGCAAAATGGACCAAAGCATTCAGAAAAGGATCTGGCAAAGAGCTGGCTGTGGACCCAGCATTTGAATTTGAAAAGAGGAGGAATGTACCTGTCAAATATGATCGGGAACTGTGGAAGCAGACAGGTGAGTATCAGTCTTTGAAATAATTTGTAATTTTATCAGACATCTTATTAAATGATCTCCCTCAGGCCATTTTCTGATGACAGATTTATAATTTTTATGGCCATTACCATGATTTCATCAAAGGGAGGGTCCAACAACCTTTTTCTGTTGCTGTTACTAAATCCAGTGAAATTTTTCTACTTTACTGAATTTGATTACTGTTTTTGTGTTTCTCAAATCTGGCAACACTTAATAATGCAACTGTGTACTTAATAACACCTAGACCAAGAATTTTGTGCTTCCTTCTTCATCAACTAGATCAATCCTTTTTTATCTTGTCTGTATCATCCACTTCATTCTTCAGGTTGAGTCTGATTTCTAACAGTGATGTAAAACTCTTGTGATGATGAAAGTTTTATGTGCCAATGTTACTAAATACTGATATCTGATTCAATTATTTTTAGTGGAGGCAATGAAGACGATTGAGCAGATTAAGCAAAGACGTCAGAACCTCCACCATCGAAACCGACTGAAGAAGGGGAAGGAGTTGGAGAAAGAGCAGAATCGCAAGGAAGTCGAGCGCAACATTGCCCTCATCAAGTCCCCTGCTGCTGGACTCAGACAGATGGAGGCACGGCTGGTGGAAGAAATCGAGGAATCAGACAAGGAAGAGCCCATGGCTGAGGAAGTCTAAATACCTATTTTCATGTGATACATCTGTCTGTTTGAACTGCTTCATAAAGCCATACTGGTTCCCATCATCTCCCTGTGTTTTATTTGGTTGTACAGACAGACTTATCTGAGACCCATGATTGTTGGAACCATATTGCAATCATTTATTTCATACAAAAAATGGTGAAGCGGTCATATGACCTGTAATTGAAGGTGTACTGATACAGAAATTTCCTGCAGTATCCAACACCTGATATTCACCAGGGTCACCCCCTCCCTTCTCCCCCCAGAAATGTCAATAACTCATACTATACCTGGGATACTTTCAGTACCCATTGCATTGTATAAGTAGTATAGATGAGAATTTACAGTGTTTTTTACTTGAGTTAAACAATTTTTAACTTGACTTGGATACCTGTGCTGGGATGTTCCTCAAGCAAGTGTGTCTGAGTCAAGTGAAAATATTGGAAAACACTAATTATTTTATGCTGAAAACTGAATTTTAAGCTTGTCAGCTTGGGTGTCTAAATGCTTATGATAGTTATACATTTTCTGTTAGTACAAAGAGACTCAAACATTTGTCTTAATCAGGATTTGCACCAACAAAAGGTGGGATATGACTTATCAGAAAAAACTGAAGCCTAGCCTTGTTTCTCCTATGCTCCTGCAAATTTTTTCAAGGATGAGTGGAATATTCAGCTGGTAGGTAGGTAGGTTCAGTAGGTTAAAATAGAGATATGATAGAAGCTCAATTTTGGTCTGGGTATTTTCCTCTCAAAAATATGTATTTTACATGCACTGGTGTCAAAACATCACACTTCTTAGACCAGAACATTTCCCCTCTGGCAATTCTTTCCTTTACAATGTTGAGACTTCAACTGGAGTCTCACTTTGTAGTCTAGGATTGTATGTTAGTGGAAGTAGGCTAAAGTCTTTGTTCACTTCTGACTGGAATTTGGTCCCTATGATTATGTCTCTGTATTTCTAGATGTGGACATACGAGGGTCACTCAATAAGTTATCTACCTGAATAAGAAAGAAACATCTGAGGGGAAAAATAACACTTTATTTTTCAATGTAGTCACCTTTTAACTCAACACACTTATTCCACTTTGATTCCAAGGATTTTATTCCCTGGGAATAAAAGTCAACTTCTTGTCCATCAAACCAATCAGAAACTGCAACTTTCAGCTCTTCATTGCATGAAAATCTTTTTCCCCGCAAAAATTTTTTCAAGTGTCTGAACAGAAAATAGTCACTAGGAGCCAGATCCAGGCTGTAGGAANATGTGAATCACTGTGCCCTCTGAAATCCCCAGTTCATGAGCTAAAACAGAGACTTTGGTGCAACGATCCTCCAGTATCGCACTCTCCAATTTGTCACACATTTCCTCATCAGAAGCCTCCACAGGGCGCCCCGACCTTGGGTCATCTTCAATTGACTCTCTTCCCCACTTAAACTGCTTGCTCCAAAATTTAACTTGGTAAGAAGAAGGCGAAGACACACCATAAACGTTAGACATATGTTCATGAATCTCCTTAGGTGCTTTCCCTTCTTTGGTGAGGAATTTGATCACTGAACGATGTTCAACTTTCGTCAAATCCATGACACAGACTCGGGATAAGAAATCTAATGCGCTACCACTTTGAACGGACTTGAGCCACTGAGCTGGTATAGTGGTGGGGCACTCACGAGACCTGTTGAGACACGTCACAGCAGGCACAGGCCTGTTGCTCATCCCTTTCAGGTAGATAACTTATTGAGTGGCCCTCATATGTTTAGATATGCATATTTCACCCTATATATTTTCCAGTTAGTCTCTGCTGAGTGCTATCAATAGAAACTAAGAAAGATTCAGCTATGAAAGTGTTAAAGTATAGTTGGCATTTTATAGCTCTATTAACTAGGGGAACCCTTAATTTGTATTATGCAAATAGGCTTCCATTCTTCATTCTAACTTTGATAAAATTCAGGGGCAGTCTGTACTAGCAAATATCACTAGCTTTACTTAAAAAAGCCAATGAAAATATCAATTTATTTACCACAGCCAACCCCTGAAGTGTTTGTTCCAGGCTTCCACATAGCAATTTTTCTGCCAAGGCATACTCCAAAACAAGCTAGTCAACCTAAGTCCAGTAATGGGCCACTTTTCAACAACAGGAACAGGAGGAGATGGCAAGTAGGTAGAGGTTGGAAGATGGGAGGAAAGTATGTATAGCTTGGCCAGAAATGGCACTGCAAGTTTCATTACCAATCAATGATGCCATAAATCAGTGGTGCCCAACCTTTTCCCCCTAGAGGGCCGAATTGAGACACTGCGTCATGTTCAAGGGCTACAGGCTCTTGAATATGAGCTGAAATAGGTTGCATTTTAATATGGATCTTTGGAGACTGGAGACATCCAAGGGGCTCCAAAAAAGGTCTCCACGGGCCACAGGTTGTGCATCACTGCCATATATTGTCTCTGTCTCTGTCAACAATGGATCCATCAGTTATGAAGCCTAGAAGACTGGTGGCTCTGCTTGGTGGCAACACTCTGAACCAGGCTAAGTGCTGTGCATGTGCCTTAAAGGCCAAGATCCAGAATGACTGTTATTTGTCCATGCCTTTCCTGCTAAAAAAAAAAAAAAATATGTAACTCAAAATTTGTAATATAAATTGTTTTTGATAGATGCTTAGTAAAAAAGAAACTTCATTAGCCTGTATTTTATCAAAACCTACCAGCATACCAATTTCCAGGAATTAAGCAAAGCTTTTTTTTTTATAATGTTGGACAATAGGTGTGAGATGGACACACAGACATGGAACTTTCCTTTCAGAAGAAGAGGCATTAAATGTGTATGCTAAATCAGCACCACCACTAACTGCAATGATAGGGAGTTGTGCAGTTGGGAGAGTCTTTCTCCTTTTTCTTATATTTTAAAGCATGAAATGTCACAAATTTATATGAACTTCTGTTTGAGAACTGAAACTTTCCAGGTCTCATCATTGGAAGCATCCTCATCTTACCCTTGCAACCAAGAGCTTGTAGCATGGCATCTAATAGCTTCAAACCTGATTTAACAAAAATTTGTCAAATTATAAGCAAAATGGACTGAGCAGCCCAAAGAATGGAGAGTGCCATGGCATCTTAAGTTTTCTATTTACAGAATTAGCTTCATTTTCTTCATGTCATCCCATGTACTTTGCAATGCAGAGGGTACTTTGAGAAGAAAACAGTGTGCATCATAAATGAAATGAGCAGTCATTGCAGTGAGTAGAAAAATGTGATTAATTTCCTGGATGAACTTTTATGAATGCTCAAGGGGATGAGGGGATGAGTGAATCATTCCTTCATGGATTCTTGACTTGGAGCAGCCCCACCACCACCTCCTTCCTTGTCCTTCTTCTTTGATCCAGACACGATGTCATCAATTCGCAGGAGCATTATGGCAGTCTAATACATGCAAGGGGACTTTGTAGGAAACAAAGATAGCATTGAAAAATAAGTACATGAAATAGGACATACTTCAACAGCAGTTTTGTAGGTCTGAAGCTTGACAGTGAGTGGTTCCCAGATTTTCAACTGGGCCATGTCAGCCACCTCTCCAGTTTCTCCATTGATGCCCCATGTATTACCTGCACCAGCAGCATGCTTGGCTCGGAGGGCAGTCAGCACTCGAATGACATTGGCCCCACAGTTCTGTGTTAGGGTCCTAGGAATCACCTCCAGGGCAGATGCAATTGCTTTATAGGGAAACTGCTCCATTCCCCCTACGTTCTTCACACGTTCATTCAACACCTGGTCAAAGAAGACCCATGTAATTGTATTGAAGCATATCTACATCTATCAAAGTCATGCAGGAAAACATGAACAGAAGTCATTTAATAATGAAAGCCTCATCTCAGTGCTCTTACTAGCAGATACAAATCTATTTAACAGTCTCAAAGAAACATCAATATTATATGCCAACAATATCAGAACAATATTTTCCTTAATGTACTTGATTTACTTGTGATTGATGGTAAAGCTTGCAATCATATGTATGATGCTAGAAGCACTTGTGCATATTTATTGAGCAAAACATAAAGTTTATGTTGAAGTACATAAAAAAAGGGGAGCATTGCATACATTAGCATTGGCATATGAAATACTCTATTTCTTTAATCATCTCATTAGTTTTTGTCCTGCTTTGTCTAGGCAGAATTTCTGGCTCAATCTTCACAAAAAATCAGTAGAGAGAAAACTGTAGACTGTCAAGTGCAGGTCCTATACCTGAGGTAACTTGAGGGGCAGCCTCAGGCACTCAAAGGATAGTAGGAACAAAATGAGGTGACTCAAATACAGCAACCTTACCCAATCTGGCTATCAGTGAATGTGGGCCATCATGGCTATTAAACTACAAGGAACTATTTAGAAAATACATTTGATTTCTTTCTCTTTCCTTGGTTTCACATGTATAATGAAAAAAAAAAACCATTTTGTAATTTCTGGCCCTATAGTTTTCTGTTTAATTTTAAGAAACCCACCTTAGATGCTGCCATTTCCACAGCCCCACCTCCAGGAACAACACGGGATTCAAACAAGATGTTCCGAGCCACATTCATTGCATCCTGCAGATTCCTCTCAACTTCACTAAGTATGTCTTTGCTGGCTCCACGCAAGATGATGGTGCAGGCTTTTGGGTCAATACATTTAGTCACAAAGCAGTAATATTCATCTCCAATCTACCAAGAAAAAGAAGGCCATTAGTCTCCTTCAAGTTGAAAGGGGAACCAATGTGGGTTAGATAGTAATTATTACCTTCTTGATCTCAAAAAGTCCAGCACCTTTGCCAACATCCTCTTCTCGAATTTCATCAGTGCGATAAACAATAGTTGCCCCACATGCACGTGCCAATCGATTGTTGTCAGACTTCTTCACCCGACGAATCACACTGATGTTGGCCTGGAAGATGAATAATGTGAAATAATGTCAATATCCAATGAGAAAACTGATGCCAAAATGAAACACTGATATGGTCAAATCCTGCCAACCTTCATCAAGTAGTGCTGGGCAAGATCAGAGACTCCCTTTTCAGTAAATACCAAGTCTGGCTTTGCTCGGATGATGTCTTCACAAATCTTCTGAATGTATTCTTCTTCGATCTGAAGGATGCGTGTGAAGTCTGTATCTTTCTCAATCTCAATGTTTGTCTGAAAAATATCCAGATGAATAAGTGGGAGGTGCAGAAAATAATGAAAAGAATGATAGGAAGAACTGACCATGCTCTCTCCCTTCTTGTACTCAAGATTGCAGTCCAGGAGTACAATGCGTGGCTTCTCAATATAACGTTTCATCTTGGGATGGGTAACGTCTTTGTTCAGCATGATGCCTTTGAGCACCTCTGACTCCTCGATGGTTCCTCCGGGTACCTGGAATGTTAATTTTAATTGGCCATTTTCATGATGATGCAGGATAATACAGAGAAAAAATCATGAATTTAATCTGCATTATACCTCACCTTCTCAACTTTGGCATATCGCTTTATGTCAATCTCCTTGCGGCCACGTTCCTCAAGGGCTACTGTCTTAACAGCATCCATTGCCATGTGACAAGCCAATTGATCCCAGCGAGAGAGAACCTTTGTTCCAATGCAAGTCTTTACTACCTCTTCCACCTGTGCCATGTTGTTCACATCCAATGGGATACTAGAAATAAATAAAGAGGTCATATGCAGTTGCAACCATACCCTTTCCAGAAAAAGGCAGATGGTGTCATCACCTGCAAAGGCATTACAACAAAATTGAATTGCCTAATAGTGCTATTAAATCAGTAAAGCATTTTATCATCAGTCCAAAACCCAAAACAAGACAGGCCATTTGTAATTGCCATCAGCAAACAATAATTTTTATGTCAATGAAAAACTTGTCAGACTCAAACTTAGCAGGGAAACAATACTGTTCTGTATGTTCTGTCCAATCACACTCTCCACCTGAATATCTCTAAATATTACTGAATCCTTTCCAATAAATTGACTTGAATGGTCCTCAGTAAATATTAGCCTACCTTATATCATCCTTAAGTATTTGCACTAAATCCTCCAAAGCCTGTCTGAATCCCCTGATGATGACAGTTGGATGCATTTGCTGATCCAGGAATTGTTCTGCAACAGACAAAATCTCTCCAGCTAGCACAATCACGGAAGTGGTTCCATCTCCGACCTGCAATTAGGTAACACTTTCAGTCTGACTACATACTCTACAAAAGAAAGATGAAACATCTTCAGCAAAGCACTGTACCTCCTCATCCTGGGTACGAGAAATTTCTATCATGGACTTTGCAGCTGGATGTTGGACAGTGATTTCGCGAAGAATGGCATTCCCATCATTGGTCATCACAATCCCACCCATTGGATCCATCAGCATTTTCAGCATGGCTCTTGGACCCAAGCAAGTTCGAATCACATCGGCAATTGTCTGTTAAATGAATCAGTGGATATGAAAACTATATATTTTATTAGCCTCTTCAACCTTACTTAATTTTAAGTTCTCACCTTTCCAGCTTGTATGTTCCCTTTTCTCACTTTCAACCCAGTCTCTCGCTTGGTGCTCTGACCTGAAAATTGAGATGATTCATCAAGCATCAATCACATAAAGAGTGCATTATTCCTTTTCTCTGTCGCTCAAACTCACTCAAGACGATGACTGGTCCAGCTCCAGGGCCAAACATTGTTTACAATCCTCGGGAAGGCAGAAAATGTAGAGGTGGGCACTGTGACAGATGTTTGCTGAAGTACAGCTGCTGAATGACAAAAAACCCACGTTCTAATGCAAGGAGTCCTTGTATTCGCAGGGCAGTTATAAAATGTGGATTACAAAAGAAGCAATGATTCGAGTGATTGCAACAAGCTAGAAAGAAACGAACCGGCTGGGGCCTTCAGAATAGACCTGAGGTAATGGGTCAAACCTGAAATAAAAGAAAAACAGTTATCAGTACAATTGTAACTGATTCGATTAATATGGCACACTGCATGCAGATAACTATCCTACTAGAACATTTCTTGCTATTTTTTCAAGAAAACGGGGAAATCGAAGTCACACGCGTGCGAGGAAAGCGGCAAGGGTGTGGTGAAGAAGCGGCCATGGATCTTTACGTCATTCAAGGCTGTCAAGTGATCCACTTCTCTCGTCATTTTCAAAAGCTTCTTTACTCTGAAACAGAGATTTAGTTTTTCTTTTTAATATTATATTTAGACTCAACGAGATATTTCATTGCTGTACTTTGAGAACTTCTGAATTTCACCTTGCTTTGGTATATGCGACGTCGAAAGAAAATCTCCCATCTGTCTCCAGTATGGAGTTGTCCTTGAAGAATTGTGTCAGGCTCTAGTTTGCTCTAGTTGAGGACGTGTAGCGTGGAATAAAGTGTTGGAAGAAGTAGCCGAATATCCTGACTGAAGTTCGAGTCTCTCAGGTCAATTATCTACTCTCCAGGGATTACCCTCACACTTCCGCTAATAGGTATCATCCCCGAAGGTTCGCCGCTTGAAGATATGGTGAGTGTTGGTCCGTTTATCATACATTTATTCCTTTCGTTTCATTCAATCAAACGCAGTCGGCGCTAGACGTTCACATCTTTGTTGTTAAGGCGTCTCTGCTTTCGTCTCCTTCCGCATGTGCTCTCACCAAGGCGTAGATAAATTATTCCATTCGTATTCACCCGGATTGTAACGGATCAGCACTCCTCCGGATAGCAAGCGTCAGTACATAGGTGAGGAACAACCTTTAACATTTTCAGCATTGGAAAAAATATCTGAAAGTATTTCTTTGTAGTTTGTGGGAGGTAGCTCCATAGCAGCTAACATGGAGACATGGAGCATGGTCCAACTTAAGCTGACATATAAGAGCAGAGACTCTCCATTCTCCACCATAATAACATCATAGCTGCATATTCTGTCCAACATTTCTCACAGAGGCCTAATAAATTTATATCTGCTCTTCCTACTTTTTTTCCCTCATCCTTTTGGTTCAGAATTGGCATTCTATCATGGTGTATTTTGCTCTTGACCACTCTGGCCTTAACAATGATTTTTCCAATGGCTAATGGTTGTTTACTAATGTCATTGATGAAAGACTTGAGATAAGTGTTATCCTGTGATCATTTGCTGACAATATACTGGTCATTTATCCTCTAGCACTAAAACCAAAGAGCCAGTTCCCTTTCAAAGTTATATTCATGCAACCTACCCAACATCTGGACTGTGGCACCCATTGGGTATGGAAATATGGCAAATGCTCATACTACTATGCCTCTCACCTGAGTGGTGTAGGGTGTGTACAGGCATAGCCTGCTGATCGAGGTCTTCCAGTCTTAATGACTTTGAAAGTTAAGGTTCAAGATCTGAGTTGCAGCTTTAGAACTTTAGTTTAATGCACGGTCTATCATGGTCTTGGCCAATGGTCTGCATCAGAGTATCAAATCACTTTCAGAGTCTATGATCAAGGGACAAGTACTTGGACAATGCCTAGGCCTAGACCTAAAAAATTAATCTAGTTATGAAGAATTTCCTTGAGCATGGCAGTGGCAGGAACAGGAATAAATGCTCATACCAGCAACGATGAAACTCCAGTTCTGGAAACTATATGTTGATTTCCTCATTATTATGTAGGTACCTAGTCAAAATTTACCTCTGAAACATGACTGATTACTGTTTAATGTTCTAAATCCTGCAATCAATTTGGTAAAGTCTATCTTAACTATGAGATTTTGACTGGTCAACATGGTCATTTATGATCATATACAGTCATGAGGTCTAACCTCTTTATGGGCTGGTTGACCATTGTTGTTCATATATGGGCAGAAGTGACTATGTTGACCAGTCAACTCCCCATGCCTAGTTCATCCCTTGTGAGTCATGATGTACACATGGTGCATGAACTGTGTAGGAAAAAAATAAAAGTTGGCCTTATTGACCATATATGATAATATTGACCAGTCAATTGCCATACTTTTAATCGACTGGCAATAACCCATCCCTAGATGCTATGCAGTATGACATTGTTATATTATGCCATAAAATAAAGCTGACAAGGCAAAGAACTCACCCTAGTAGATAATCTGTTTCATGGATCAAGGAATGTCATTGGAGTGATTTTATTGGTTTATTGCATGTGGCCATATGAGGTCCTAATATTATTTGTAATATTACCCCTGATTTTCATATAATTAAAAAAATATTTTTCTGAGTGCATGGTAATTGACCTAGCTTATAAAAGCAATCAATAAAATGCTGCTACTTTAATAGGGGACAGCTAGAACACTATGTGAACTCATTCATCTGCTGTATGTGCGTTAGATAGGCTTGTTTACTGTTTCTGCTTTATTACTCTCTACCTCTCAACATCATAATCATTTCTGCTGTAATCTAAAGAAGACTATCTACATACTAAGTTCTGAATGCTGAAACCTCCTTTAGTTAATGGTCCTTTAAGAATACATGGACTCCTATGGGGAGAATAAATAGCAGCTCTTTAGCTTAAAGCCCTCTTCATCTTGCCTAAATGGGATTAGTACATTTTGGCCTAAAGACTTATAGCATATTGCCAGTATAGAAAGTCAATTGATAAGAGTTTTATGACAAAGGGTTGTTATTTTCTATCTGATTGGTAAAGTCAGATGTGGACTATGTCTCCTTCCTCTTGGTTCTTCTCCATGACTTTGTTTTTACATGTTGTCACCCATTATGAGACTGATCTTGCATATTGTTTCTTTTTTATGTATCTTGATTTGCCAAATGTTGACTTCAGTCTGTTAAGGAATAAAATAGAGTATAAATTTGAATGCTTGACCAAGCCTTGTAGGACTTTTTGCTATATTCCTATTATCTCCTTCTAGGCGGCGGATTTCTTAAAAGAGCTGCCATCATTCAACCAAGAGAACTTCTCCCGTTTCCAGCGAGAATCAAACTCCAAATCCAACTGTAGTGTGGGTGTTAAGAAAAAAGAGGCACAGTACCTCCCAACAAGGGACATTCCTTCTGACCATGTCATTGTGACTGAGAAGACCAACATCCTCCTCCGTTACCTCCATCAGCATTGGGAGAAGAAGGTAGGGTGACCAACTCTCCATTTAAAAAATGAGGAACAAGGGGGAATAGAGGGGAAAAAGGGTTTCTTGGTCCTTAATAGCAGGCCTTAGATGCATCATGAATAGTGTTTGATTTTGAACTTCTTTTTTTTTTTTTAGAATGCAGAAAGCAAGAAGCGTGATGGGAGCAGTGAGGATGAAGATTACAGTGATGCATCATCAAGGAAAAAAATCCGCTTGGACCTTCGACCATATCATGCCATTCTCTGAATGAATGTACTCTCGGTGCCCAAATCAGCTATATTGTTTTCTATTGTGTTTTCTTTAATGCAAACTCAGACAAATCTGCCTGTGCCTTGCAATGAGAAGCAGGTGCAGCTCAGATTGTATGAGAGTGAGATTTGGGGTCATTCTGTGATCTCTCAGTCTATGCCACTGAATGTCACCACCATTGCACCATCTTGTGAAAGAAACATGAGTGGTTTGTTTGAGTTTGAGTTTACAGAGAAAAAATATTTGATTATTGGCATTGCTGGTGTTGTGAGGCTAGACCAGAAAATTAAAAAATTTGTACTGGTACTTCCATGATTGACCAGGATGGCATGTATTGTATGCTATGCTTGGGTCTGTTTGCAGTATTGAAATTATGCAAGTAAATGTCCATGAAATTAATGAGCATATTGTATTTTTTATTTGGGTTGATTTTTTTTTCAAAATATTGGTTTTCCCATCTGTTTAAGACCCCCTCAGTGGTCATAATACTTGTATCCATTTCATTCACTGCTTCCAAAAAAAAGAGTAAATGAAATTTGAGACATAGGACAGTTGCCTGGCATGAACCAAAGAAAGTTATTCATTCATGTTTTCCCAATGTACATTGTTGGTCTCCACTACTGGTAATGTGGTAATCTTAATACCCACCAGCATATATAACCAGTAGAATACCATTGTACCATCTAATGAAGTGATTTCCACTATAAGAAAAATTTGCTCATTGTTGGGGACTTTACAGACACCATGTGCCCTACCTGCATTAGATTGTGATTACCCATCATAATTATTCTACTCCAGAATTCTTGTAGCAAAATGTATGTAAAAAAAATTAAGGAATAGTAACTGAGGCTAGTATTTCATGAATCATGGAATGCTCTGCAGTTCTTCCATTCTTGTAAAAAGAACAATATTGTTTTCATTTTTCAGATGAGATGATACTATGAGTGGGGTAGCACTTTGGATTTGTTATACATTTTCCATATTCTCCAAGATTGCCTTGACCCCCAGACAATAAAGTAAAAATGCTTGCAGTAACCCAAAATCCCTGGATTGAGTTGCTTATAAATGCCCAAATTCAGTTATCTGTACATGCAAAAAATTTCTTTTCTGTATCAGGAAATAGACAGACCAACCCAAATGTTCTGAGCCTCTCCTTCATCAAATTCCAAGAATGTTCATTGATGTCAATGTTCACCACAGTACCAGCTTTGGCCTGTTCTTTTTTGTTGTTGTTAATTTTTGCTGAGCTGCAACTCTTTTCCAAGCATGCTGGCTAATGCAGTGTTGGTGTTCTTGCTAGAATTTTGCTATGCAAGATTGCATATTGCCATCATTGGTAAAGGTATTGCAGTTCATGTTTCTTTTGTCATTGAGAGATCTTCTGGAGGATTTGGTTGAAAATCTTGTTGTCCTTGTGATTACTAGTCACGTTAATCATGTATGATGGCGTGAAAGATCATATGAGTGCTCTACAGACTGGTTCCTCTTCTTTTTTTCAAGTTCAGTTGTTTTAATTGATCCATCAGCTTGTCATTATCTTCTTTAATCTCGATTTTGTGAAATTCCAAATGTATCAGGTGCAGATTATCACATGAACATTTCTATCAGATATTACATCTGAAGTGAAGGAAAAGACTTTGAGTGAAGGGACTTCAAAGGGATGAACAGATAGACTGATTTGATTCACAATCTCAGCTTTGTGATTTGGGAGCATGAATAGAGGGAAACCAAATTTCAGCAAATTCTACTTTATTTCTAGCACCATCAGGTTTGAAACTCCTGTTTGATGCTATCATATGCAGTTATTCAAGCAGACCTCTCTTAGGGCCTTACATTTTGTTAGCTGCCTTTGCCTTTGCAACACTTCCTCCTTCACATCTCATCTATCTATGCTTCAAATTATGTCATAATTGATATTTCAAGAAAACATTTCTGCATTTGGAATATATGATTTCCCCACCATAATATTGTCTTTTTCTTCATGTGATCAGTTACTTGTGTTGATTTTTTCCCACTTTGAAAGGAAACTAATCCTACACTCNTGATATTTCAAGAAAACATTTCTGCATTTGGAATATATGATTTCCCCACCATAATATTGTCTTTTTCTTCATGTGATCAGTTACTTGTGTTGATTTTTTCCCACTTTGAAAGGAAACTAATCCTACACTCATCTCCTGAGTTAGCATTGCTTTGCAACTGCTGAGGGATACCACGACCTCAAGTTACTTTTAGATGGTAATTTTGAGAACTTACTATGATTCTGTGCATCAAAATAATATTAATTCTAGTTCTGCTGGTCCTGGAGTATTCTGGGTGCCACACCAAAGACGTCATAATTGATGCAGCAGGAGTAGGGTTAAAGATATTCACTCCCTGCCAAAGTTAACCCTGCTTTGTGAATGTTTATTGATACATTCTCTTCAATATCATCTTACTCCTGGAGCTTTAATAAATGACTTTCTATTGTATGTTTCTGAAAGTATGCCTGCTAAGCAAAGTTAAGAATGTTAAGTCTGTACTATCAGGAGAGTCTACATTCTACAAAAGTCTATTGGTTGGTTGCATTCTAAAGGAATATCACAGCAATGCTATTTGGTCGGAAGAACTACCGAATATCACACCTGGGAGACACTCATTTCTTATTGTCGGGAACCGGGGAAAGAAATGCATTACAGCGTTACTCAAAGCCGAGTTTTAGTAATCAGAAAAAAATGTCAATAAGTCCAATACGTGGCCAGCGAGAGGTCACCGAGTGACCTGCCAGTAGTTGTAGGTTTTCTGGAAGAATAATTATTAAACGATGATGGCCGTGGCTCACCGCCGATCAGTTTCACGCACGGTAAATTTCCATTCTGGTCATTTCCCCGTTAGTACAAAATATATTCCCCCTTTCCGCTTTCATGCTTTTTCTCGGACCATCTCAGTTGATACAGTCCACATTGGACAATTACACGAAAAATCGGTCTCCGCCCGAGGAGCGAAGCGAGAAACCATATGATATGTGAGGTAGTTCTATGTGAGGCTTCTATTCAAAGGAGTATTATTCTATATAAATTCTTTCTCGTAAATCAGATAATACCAATTTGTAAATTGGAAAATTGGTATTGCCTTACCCCCGCCAATTTAGGAATTTATTTCTGCGCAGGTCTGTGCGGGGATGCAACTCCGGCATCAGTTAGTTTTGAACTTCTGTGTTTTTTCTTATGCAGAGAACTTTCAATTAAACATTTCCCCCTGTCCACTGTCCATTCTGAGTTGGATTGGCCATGTTTCTGTTTAGAGCGGCCGTATATTCTCCCTAAGACCTCCTTCTAGTCAGTGACGTAGTTAGGAAGGAGGTAAGTGGGAGGTAGGCTCTGGTCGCCAACTAAGGAGAGGCAGAGAGGCTTTTTCTGAGTCTTACCTTTGATGCCTGATCTACTGAGCCAAATCACGTGGTCCACCTACTTCCGGCGTCTACCACTAAATGGCTTCAACTTTAAGAGGCTTCTGCCCTCGCTAGACTATTGATGTAAGTTGCAACGGTTCAACAATTTAGAATGTATTTAGAGTTTAGAATGTTCCATACTGTACCGATTGTTGACTCGTGTTCAGTGGTGGATCCAGGGATCGAATTTTAATTTGATAGTATTTTGGTGATGGTTCACATTCTGTTTTTTAACTTTGAAAAGTAGGTGAAAAATGAAAAAGGCGATTGAACGGAGGGCGGTGGAAGGTGGGAAGGGAGGGGGGAGTGTTTGGAACTAGGAACTCCTCTGAATAATTTCTGCATCCGCCACTGGTGTTCGATCTTCGCGTGTTGTTTAACATGAATTTATTTTGAAAGATTTCGCAAAGAAATCCCCATTGGCTTTATTCCAATTTGTTTCGTGCTCCAGTCTATTTCTAGTCACAATCCTTATCTTCCCCCCCCCCCCCCCCCCCCCC